TAATACTATAAGCGTTATAGCACAGCAAACGATTATACGCAAAGGCGGCCCTTATATAGAAAAAAGAGCAATACTGCTTCCTAGTTATATTACTATATAGAGGCAGACTGTATTTCAATAAATTCTATAATTGTAAGTTAGAGAGCATAATTATAGCTAAGTTTTACTAGGATATTTAAAGCTATAACTACAGATACTAATAGAAAGCATAGGCCCTATCTGGAACGCCTATAGAATAAGGACTAAATAAGATCTTAATCTTCGTATTACTAGCACTTATTAGCCTTTAAAATAGGAAAGAGGTCTCTAACTAGTTTAACGCTACTAATAAGAGAGACTCTGTAACTAGCAATCGCATCTATAAGATAGAAGATGCAGTCTACTAGTTAATTGTAGAGACACTATCTTATAGAACTTGCTAAAACACAGCTCTTAATAGCCTAGCAATAGCTAAACAATAGCGTAATATAATTGCTAATATAAAGCACAACGTAAGTGAACACAAGTCGTCTTATAAGTATAAAGAACTTATATCTTAAGAAGCAGCAGTAGCGTAGAGGTTTATATTAAAAAGAATATTAAAGATGCGCGACCTATAAGGTAAACTAATATCTAGCATTAAGAGTAACTTCCTGCCTTACTTCTAAAGCTGCCTATATCTAGATTTCCTTAGCATAGTATAAAACGCTAAGCAATAATGCAGAGATATCCTAGAAAAAGAAGGCCTTAATAAATTAGAAGCTAGCAGACGTATAATCTTTAACTGCTTTAAGATATAGGCAATAGCATCCTACTCTGCGCTTGCTACTCTAAAGGCAGCATAGTTTAAAATATACAGCAGCTGCAAAGTTAAACGCTTTACGTTAAACAGCGTAAAGGACCTCTTTACTAACCTAAGCAAGGACTATTTCCTAGTATAAGAGGCGCGTGCTATAACTAAAAGCAGCCTAAAGTTTCAAAACCTATTAAATTTATGCTCTAAGGTTAAAATTCTAGGAACGCTAAGCCGGACATAGAGCATTATAGCAGAAGATATAGCAAAAGTAGCTAATACACTACTACTGCTAAAGAAAGTCTACGCTAAAATTCTTATAGAGTCGTATAAACTAATCGTGTAGGCAGTAACGTAGCTAGGCTTAAGAGAGAAGTTTAGTAATAAGAGCGTCTTAGTTATGCAGAGAGGTATAACATAGCATAAAATTAACCTTAAGCTTACTAAATAGAGAGATCTAGATAGGCCTTAAATTATAGTAGCTTTAATAGTATTTGCAGAGGCAATTATACTAACAGAAGCTACGCACGTCGTTATTATAGAGCTGTAAGATAGGCAGAACATATAAGATTAATTTATATTCTAAGTATACTAACTTAGCTAGTTAGCAGAAATGTATATTAGCATTATCTATTTTAACCTAGACAGTAAACTAAAACTTAAAGTACTAAGTAAGCAGGATGTTAAAATAACTTTCTAAGATAAACTATAAAGTAGAGAATTAACAGTTACAGATTAACGCATAGACTAGCATTAAACTAAACTAATTATTATAAGTTTAGAAGCACTCTGCTAAGGTCTAGCGCACTGCTAGGAAAAGTGCTTAACAGTGCTTAATAGTGCTTAATAGTGCTTAATAGTAGATAACTGTATAGAATGCAGGACTAGCATAGTAATAGAATAATTCTTATATTACTAATAATTCTAATAAAGCTCTTTTTAGTAATATCTGTAATGTCTAGTTATAATGCAGAAAAAAGTAAATATATAGTAAGATACTAAGAAAAGTATATTAAAGAAGTAAACTTTAATAGCGTAGGTAGAAAGACAGAGTAGGTAGAGAGAAAGAAAATATAATAGTTAAAGATAGTAAAGTTGCGTGCTAGACCGTTGCGTTAACAGTTCTAATAATTCTAATAGTACTAACTATTTCGACGAAGTTTTATTTCAAAGTATATTTAATAATAAACATAAATTTCTTAAATCGATCAACTTGCTAGCGACACAGTTAATTCTACAGTATTAATAGAAATAAATATTTAACAGATTTTTAGTTTTCCTAACGCAATAGCTTAAGCTGCTATTACCTTTATATAATAATAGTAGTAGAAAGCTATAAACTGCTTATAAAAGCTAGCAGAACGATTCTAAGTTAGAGATAAAGTATAGTTTTTAATACGCAATATAAAAACAGTATAGAAAAGTAGAAAACTAGACTAGCTATAAGCTAAATATATAGTAATAGTAGTTCTTATATCTTTAACTATTATACTAGATCTACTAGGCAGACTATATAAAACTATTTATATAGATTTAGTAGAATAAGTAGAAAATAACTCTTTACCTAGCTAAGTCTTTAAAGATGCTAGACTAGAGCTAGCCTTAGAGTTAGAAGAAGAGAATAAAGCACTATAGAAATAAAAAGTAAAGAAAATTTTATAAGAAAAGAATATAAGAAAGTAAAATAAAAAATAAGTCTTAGTAAAATAGAAAGGCTAGCTTAAACTAATATAGCACTTAAAGAAAAACTTCTTAGATATAGAAGCTTTATAAAAATTTACTGCTATAATATTACTAAAATTATAATAAGATAAATAGATAATTTAAGCTTAAAGATAAGTATTATTTAGTTAAGCCTTAAAGAGCAACTAGCTTAGAGCTAGCTAGAGTATATAAGATACTTAAAGTTTAAGATATTCTAATCTAAGCCTTTATTATTAAATATCTTCTTAGAAGTAGAGTAGAGCTTCTTTAGACCTAGAATAGAATAACTAAGGCTACGCTTAATATTAGCAATAAAATAACTATCTCTAATAGACTACTAAATAAGTTAATAATAGTATTTAGACTAGTAATAGATAGAAAAACTTATATAGTAAGTCTTATGCAGCTCTTTAATAATACGCTCTTAGCTAATAGTAAAGCAGATATTAGTCTTACTAAGAAACTAGAGAACTAGTATTAGAGTAGTAGTATTACTCTTATACTTAGAAGAAGTGCTAAAGCTAATAAGAGTAGTAGATAGAGCTAAGCTACTACTAGTAGAAGCTATAGTAATTAAAGTTAGAGCTAGCTTATATAAATTCTTATAGTTATAGTAAGTAGTATAGAACTATAAATAATTAGTAATGTTACTAGAATAGCTATAGACTAGCGCTAACTTATATCTACTAAGTACTTAGGCTGCGTTTTATCTTTGCTGCGTATAAAGTACTCTAAGTTCTTTATATTAGTAACTTACTTATACTTCTTAAGAGTAGCGCGTAGAGCTAAGTTGCTAATAAGTAGCTTTAATTTAGTCTTATACTAAGCTTTACTCTTATAGTAAGCAGCGCAGCTACTATAAATAGTCTATTTATAGTTAATTTAGCCTTAGCTTATATAAGCATTAATATAAGAATAGCAGTTATATTAGACTTAAGTTAGTATTAAAGCTTTATTAGAAGAATTATCTAAGATAAGTATACTGCTAGCAAGGCAGAGAAGTTTCTTCTTCTTATACTTAGAAGTAATAAGCTAATTAGTATTAGCTAGGCTCTAAATAGAAATTAAGTTAGAAATATATAGGCGTAGAGCATAGACTATTACTAGCTATACTACTAGCAATCTTAATAAAAAAGAGAAAAGGCTTATAGTAGAAAAGAGGCTAGTTTAGATGCAGATAGGTACTAAGTTAGAAGATAGTTAAGTAGTAAGAGAGATAAGAAAGAGCGCAAAGCAGCGCTAAATAAAACCTTATAAGTTAGTAGCCTAAGCGCGCTAAGCATATATAGCTTATAATAATAATAATAATACTAGCCTTATCTTAGTATATAATAAACTTAGTATAGAAATAATAAAATGCTAATAGATATGCATATTATATAATAATAGGCTTAAGAGTAGAGTAGAAAAGTATATTAAGATATAAGCTACGCCTATACTTAGAGACTTTTCTATTAGCGCCTTAAGCCTAATTAGTTAGTAAGAAGAATATATATAGATAGTAAATAGAGACTTTCTTAATAAGAAATATAACTTTATTTAGTACTATATAAATTCTATTCTTATAGGCTAGCCTATAATAGGCTATACTAGCAGATACTTATATAAGTATAGAACTAAAACTTTATATAAAGTATAGCAAGCTTACTATGCACTACTATAAGAAGCTACTTATATTACTACTATTTCTAAGCTATAATAGCAAGTACTTAAATAAGTATATAAAAGTCTCTGTAAGTCTAAATATAGACGCAGCATAGGCGCTAGCTACTTTCTCTATATAATTAAGAAGTTTAGAATATAAATACGTCTCTACTATAATAAATAACTATAATAACTATTATATTACTAAAATATTACTTCTACTATAAAGAAAAAATTGCTAACTAAGACCTATATATACCTATATACTATAAACTTAACTATAACCTAAATATTTATAACTATAACTTAACTTATACCTATTCTAGCTAGAAAGTTTAGGTATAGGTTAAGTTAATTTAGGGTTTATATTACATAATACTTAACTATAACCTAACCTATACCCATTTGCCACCCTGATGGACGCTAGCTCAATCTGAAGGCACTCAGATGGCGGCTGTGTTACCTGCACACCTCTTACAACCCACTAGTATGCCAGGGCTGGCTATGGACCCCAGCCAGGTAAGCCTCGCTGCGCCTCATCGCTCACCCACCAGTCCATCCGTTAACGACGTCTGCGAAAAGGATCCTCATGTAAAAGACGAATACGATGCATCTGGTGAGCATAGCCATGATGAGGCAACGTACAAGCCTCGTCCGCAGCTGCCGAAACCATTTGTCTTCATGCGAAGTCTTGCGGACCTCATCAGTAGGTAGAAGAGCGCAAGTTGGAGCGCCCCCTATGCTAATGAGTATGCAGAGGACCTCGACAATGACATTATAGACGTGGATCCCGAATACCAACGTGAGGTCGTATGGACAGGTAAATGGAAGCGCAACATGTTTGCGATTAACAAACTGACATTCACATCTAGCTGACCGCATGACCGGCCTTGTCGATTCTCTCATGGAAAACTTCTACATACCGCCTATTATTTTAAACAAGAGAATCCCAGCAGACAAGAGCAAGCCGGCTGTGCATGTCTGTGTGGATGGCAAGCAACGCCTCTCGTCTGTGCGTGCGTTTGTCAAGGGGATGATACCCTGCCACGACTTTCGAGGGGAAAAGTGGTCAGTATTGCTGCTGCGTATGGAAGAACGTTTTGCTAATACCAGTAGGTGGTTCTGCGACACTCCCGGTAGCCGCCGAAAGAAAGTACTCCCAGAAGAAACCCAAAAGACGTTCCTACGCAAAGAATTCGTATCTTTTGAATTCAAGGAGCTCTTACCCGACCAAGAGGAGGATCTTTTCGCCAGAGTCCAAATGGGTGTCCAGCTCAGCCTTGCTGAGAAGATGCGTGCATCAACAGGCCCGTGGCAGGAACTGGCAAGACTCTTTGTGGATGACTTTCCTGACATCTACTCGCTGATGAAGGACCGAGCACGGGCCAAAGACTTTCAATTAACGTTGTCGTGCTTTAGTCAGATTGTGGAAGTCATGCATCCAACGGCGTCTGACGGCATCCCGATCCTGAGAACTAACTATAACGCACTGCCTAAGCTGCTGAGCAACAAAGCCGCAGTTGACGATGCACTAAAGTCACACCTGGCAAGTGTGTGGAACATATTTAAGGAACTCATAGATATGGATCCTGATACATTCACCAATGCCAGCAAGTGGCTGCGCGGAGTCCAGACGTTCGCGCCTGTCGAGATGGTCGCTGTCGCAGTCCTCATCTCAATGTACTCTGACACGCGAAACAAGAGACTGCTCTTAGGCGACATCCGAGCACTTCGAGAGGCTATCCGTGAGAACTTCAACGACATCAGGATGAACACGAAAGAGTGGTCCTTCATATGGAAATACATTGAAGAGCTCGAAGCCATTAGAGGTGCGGTAGATGGATCAACTGTTCAGCGGAGAGTAGCAACAATCGACACCAACGTCTCAAGGACAAATCTTCCAGCTGCAACACAAGCGATTGGCGCAGAACAACGAGCGACATCTGCTGGAGCAATCAAGGCATTACCAGCTTTACCACATCGAGGATCGTTTATTATCAAGAAAGAACGCGATCTACCAAGTGCAAGCACGGTAGAATCACGCCAGACGAAACGTCAGCGCACTGACCCCGGTCCTATCAATCCTCGTACTTCCATAGTAAAGCATCCGAGGCCTCTGTTCGCCAGTACCACCCATGCTGCTGAAATGCAACCCAGCCAGCTTGGTGCTCAGCTCGCACAGTACGCATACGGACAGCCACAATATCCACCTGTACCGATGTATGTTCCTACACCACCTACCGCAATTCGGTCTTTCGCAACACTGTCGCCTCAGATTGAGACCGGTTCGAATCAATCTACATATAATTCACCGTACGGATATAGAGCACCAACCGCTCTTGTGGCACCACCAGTGCCTATAGCCCCGATGCATCGAAGTCCAATCGCCCCATCTTTGAATATACGGCCTCCACTTACAACGTCTTCGACATCGCCATTGATCAGTGGCAGTCGGTCGCATACTCCCGTCAAGAACGCTGCAACCTTGAAAACCGGCTATGGAGCATATTCCTCGAAAATTGCGGAGGAGCAATGGGCTGGCGAAATTCGATCTGCATCCCCAACGCCCGACCCGGTATCTACGTTGTCTTCCAAGAGACGTCGGTCTGAAGGAACGCCGCGAGACGGGCCTCCTCAACCTAATATTGCTCAGTATGACGGTGCCATTGATCTCACGAGCGACTCAGAGCAAGAGCAAGAGCGCCAGAATCTTCTGTTAACATTCAAGGCAAAGGCAATTGCGGACCGTAAGAAACAATTGCAGCAGAATGCTGCCTCTTCCCCGAGTCGTCCAGAATCTTCATGAAGAGTCGTCTCCGATCGAAATTCGACGCTCATGATGTGGCTATGAGAAACAGAACATGACTTAACGAAGAAGACATGCTTAATTATCCCTTGTATCCTCTACCAGGATTCATGATCCTACGACTTTACGACACATTATTTTCCATAGCATGAGCATGTCTGGCGGCGAGAACACACCAGGGGCACAGCGGGGAGGCAAGCGATCGACCTATCATTTTCAGTTTCATATACATCATCTGATACCCTATGTACCATCAATCTATCTATTACATTCTCCCACCTTCGTTCGCCTCATAGAACAGAGTTGCTGGGAGTGTGGTCACGTAAATCAGGACTAGCGCGCGACGTCATGCAGCTGGCGTGACTGCAAGTGCCTCGGCTTCGAAACGGATGGAAACGTGCGCGACTATCACAAGCTAGCCAATACGTGCGACAGATGTCGCCTACACGAGCGCGATTGCTCCTGGAAACAATCGCCTACATCCTCCGCCAGCTTCTCGACCTCCCTATTACCGCACTACTGCTAGGCTCTGGCTTCATAATACCTCTATTGAAAGATTCGATAACGACCTTCAACATGGGCAAGACGTTTGATCCCGCGAAGGACATTGGGAGTCTGGAGGGCAAGGTCATACTTGTGACCGGTGGTACGCAGCCTCCTCAATCGCACACAATGGCCATCGCATACTAAGCAGACGTCACAGGCAACGCCGGCTTGGGCAAGCAGACAATAACATATCTCGCCGCACACTCCCCAGCACGAATCTACCTCGCAGCCCGCACAGCATCCAAAGCCGAATCCGCCATTGCAGACATCAAATCCCAAGTCCCCAACGCCTGCGAAATAGTCCACCTGCCCCTCGATCTCACCTCCTTCTCCTCCATCGCCTCCGCCGCCGACACCTTCAAGTCGCGCGAATCCCGCCTCGACATCCTCATCAACAACGCCGGCATAATGGCGCCCCCGTACTCGACCACCAAGGAGGGCTACGAAATCCAATTCGGCACAAACCACATGGGCCACGCGCTGCTCACGAAGCTGCTCCTCCCAACGCTGCTCGAGACGGCGAAGCAGCCCGGCGCAGACGTCCGCATCGTCTCGCTCAGCAGCGCAGGCCACCGCATGCCCGCCTCCGAGGGCATCGTCTTCGACCAAGCCGCGCTCGAAAACGTAAACACTTGGCGCCGCTACGGCTCCTCTAAACTCGCAAACATCCTCTACGCCCGCTCGCTGGCTACGCACTACCCGCAAATCACATCTGTGTCTTTACACCCTGGTGTCATTTTGACAGATCTCTTCAACAACTTGCGCTCGAATCCGTTCTTGAAGGTGGGCATCTGGCTGTATGGGCTCATTGGCACGTTTTTGCCGGGCCATTTCAAGAGTCCGGTGGGTGGCGCGCTGAACCAGACGTGGTGCGCGACGGTGAAGAAGGAGGAGTTGGAGAATGGAGCGTATTATATGCCGGTGGGGGTGAAGAGTGCGGGGAGTAGTTGGGCGAGGGATCAAGGCGCTGGAGGAGAAAGTTGTGGGAGTACACGGGAGAGTGAGTTGGGTGAGACATGGGGTATTAGATTGAAGTAAAAACGTGCATTTGAACTGCATAAATTCCCCATTCCTGTTCCAGCGTTGTTATTGGTGTTTAGAAAGTAGCTTTGCCTATGTACAAGTACCCGCTTCAAACTAGGGTATCTCTGGGCGTCTTCGAACTCCCTCAGATCTTTTACATCACTGTCCACCTTCACTGGTGCAAATACGTAATCCTCTCAGCCGCCCCCTCCTCCAACCCGCACAACTCCCTAAACTCCCCCACCTCTTCCCCCTTCCTCCTCGTCCTGGCCACAAACTGCCCCAATGGACAGCTCCTCCCCGGCCCACTCTGACAATCAGGAATCGCCGTAATCCCATCATTGATATTGAGCCGAACGAACCTCGCTGGGCCAGGCGTATTCTTCGCGCGACAAGACAACAGTTCGAAAATAATGCGGCCACCCATGGGCGATACCTGACTCTTGCGCCACTTGCGCTCATGCGGAATGTGCGTGACAGGAAGGTGTTCGTCGTCGTTAATGATATCAAGCGCCGTGATCATGGGCGCGATGTCGCCATCGTGCACGAAGCTGAAGAACAGCGGCCCAGCGTCCGAGCCCTGGGTAAGGAGATTAGTCGTTGCGTTGAGCCAGAGCCAGCCCATGCTTGCTGCATACTTCTGCCCAGGGCCGGCGCGGTAGTAGTGCAACAAGTCGCGGGCGTACTCGAAAGCGAGGAATTCGTCTTGCGTGAAGACATCGCACCAGTCGCTGCGGCCACGCACGGTAGTTTCGAAGCCGCACATCTCTTGCATGGCGTAGATATTTTGGTCAGTCAAGTTCATGGCAAGCTGGTCTTGGAGACGCGCGCGGATGGGCGAGATGTATGTGGCGCGGTATTCCCCCATCAGGTCGTAGCCTTTCTTTTGGCCTTCAGCTGTGTCTTTTTTATTATTCAGGCAGGTTCGCCCAGGCGTCAGGGTATCTGCTCCGAGCGAGGAGTGCTCAGAGATTACCTGTAGCTCAGCGGTATTGTTGAGTTGATAGTCGATGCCGAAAAATCCCAGGGCAAAGTGACGAGAGGTTTCAATGACACGTCTAGAGTCACTGGCCCAAAACCGGATAGGTCGGTCAGGCTGGGACGAGAGAGCTTTTGACAGGAGATGCTTGTATCGCGTACGAAGTCGAACGCCAGTAGTGAAAGATCCCAGTGTCTCCGAGAATGGACCTGTGCTAGTCAATTGCTCGAGGTTGTCATCTTCGAATAGTGAGTTAGTATTGTATGCGTACAGACACGAAAGAATGGTAGACACAGCTCAGAGTGGTGTGTGTATAATTTGATTTGAATGTGTGCTATGTGTAATGGAATCACGTACCTGAAGACCAGAAGAGCTTCCAATCATTGAAGAAGGCAAAGTTGCCGCCAAACATGGTGTTCTGCTGCTTCATGCGCTCGACGATTGCTCTTTGGTCTGAACTTACTGTGAGTATCTAGCTGTAGAGGAAGAAATATGACCTAAACCTACTATCACCGGCTTTCTTGGTTGGGTATCGCTCAGCGTGTCTAGCCATCTGCGAAAAAGCTCTCGTCAGCCAAGGTCCCAGCTCTCGATTATGCAACGTACCATGTGTACTTGTTCGACGCGACATCCTTCCGGGACGGCGATGCCTCCATCAACAACGTCAATAACCTTCTCGACCCACGGACCATTGCCGCCTAGATGATAGAGAATGTTCCAATCATGAGTCGTGGTCCCTGCCCCTTGCTTATGTTCCGCTGGTACGCCATCGGTTCGCTGTGGGTGCCACCAGCTGCTCCAGGTCGATTGGTGAGGTTTGCCTGCGCATCCGTACTGGAAGTATCCGGAGTGCGACGTCTCGGCGTTGGAAGGACAGGAATGGGAACAACCTTCCTCACATGTGTAGTAACGAAACAGCCATAAACCGCTGCTGAGCACGACGATATGAACGATGACAGAGCCTAAGGATAGTAACGAAGGCATGGTGACGCCGCTATGAATGATCGGTGCAAGGCAGTATTGACATGCAGCATGATCACGGTTTTCAGTGACATTACGGGCAGTTGTCTGACGATGGGAAAGCGGTGTGGGTCAAACGCGACTGCAGATGCAAACACTCGTTCTTGCCAAGGACCGCATGACTCGTGCTTGAAGCAGCGGTCTTACCTGTCGTTGTGCGACCTCATCGGCGGTATCCATTATGCGTTTCTATCTGGTCGTTGTTGCGAGTAACGCTGCTGTGGATTGGGTACATTGAGATTGGGAGCTTAAGTGGCGAGCAAGACGCTGTTGTACCTCGGCATCATCTAACGCCTTACGCTTTGTACTCCACTTTCCCCATGATGATCCTCCCCTTGTCTCGTCCCCTTCTCCAACCTCGTTTCCGTCAAAGACGGTACAAGACTGGACAGCTTGCATTATCAAGGATTCACGAGAGAGATTTGTATAACATCGCAGTGATCTACAGTCAAAATGACGGATTCTGGTTACAAACCCACGGAGCACTACGAGCCAGATCCAGAATCGTATACCCAGTATCAGCGTGATATTTACGGCAACCTACGAAGACCAAAGTATTCCACCAAACCTTCACAATGGGAAGCTGCAGCAAAAGCAAATATACCACTGCCAAACTTTCTCTATGTCTTCGGAGCAGCAAGCAGCGAGTCAACAAATAGAGCCAATATCTCGTCATTCGAGCGCTACCGTCTGAGACCATGGATGCTTGTTCAAGCTACACGACGCGACATGTCCGTGGAGCTCTTTGGACAGCGATACCCTAGCCCTCTATTGGCAGCTCCCATCGGCGTCCAAGGAATCCTTCACGACGATGGAGAGGAGGCAACTGCTCGAGCTTGCGCAGCAGTGAATGTGCCAATGATCCTCAGCACTGCGGCTACGAGATCGATTGAGGAGGTTGCCAAAGCTAATGGGGATGGAGATCGATGGTACCAGCTCTACTGGCCAAAACCACAAGCGGAAGAATTTACTGCCAGTCTTTTGAGTCGTGCCAAGGCAGGTGGCTTTAAGGTGCTCGTGGTCACTCTTGATACTTTCATGATTGGGTGGAGACCCAGCGATTTGGATGAATCATATCGTAAGTGTCTCTGTTATGTGCTTAGGTGGTACAATATGTTAATTGAACCAGTACCCTTCGTCTACGGTCAGGGCTGCCAGGTTGGCTTTTCCGACCCTGTCTTCCAGCGCATGTACGAGGAGGAGCAAGCAAAGGACAGCAGAAGCGTCACCGAGAAGGTAGCGGAAATCTGGCAGATTCTGAAGCGCCCTGGAAGTGTAAGTGGGAGCATGAAAGTTCTCACACATGCCACTGTCATGAAAAAGGCCAGGTTCTTCACTTCACTTGTGGCATCTGGGCACTATCGCGACTGGAATGACTTGCAAACCCTGCGCAAGTACTGGGATGGTCCAATTGTACTTAAGGGTATCCAGACAGTCGAAGATGCCCACCGGGCTATCGATCATGGCATGGACGGTATTATCGTTTCCAACCACGGTGGCAGACAGCTTGATGGCGCAATCTCCTCGATAGACGCTTTGGCCGAGATCGGCGCCGATGAGAGGGTAAAGGACTCGAACTTGACCCTTCTTTTTGATAGCGGCATACGGACTGGATCGGATGTTCTCAAAGCCTTGGCACTCGGTGCAAAAGCAGTTCTCGTTGGACGACCGTATGTGTACGGTCTTGCCATGGGCGGTGAGGAGGGCGTCAAGCATGTCCTCAACTGTATGCTCGCGGACACGGACTCTTCGCTTGCGAATCTTGGCAAGAAGAGCATTGCGGAGATCAGTCGCAACGACCTGAGGGTGTTACAGGAATTGGCGAAGCTGTGATCAAGGTGTTCCCAGCTGCAGGCTCTCGAAGGACACAGCGGTACATTATGCTCCGCCATCTCAAGGGATCACTGACTCGACACCCCCCGATAGATCACAATATCATGTTCTCCTCTTCTCAAAGTCTTGATCAACATGACGAACGCTTCTTCCGATGTTCCGGACCGCTCTTTCACTGAGTGGGTTCTTGCCACTGCGATACCGCGGGAGGGGTATCCACTTTCTTACGTCGTTTTCTCGGTCTAATGGGGTCAACAGGGGTTGCAATCGGGCGAAGAGCAGGCGGCGGGTGCTAGGAGCTGACGAGCGGCAGAGAAGGATCCAAGCTGTATAGAAACTATGACCGGCACCCTCTTCCCCCCCTCGTACCTCGTTATTCAATTGCAATTCTCTATCAGAGACCAAGCATAAACGTACGCCTCAACTCCGGCTTCCACTTCTCCGCCGTCGACTCGAGTCCAGTCAGTCATCAAGATGCTTTCAATCAACATTTTTCTCACTGGTAGTATTTGTCTAGCCACTTTGATACCCACTTCTAAATCCCATCAGCTCTGCTTGCCATCTTCACCTTCGTCACTGCTGAGGACCCCAACTTCTACCTCATCAACGACTGCAACTTCGACGTCTACGTCCGTGAGGCTATTGGCGAACATCCAGGTTACAGCCCGATTGTAAATTGCGCTAATTTTGGCGAGAGCCAAGAAGTCGTGCTGGCTGGTAAAGGCGGGACTGGCTATGGGTCTTTCCCGGTCTATCAAGACGGCTGCGGACACAGCTGTAAGCCACACACTGCTATGAAAATATCACTGACGTGACATTGTACTGATGCCGATGTATAGACAAGGTTGCGCGGCAGCCTCGTGGCGAGGTCTACCAGTTCGAGTTCACCTGGGCCCATGAAGGCACTGGTATTTGGTACGACCTCAGCCACATCAACGGCAACCCCTTCAAGGACGTCGAGCGCGAGATGTCGCCCCACAACGGATGCCCTACCCTCCACTGTGACGCCGGCAACGATGGCAGTCAGTGCGACTACGATATTCAGAAGAACTGTCCCACTCCTAGTCCGATCGCAGGTTTCCTTTGCGGCAGGACACATGCCGTGGACTGGAAAAAAGTCAAGGCCAAGGCCGTGTCGCTGAAGAGCCTCCCACCTGCTCCTTAGGCTGTGAGAGTGAACTTGAAGACGGGAATGAAGATGTTGGGAGGTGCAAGATGGGCACATCATTGGAAGACGACTTGGATACGCAGTTAGATGTCAATGAAATCAAACAGGAAGAAATAAACTGTAGTTCATGGCCTCGCAGGCACGCAATCTGGTCCTGATACTACATGAAGACCTGAAGTCTTGTGCTGCGGCTATGTCCATGATCCAGATCTACCACATTGACCTGAACTCGTGGAAGTCTCAATACACAAAGTCTTTTGGTATCTAAAGCTGTGCCCAACACTTGCCAAGACAAGTTTTCAAACATCAGTCTGACGAGCGATGAAAGGTTGCGCGCACGTGACATCGCGTAAACGGGCTAATGACGCAGACGCGGGGCATGGCCCATGCTCCTCAAGTCTTAGACGTCAGCCTGTGCTCTACTTTTGTGTACACGACAAATGTACAAGACACTCTCTAATTGCTTAATAAGGCGAGCACCCGCATCTATCAAGTCCGTCCATCGAATCTCAGCTCAATCGCTCAACGCAACCTCAATCCCAACCCGCACCTTCTCCAGAACTACACGCTTCAGTGCCGCCTACAACATGCCACAAGACCCAAAAATTGTCAAAGTCGAGGAACTCCCCGCAACCGAAGCGAAATGGATCGAGTTTCAGAAGATCTCATGGCAAGGTAATAACATGCTCACCCCACGTTCCCCAACATCCCACACTAACCCCACCCACAGACCAAACAGGCAAAGACCGCGTCTGGGAAGCCGCCGCGCGCAAAACCCGTGGCAAAGCCGGTGTCGACGCCGTCGCCATCGTCACCATAATCCGGCACCCAAACCGCCCGCCCTCGACCATCATCATCTTGCAGTACCGCCCGCCCGTCGACGCCGTGTGCGTCGAGCTCCCCGCCGGCCTGGTCGACGAGAAGGAATCGCCCAGCGACGCGAGTGTGCGCGAGCTGCACGAGGAGACGGGGTACAAGGGCAGGCTAAGTTTCATTAGCCCGACCATTGTGAGCGATCCGGGGCTGAGTACGGCGAATATGCAGCTGGCGGTTGTGGAGGTGGATCTCAAAGAGGGCGATGAGGAGCCGGAGCAGAAGCTGGAGGATGGCGAGTTTATCGAGAGGGTGGTGGTGCCGGTTGGGGAGCTTTATGAGAGGCTGGTACAGTATGATAGGGAGGGGAAGACGGTGGATGCGAGGCTTTGGCATTGGGCGGCGGGTTATCATGCGGCGAAGACGATGCTGTGAAGGGGGATGTGCGTGAGGGAAGAAGACGTGAGATGCGATCGCTGGGCAATGAATGTATGTGCTATAATGAAAGCAGCACAATTACTGCCGCAGACACCATCAACGAACATGCTTCTTTTCCTGCTTCTACGTACGAGAACTGCGATCTTCACCACCCACACCAACCCTCTACGCAGGCGTCTTCCTAACATCCTTCAACTTAATCATCAACGGACTCTTCTCCCACGTATTATACGCTCTCAGCCCCTCAAATTCATTCTTCGGATGCCACAACGGCGCCCCATCCGCAAACTCAATGTCGAAATTCCACAACAGCGCCGCCAGAATCAGCCTCAACTCGACATACGTCAAGTTGCGCCCAATACAGCCTCGCGGACCTGTTGAGAACGGCTGCGCGGCTTTCTTGATGTCGCTGCCGTACTTTTCGCGTGATGACGGCGTGTCCATGAAGCGCTCTGGAATGAAACTGTCTGGGTCCGCGAAGTTGGAGGCGGAGTGTGCGGCGGCCCAGGATGCTACGCATACAGATGTGCCGCCGGGGACGGCGTGGCCGTCGATCAGAGAACCACCTTTGGGCACGGTACGTAGCAAACCGATTGGAACAGGTGGGAAGATGCGCAGACCTTCCTCGATACAAGCATTCATGTACGGCAGATCCGCCAGGACATCCATGTTGATGTCCTCCTCGGTCTTGCACGCCTCTCTAATCTCCGCCACGATCTTCTTGTGCATGGGCGGATTGCGCAGGAGATAATTCGTCAACCCGCAGAGTTCTGTGGCGGTAGTTTCGCTGCCGGCGACGATGAAGAGCGCGGCGTTCATGATGACTTCGTCGTCGCTGACTTCGTTCTTCTTCTCGCGCTGCTTGAGGATGTACCAGATGAAGTCGCGGTGCTCCGTCTTGGTCGCCATGCGGCGCACGGTTTTCTCCGTGCTGTTGCGGAGATGGCGGGTTCTTCGCTCGCGGATGGCAGAGGGTATGCACCACATCAGGAAGCGTTGGGAGAGGGAGCCTGGTGCGGCGAAGCGGCGCGTGGCTTGCTCGATGGCGCCGGATTTGATGGCTTCGTAGATGAGGACAACCCAGTTTGCGGATTCGGAACCTTCGCCTGGGGTGGTTTGTCAGTACATATACACAATCATATGTTAAGTCGAGAAGATTCCTGATAGTCGAAAAGCAATATAAACAACCAGTGACGGGAGGAGTACCGACCTTCTCGCAAACACCCAAACGGCTCTCCAAACGACAAATCACCAATGATATCAAATGTGCAAAAATTAAACCAAGACACCATATTCGCCGACTTCCCACTGTGTGCCATCTCCCTCAACTTCCGCACAAACAGATCCACATAGCCCCGCAGAATCGGCTCCTGCTCGAGTAACGCCTGTTTAGAAAACGCATGCGCCAGCGCTCTCCTCTGCCTCGCATGATGCGTATCGGGCGCCATTGTCAAATTTGTAGCCCCAGGAATCGCCTCGACGGCACCAACGTGGATCGGATCCTTGTCCATGTTCTGCAGCCCGACGCGGTGCCCGTAGATGTCGTCCCAGGCCTTTGCGGTGTTGAAGGAGAGTTCGTTGGGCATGACGCGCACCACCGGGCCGTATTTATCGTGTAGGACTTTGTAGTCGAAGGCTATGCGGCCGCGCAGGAGGGAGATGACGGATGGGATGGGAGATATGCGCCATAGTAGTGGACCTGGGAATTTCGCGAGGGGGTGGAGAGTGATGTTGTACACGAAGTTTAGGAGTGTGTAGGAAATGAAGGCAACTGGGACCCAGATTGCGATCTGGTACAGACTGTATGTGTCGACTAGACCCATGTTGGCAAAGCTGCGTGATCTGAGTGAGATAGGACTGCTGTGGAAAGTTGTTGGTCGAAGCAAAGACAAAATACCAGCAGTTTAATTATAGTCCAGCTTATTGGTCCCTGTGACCATGACGCTGTTGCCGGTGAATCAGTAAGCCGCTGTCATTTCAGAGTGTGGCGGCACGTTTCCGCCAAAGCATTTCCGACCGCAGGTGTGCAGACCAAAAGTTGAAATCGCTGAATGAAGTTCAACTTTGGTAGCATTGACTCATCGTAACTGTGCTCGCTTGGTCAATAACGCTCATCAGTCTACTGATGGCATTTCAGTGAATCATATTCAATGTCAACGAGAGTAACGCCTGGTCACGTTGTCTGAACATCGGAATCTTGGAGGTTGGAAATGCTTTAGCGTGGTGTACCATGGGAGACCCCGCATACCCCGCGAAGGGTGGCTCCAATGCCATTCAGGACGACTCGTGTGCCGAGTTGCATCTAGCTGACTGGAGTCATGTTTTCAATCTTGCGATTTGGGGAGCGCGGTATGAAAATTGTCATGAATAATCTGATTGAGCAGAGAAGGAATTGATTGAGACGTCTGTGATTTGCGCTTTTCTAATGCGACAAGGGGTGTAGCGGCCTCATCACTGGTCATAATGACCCTCCTTCTGACTTTCCTTCTCACCTTCGCACCCATGATGACGGGAAATGTGAACATTTGCATTAACTAGCCCTAGGGGATGACCTTTGCCTGCCTCATGCGATCGAAAGCAATCTTCCACGTTTCGGGCGTCCGAATCTCCTCCGTATATCCCGCCTTGTGCGAAGCCTCCATGCTCATCTGGCGATCAAAATCAAACAGGGTCATGATGAAATACTAAGAAAATGTATTAGCCAAGCTCTCCGCGCAAACAAGATATGCTCTTACTTGAAATCCCGGATGTGAGATATCGCTATCCACACTCCCTTCCTTGAGATTATGCTTCTTCTCCAGCTCGTCCCATTCTTTCCTATGCGCGGCGATATACGCGCCAGGTTGCGGTGAGTTCTCCTGGGGGCCAGTACCCTTCAAACCAAAGTATTCGCAGATGATCGGCCACTTGCCGCTCCAAGTGTCTTCTTGGCCGCCGACATTGAAGCTCTGTGACGCTGTCTTCTCGGGATGCAACGAGGCGTGGATGGAGAAGTGCGCAACCATGTCCTGTGGCGATTCGTTGTATTTGTTCACCCAGGACTTTTCTGTACCTGGGAATGGACACTTTGCGGCTTCGCCCTCTACTGCACGATATAGAGAAAGGTACAACGCGAGTGTCTGTCCGAGGTTGTAGGCGTTGTTGTTGGGCACGAAACCGATAATGTTGTCTGGTCGCACTTCGCACCAGCTCCACTTCTTGCCTTTGGATATGCGCTTGAGGCAGTCGATCTGGTTGTAGTAGAAGAGCTGAGAAATGTATGGCTCGGGAATTGGAGGGAGAGTCTCCTTTAGCGGTAGATCGTTTGAGAATGGAAACTTGTCCAGCATCTGGCAGCCGTAGATCTTGGTTCCGGTGGGTAGGAGGACATACGAAAGCTTGGAGGAGAGATGGTCGATCGCAGTAACTGCTCGTTCCAACATTTCTTCGTTCACCTTGCATTCGTACTCTGCGTCATCTGATTGCTTGTATGCTTGTCATCGTTAGTTTTCTCTCTCCAACTGTAGCCAACATTCGCTCACAGTAAAAGTAAACCTGGGTGACGCTCTCAACGTCAGTAACTTTCTCCTTGATCTGCTTCTCAAGCTCTTCTTGAGTCCCCTTGACCAGATCGACTCCTGACACAATCTGCAACCTTGGATCGTCTGGCCAAAGAGCCATTTCTCGTGTCAACGGTCGATTGACCATGGCGGTGACTTTGGAGAACGCATCCTTTGAGGGATAACCATTCAGAATAGCATTGACGATAGCCCAGCCAGAAATGCCCGACGCGCCGTAGATCAAAGCGTGGTTGCCCATGTTTGTAAATTAGAAGTCAAAGTAAAGTGTGTGAAGCTTAAAGGAAAGACAAACAGGCGCGACGCGTCAAGGTCGGACCCTGAGATAAGTACCCCAAAGCGCAGGAACCATTCAGCCTCCCTCAGCGCCGGTCTCAAATGATCCTATGCCTTTGCTGGTCTGGCGCATGATCGTCTCAATGTTCTGGGTGTGCTGACCACAGCTTTCGGGAGTCCAGGCGGAAGACAATATCCAATGCGTCCTTGACACCATTCACCCCGCATTATGGTCCCGGCATGACTCGTGCTCTGGTGTCATTGAGCAACTCGCCTTTGACGTAGCAAGATGCCATGTTCTCGATACGAATAAGTTGTTGGCTTGTTGATACAAGGATAAAAGTTGTTGGATGTCAGTGTTTAGGGTGGGTATCGCGAGCATAGGAAGGCGCTAGTGAACATAGTGTATACATCGCAACTATGTCATCTCACACCTGGAGTTATCTTTTCCTCTGACAACAACATTGATAGAAAAGCTCGACGTTTAGCCAAGAACTAAACAACAAGAAATAATTCTACGTTCAGACTGGTTCTAGGCCATAGCTCAGCGTGCCCAGAACGAAATGCGGCCCTTTACAGTCGGAAAATGGAGATGCACTGTCGATCAACTAGTAATCTTCCTTGTCTTTTGCCACGTGTAGTATATTGTGAAGATGGCTCCACTCCGGTTTACTTACTCGGAATTCGCAGCGTGAAGGCTATATCGGTCCATGACTGCATGCTGACTCGTATGTCGTGATTGGCCCGATCGCAATGCAGAGTGGATGTTATTTAATCGTTCATAACTGATGAAGAAATGAACTCCTGTGTGCGAGTCCTTGCAGGTTTCGAAATTTCCAGGCGGTGAAGATGTAAGTTGTGAGCCGATGACATTCTAACATGGATTAGAGCCTAGGACCAATGATGTGAGCCGGTCATGGTAAAAGGTTGGGCGTAAGCGTATCACAGTCGGTGAATTATGCTCCTAGTGCAGCGATCGTTCGGCGTGTCGACTACTTGGTACCACTGACGGTCAACGGGCCGCAAGCAAGGAGAGATAGACTTTTGACGGCATGTTCCATGATGGCGTTCGTCACATCATGGCCTCAGCAGAAATGGTACCGCCGGTGGCAGGAGCGGACGGTCCAACATCTCCGACCAGCGATTTATTTTCTCCAGGCGGCGATCTGTCGCGAGTCGGGGATCTGAGGACCGGAAGTTGCCAGCCGTGTGTGCATAAGGCAGCATGGTTAGCATAGGGATGGTTTCGCTAGCAGCAGGGAGTTGAAGTGCGTGAGCATGGGCTGCGACACAATAGGCACATGGGACTGTGATCCGACTGGGTGGAAGGTTAGATTGGGCTGGTGTCAGATGGTTTCTGTGCAACGAGGGCGTGTTGTTGGTGGTGCAGGGATGTGTAGTATTTGTCTGTGCATTATCAAGAACCCGCATGTGAGAAATTGACGTCTCGCAAAGAACCGGCCACCTTGGACCTTTTGGAGGATCCGGACACAATTGCGGCAGAACGGAAGGGAATCTCTGCTGACACGCGACGCCTCTTGACCATAGCTTCCTGGCCGTTGCGCGAGCTGACTCGATAGTTGAGCTGCACGTGCATCCAAAGTTTGGGTGTGGGGAAGAGTAGCCACAGCATCCATCAGGGGCGCGCCGCACATGGAGAGCAAACCAGACCGACAGCACGAGACCGCAACCCCCAAACATTCACGACACCCACATCAATCGCACGGCGCGTGCTCGTAATGCCCCCGCGCCGAATTGCTTCACGATAGCCCCCCCACGACTGGTGCCATGCCGAGCTGGAGGCCGCTGCCGCGCATCGCGTTCGCCATCTGCACATATCCCTTCCAGCCGTCGTCGACGGCGGACCTGCCGCTGGAAATTGGCGATGAGCTGTACATCATCGAACAGGGAGGGAGGGACGGGTCGTGGTACCGCGGCTATCTGGTTGCGCCGCCCTCACTGCTGGCCGGCCTCACGAGCGTCAAGGGCCAGACGCTAGAGGCGCGCGTCTTCTCGGGCATCTTCCCGCGCAGCTGCGTCGAGGTGCGCGAGGTGCTGGGCGAGGGGAGAAAGAGCGACGCCGCCAACGAGGCAGGCGCGCAGGGGACCACGGCCGACAGCCACGAGAAGGGCCCCAACGGCGTCGTGACGCCCACCGAGAGCACCCGCACCACCTCCCCGAACGCAAAGACGAGGGCGTCCAAGAGCGATGCCGTCTCCGCCCTGTCCTCGTCCACGGCGCGTCCGCTCGAGCGCCGCCGCTCCAACAGGAAGCGCGCCGGCTCGCACGCGTCGCAGTGGACCGCCCGCGAAGAGCACCTCCAGCAGCTGATGCTGCCGCTGTCGCCCATCTCAGACCCCAATGCCCCGCGCCCGCCCGCGCCCGTGCCCATGCTGAAGATTGGCGACGAGACGCCCACCTCTGCCCAAGAGCCCCTGGTCGACGAGATCGCCTCGTGTCTGCGCGAATGGCACTCGACCAAGGTGCACGAGCTGCTGCTGGTGCGCAAATATGGCTCGCTGGACAAGATGTCCGCCCTCGTAACCCGTCTGGACACCGCCCGGCGGCAGCTGCTGCACAAGGTGCTGACCGCAAAAGAGCTGGAAAAGGTGCGCGAGGCCACCGTATGGGACCTGGTGGCGGGCAACAAGATGCTGAGCGGAGACGTCATCGTGCGGAACCCCTCGCAACGCGGACGCATATTGACGGGCGACGACTCGGCCATTGAGATCACGAAACTGCAGTCCATGATGAGCCTGCTGGAGAGCCGCCCGACCCCCCAAATTGACGAGCACAACTTACACCACCTGTATGTGAGCTTGCGACACGCACAAGGCGACGTTGTGCTCGGCGCTGCCCAAGTCAGCATGCATCTGTGCCTGAAGGCGCCTGGTGCACAACCGCAACCGCTATCTGAAGCATACTCCTTCGACTTGACCACGCGAGACGGCTCGCCTGTGCCGCTAGCCGGGGACAAGCTACGCTCGCTGTTAGTAGACCTCAGCTCGACGGATATTGGAGAAGGCGCAGGTTCTGGTTCCACGCTGTACCTCATCTTCAAGCTCATGACCAACGAATCGCTACGTGCACAGACAGCCAGCGAGAAGATGGGCGTTCAAAAAGACGCCACAACCACCAATGGTTCTGACATACAGCGCTCGAATATCGGAAGCGTCAAGGGCGGCAGACGGAGCGTCATGTTTGGCTCCAAACGGAAAGAGTCGGCCAGCCCCCAAACCACCAATTCATCTTCCAGTCCGCGCCTAAACAGCTCGGACCTCATCAGGTCGCAGGGCTCAGACGACCGCCCAGAATCCGCAGCCACAAGATCAAGAGCCCTGTCCAAAGATCATAAGACGATAAAGCGAGTCAACGCCGTTGGCGTGCTCAATGTGAACCAGATCATGCGTAGCGAAGCCGAGATTGACCAGACAGTGACCATGTGGACAACAGCAACGCAATCTGACGAAACACTAAAAGACGACGCCGGCTGGGACAGTCTGTTAGCAGAAGTGTACCCCAGCCCGAGCGGCAAATACACGCAAAACGCGCCTATCAGCCAGATTACTGTTCACTTGAAAGCATTTGTCCACCCCGATGCCGAACGACTCATTGAAAAGACACCTACCCTACTCCACAATGTCAAACCCACGCGGAAAATCGGGTTTTCAGGAGCACCAACAAAACCTAGAAGCGACATCTACCTAACTCTCGCCGAGCCTTTCCTGCCGAAGAACGCATTTCTTGCTCACCCAAAGACTGGGACTGTACCACTAGTCCAGTCATCTGCAATGACTAACTTGCAGCTCACCATCGAGGTGCGAAAGAGCTCCGGTGAACGTATTGATGGTTGTATATATCCTTCAGCCAACAGTGCCGGACATACAGCTTGGCGCACAACCGCAGTGGAGCGAGGTCAAGGCTGGAATTCCACCATTCGACTCGCAATTGACCCTCAAGACGTCCCCGGATCGCATCTTGTCATGAGCGTTGCAGATGCGCCAGGGTTCCCATTCGCGCTCTGTTGGATGCCGCTCTGGAATCAGGACGCGTTCATACGCGACGGAGACCACGCATTAACTCTGTACCGCTATGACGAATACACGTCAGGCATGATTGCTGGCAAAGGAGCCTATCTTGGTCTTCCATGGAGCGCCAGGAGAAAAGATGAGCACGTCATGGGTCCGATGGCGGCTGTACATCTCAAAACATTCCTCTGCAGCACAAAATATTCCCAAGATCCAACTATCCTGGGTCTCGTCAAGTGGCAAGATCAGCCAGCCGGCGAGCTTGTAGCTCTTCTGCGGCGGTTCAACTTTGTGCCTGAGATCGAGATCGTCAAGCTGCTCGACGTAGTCTTTGATGCACTCTTCGCAATTCAGAGTCACTATGCTGGAAGCGATGAGTACGAGGACCTCGTCTTCAACGCTCTTGTCATAGTTTTTGGCATCGTCTATGATCGCAGGTTCAATCTCGAGCCTCTGGTGGACCAATATGCCCGAACGAAAGTCTTTCACTCTCTTGTCACATCATGCCTGATGCAGAGCTATGGCCGGTTGCTTGCCAAACCTGCTGATCCAGAGTGCTCGCGTCGATTACGGGCTACCTTCAAGGTCGGCAAGCTCATCATGAAATTCTTGGTCAATGCCCGTGAAAAACAGAGAGCGAAAGAGGAGAGCATCGGCATCAAGGACCGTGTCCAGTTCACTCGGGAGATGAAGGTCCTTTTTACTTCTTTTGAGGCATTGATGAAGAGCAAATCGCCCGTAGTCATCGGCACCAAGACTCTTCTAGTGCAGAACTTTCATTCGTGGCTGCCAGAGTTGGACGGTTGCATGCCCGCACTGGACGTCTTCAAGCTAGCCGAAAGTTTCATCGAGTCGTGTGCAGATGTACAGGGCAAACTAATCCTCTACAAGCTCCTGCTGATCCACCATATCTCGGACCTTCAGATCTTTCGTACCCCAGAGGTTCGACGTCTCCTTCTAAGCAAGACGGCAAAATGGCTAGCCCCGTACTGGGGTAAAGTAGAGCAAGTCACTGATCAGTGGAAGGAGCAGGTGCGTCTTTGTTGCTCAGTAGTTGCATCGCAGGTAGAAGAGCTTGGACAAGAAACCTGCGACTACATGGAAAAGCTGGTGAACTCGTACCGCGCGATACAAGCAACACCTCGACCAGCGAAGAAAACCCTGTCACTTTTGTTCCCAACCACGTACCCGTTCCAATCTCGGCCAGTCGCGGTCGCCTCGACATTCGACGAGGCGTTGGCGGAAATATCTGCCATCCTTGCTGCCATGTCGAACTCGCCAGCACTGATGCATCTCGACAAGACCAGGGAGGATGCACCGGAATTCCTGTTTTCCGTATTGCAAGTCTACATCTCCATTCTTGACTGCGAGGCCTATCCAAGCTCGTGGTTGAGCGTACATATCTACCACCACAAGGCTACTATGCGCGCCCTGGAGAAGTTGTTTAACATTCTTGTCGATTCTTTCCTCCCTCTACCCGACGAAGCCGATAATTTCAATACGGAGCTCTGGCGAGCATTCTTCGATGCCCTGTTGAAGCTTGTCGGAAGCGACGCACTCGCATTGGAAACCTTTCCAGAACAGAAGCGACGTGCAGTCTGGAAGATCGCAGGTGACGTTCGTGAGCACGGTGCGGATCTGCTGCAGCGAAGTTGGGAAGCGATAGGCTGGGAAACAAGCGCAGAAGACAAGACTCGATATGGGCTCGATAAGATGGGCGGTTTCCAGGTGCAATACGTACCGGGCCTTGTTGCTCCGATCGTGGAACTGTGTCTTAGTGTCCACGAAGGGTTGCGTAGTGTCGCAATTGAAGTACTACAGACGATGATACTTAGCGAGTGGACATTGAGTGAGGATCTTTCACTCATTCAGGCTGAAATGATTGATTGCCTGGATCATTTGTTCAAGACTAAACACTTGACTGAGGCTGTCTTGCAAAAGCACTTCATACAAGAGCTCGTAGAGCTGTTCGAGCCTCTGGCCCAGGATCCCGAAGAGCCGATCCTCGCAGCACTGAAAACACTCATCGCCACTATTGATGAACTGCTGGATCTCCTTGTAGCTGTGCATAGCACCGAAGCAGCTGGCGAGATCTTCCACATCATGGACACGCTTCACCTCATGGAGTTTTTGAAGGACATGCAAAAGGAGGACATCTATATCCGCTACGTGCATCAGCTGGTAGAGCTCCAAGCAGACGCACAAAACTTTACCGAGGCAGGTCTCGCTCTTCGTTTGCATGCCGAATTATACGAATGGAACCCGAACAGCACCGTGGATCCTCTGACTGATCCGAGTTTCCCACCCCAAACGGCGTTCGAGCGTAAGGAGCAACTGTACTTCCAGATGATCGAACACTACGAGAGCGGACAGTCATGGAACAACGCATTGGCAGCGTACACGGAGCTTGCGGCCCAATACGAGCATAACATATTTGACTTTGCCAAGCTAGCCCGGACGCAGCATGCCATGGCCAAGATCCACGAGGCTATTGCAAAAGGCGAACGCGCCAACCCACGATACTTCAGGGTTGTGTACAAGGGTCTAGGGTTCCCTCCCGGACTGCGCGACAAGCAATACATATTCGAAGGCTCTGCAACAGATCGACTTGCCTCCTTTACTGATCGCATGCAGCAACAGCATCCGGCAGCGCAAGTCCTCAACCCTGGCGCTGAGCAAGATGTGGAAGGCCAGTACCTGCAGATCTTCCCCGTCAGCCCACAGAAGGACCTCGCACATCCGATCTTCCAGCGGGCAAAGGTTTCGCAATCCGTCAAAGACTTCTATCTGCTGTCACGGCCATCTCATTTCACTTCTGCATCGCGCCGAGCACCATCCAATGCGAATAGCAAGGAGCCAACAGTTGAAAAGACTGTCTACACAACTGCCGAAGCATTTCCCACAATACTGAGACGAACGGAGATTGTAGCTGTCGGCAATGTTACCCTCACGCCTCTTCAGGCCGCCATTGAACGCACGTCACGAAAGACTGTTGAGCTCGGTGCCATAGAGAAGAGAATCGTCGACGGAGATGATAGTGTCTTCAATAGTCTTACGCAAGAACTGATGTATGCTGTAGACACAGCATCAGATAGCTGCGTAGCCAATTACCATGACCTGCTTTCTCCCGAACAGGAGGAAGAAGACGAACCTGAAGAGCAATCTGAGAGTAATTCAAACCCCCTAGAGAATGCGCTACGAGTTTCATTGGTCGATTACGCTCTGGTCATTCGACGTTGTCTAGCGCTGTATACGAGGCCTGCTCAGCAAGCCACCAAAGCAGACCTCACGCACCGTATGTATTCCACCAATCTCTATCCACGGCTCTGCTGACGATCATCCAGGATTCGAAGCAGCTTTCTATAGGGAGCTCTCAGTCCTAGCGCCGCTCAATATGGCACCAATGATGCGTTCGCCAACAGGGTCGTGGATAGCCACAACAGCGTCACGTTCGCATCTGGCGAGTCCAACGCCCGATGACAACCAGCCCAACGGAACACGTGTGACTTCGCCCCAACCAAATGGTAGACCAGCCCGTCAAGACAAGAAACGCCTCAGCCTCGCATTCCTCACCAAAGGTGTTCTGATGGGCGAGTCGGACAAGGACAAGGACAAGGACAAAGACAAAGACGTCAAGCCGGCCGACGACGATAACAACGACGCATCTTCCATCTCCACTTCGACGCGCAGCCCCAGCAAAGAAGTCAGCCGGCACCGCCTCAGTCTTAGTTTTCTGAATCACGCAACCACCCCTGTGACGCCCAGTTCACCGGCGCCCGAAGCTTTGCCTGCGTTCCAGAACATGAGTCAGACGAGTCTGGGACGAACTCCCAGTACGACTAAACGACCAGAGACAGGCGGCAGCAAAAGTCTGAAGAGCGAGAGCAGTGGCGGAAATATGAAGGGAAGCATGAAGAAAAGGCTCAGCTTCATGACGATTGGCAAGAAACGCAGTAGGAGTAGTGTCAGGCCCAAGCAGCAGGACACTTTGATGGAGGAGTAGCAGTGATGATTTTAAGATTCTTTGTACAACACACTTCCCCAAAGCAGCCTTGTAATGATGTGGATACATGGGAAATTCAGCGATCTGGTAGGATCTTGGTCACTTCTTGTGCCTTCGGGCTAGGCTTTTTTTTTGTATAGTATGGAAGTAGAGGTTTGACGTTTATACCCATGTCAATTCAATTCTGGCAATGATACCATTCTCAAATGCTTCCCTCTGATGGACGTCTGTCTTTATGTTGCATGTCGGCTGAAGTACCCAAGCACGGAACCTCTAGGCTGGGGTGATCACGAGGCACGTGACATACCGCTAGTCGAAACCACACTAGCGCAAGTGTCGGTCTTTCGAACACTAAATCCGACATGTAGATAATTTTCGAGAAGCCAGCCGCGCCGTGCATGATATTTTGCGACAAGTGCCCACCATGTCGCTCGAAGAAAGGCTCACCAAGATTCGGGACAACCCGAACGCACAGAGTCAGAAACAGGTATTTGAGCCGTCCATGTATTCCTAGATTATATCTGCTAACATTTCAGACGCATGTGCTGCTCTCTGCCATCGAAGAAACGCTGCGCCAGCAAAAGTCGGAGTTCACACCCACAGCATACTTTGCAGCGTTGCTAGCACTGCTGGGTCGCCAGATCACTTCAGAAGGCATACCAAACAAAGAAAGCGCAACGGCTACTATCTACCTGCTCGACCTCGTTACGCCTCACGTCCCCGCGCCTCTGCTACGCTCCAAATTTACCGAGATCATTACAAGCCTTGCGCCCGCCCTCACCCACCAGGACGCCGATGCGCCCCTCATACGATCGTCGATAGGATGTCTCGAGTCGCTGCTGGTAGTGCAGGATGCGCGCGCGTGGGAGCTGCCCCAGTCGCAGATTAGCCCTCGGAGGGCTGTCGCGGGACTGCTGCAGATCTCTGTCGACACCCGGCCAAAAGTACGTAAGAGGGCTCAGGAAGCGCTGGCAAAAGTGCTTGCGAACCCGCCACCCAGTCCTTCGCTCGACCATCCGGCGGCAGACATGTGCGCAGAGACGGCACTGAAAATGCTGCATGACATTGCGGAGGCCGCAGCGAAGTCGAGGAAAAACAAGGCCAACAAGGATGGACTGAACAAAGACCCAGATCTGATCCACGCACTTCAGCTGATCAAGACAATTGCAACATCTTCAGGTGGCTGGCCCAGCAGGAAAATCGACGTGCTGTGCGAGCTGTTGCTTAACATCTCCAAGTCAAGCAACGAGTTTCTGACCATGGCCGCCTTTGAAATTTTCGAGGTCATTTTCGCCGGCATGGTTGACGAACTTGCATCTGCAAAACTTCCACGCCTGTTGGAGGTCATTGCCGAACTTCAGCCCTCGAAGAACGACTCGCAGCTGTTGCCTCCCTGGATAGCTGTCATCTCTCGGGGCTATGAGGTCTCCGCGCAAATCGAGCCTGAAGATACTTTCATGAAGCTTCCGGAGCTCTTCACCATGATCTCCGAATTTCTCACATCGTCCTCGCACAACATCCGCATCTCGGCTTCTGAATGCTTGATTTCCTTCCTTGTTAATTTGATACCCGATAGCGTCATCCTTGAACCCTCAGTATACGACGAAAAGACACTAGAAAAGGTGGCGAAGATTGCACAGGACTTATTGAGCGTCAAATACCAGGCCGCCTGGATGGAAGTGTTCAACATGCTGTCCGCTATGTTTGAAACCCTGAGGTGGCAGGCAGACCCAATCCTCAAGCCTGTGCTGAGGACTGTGGGCGATCTGCGCAGCAACGAGAGCTTTGCAGGCAAGAAGGAAGCTGATGCTGTCATTTCGAGAGCTATTAGCGCCATGGGTCCAGAGGCCGTCCTACAGATTCTGCCATTGAACCTTCCGCGACCGCCGCCTGGGCAGACTGGACGAGTTTGGATGCTGCCTTTGCTACGAGACGCAGTCCACAACACTAAACTGGCGCACTTCAGATCTGAGATGGTACCATTAAGTGAGCAGCTTTACAACAAAGTCCTCGAACATGGCACGCGCGAGAAGACTATGGAGATCAAGGTTTTCGAGACAGTGGTTCAGCAGATATGGTCGGTGCTGCCAGGCTACTGCGATTTGCCTCTTGATCTCACCGAGGCATTTGATCAAGGCTTCTGCGAGATGCTGGCAAACTTGCTGTACGGTCAAGCTGATCTGCGGACGGATATCTGCAAGGCACTCCTCAACTTAGTCGACAGCAATAAGGCCATTGTGGATCTTGAAGGCGAGGACGATTTGCTTGCACAAGCTCGGATTTCCAAGGCGGATGCGAAGAAGAACCTCGACCACCTGGCTGGATTTGCAAGCAACATGCTGGCTGTTCTATTCAACGTCTATAGTCAAACGCTTCCGCAGTATCGAGGCACTATTCTGAGGACGATCAATGCTTATCTGAGCATCGTGCCTGAGAAGGAGCTGATGGAGACCTTCGAACGTGTTGCGACAAATCTTGAAGCATCCCTGCCAGCCGAGGGTCCACAGACCCAAGCAGACAAGCAGAAACAACCACAAGGCCCGAACAAGATGCCGCCCATGAGCCACACTCTGATGGATCTTATCATCACAATTGCCCTCTATCTTCCGCGAGACAGCTACCGATCGCTTTTCCGCATGGCGGAGATCATGATCAACAAAGACAAGGACCCACAATTACAGAAGAAAGCTTATAAGCTTATCCCCCGTCTTGCAGAGTCTGAGCATGGCAAGGCAGCGCTAAAGGAACGTAACGGCGAGCTACAGCAGCTTCTCATACAGAGTGCGGAAAAGGCCTCAGCACCGGCGCGCCGAGACAGACTGCATGCCATCTTCCAGGTCATCGAGTCTCTTCCGCAGAGCGATCTCCACTTCATCCCCTCAATTCTGTCTGAGGTTGTCATTTCGGCTAAGGAGACTAACGAGAAGGCGCGAGAGGCGGCTTACAACCTTCTTGTCGCCATGGGTGAGAAGATGGCTGAGGGAGGCCAAGTTGTTCAGACCAAAGTGCCCAACATGCCAGCCGATGCACCAACGGTTGAGGCGTCTCTCGAAGAGTACTTCACCATGGTATCAGCCGGTCTCGCAGCATCCACTCCTCACATGATCTCTGCCTCCATTACCGCAGTAACTCGCATACTCTTTCAATTTCACTCGCGTATCTCAAATGAGACAATCAATAGCTTGCTCGAGGTCATGGATATTTTCCTCCAGAATCCCAACCGGGAGATTGTGCAGAGTGTGTTGGGCTTTGTCAAAGTTGAGGTAATTTCGCTACCAGAGTCGCTCGTGCGTCCCAGGCTTAAGTCGTTACTGTCGAATCTTATGGTGTGGAGTCACGAACACAAGGCACACTTCAAGGCAAAAGTCAAGCATATCGTCGAACGCATGGTCCGCAAGTTTGGTGTGGATGAGGTCGAGCGTGCAACTCCTGCTGAAGACCGCAAACTCATCACCAACATTCGCAAGACACGCGAGCAGCGCAAAAAGAAGAAGCAACAAGCCGAAGAAGATGGTGAAGAAGCAACCGAGAAGCCCAAGGGCAAGTTCGAAAGCGAATACGACCAAGCCGTCTACGGCAGCGATAGCGATGACAGCGAGGGCGACTCGGAAGACGAATTTGTCAAGAGTCAAAGCAAACAGCAACGAGGTGGCGCGAAAGGTGGCAAAACATACATCGTTGAAGATGAAGACGAGCCCCTCGATCTCTTATCGAAACGCGCACTGGGTAACATATCATCTACCAAGCCACTGCGTCAACGCAAACAGCCACAGAAGAAGATGCCAGTACGCCGAGACGAAGACGGCAAACTCATCCTCGGCGCATCGGACGACGAGAACGACGCGCCCAAATCGAAGAAGTCATCGAAGAGCAAGGACGCTGGTGACGATGACGATGTACTCATGGACATTGACGAGTCCAACACCACTCTGGAAGCCGGTATCAACGCCTACGTCGACGCAATCCGCGGTCGTGATGCTGCACAGCGTGGTCAGAAGGGCAAGTTGAAGTTCAGCAACAAGCGGACTCAAGATGACGATGACATGGACATGGACGACGACGGCGCGGACGCTGCACAGGCCAGGAAGGCCAAGTCTGGTTCGGGCATGGGTAGAGGCGCGAAGAATGGTAGACCCGGTTTGGGTCATGTCAAGCAGAAGAGCGGGAATATCAGTGATGGTGGTGGGAAGGTGAGGGTGGAGAAGAATAAGAGTCCGCGGGGTAGGGGCGGGTTCAAGGCGAGTAGGGCGAGGGGAGGGGGAAGGGGTGGATGGATCGGACCAAAATAGGTAGCAATGAGGAGTTGAGGTTTTCGAGCGATAGAAATGAATATTTCCTTGAGGTTAGGTCTTTAAGCAAGAATTATTTATGTATCCCTTAACGGCTAACTACACCGAAAGCAATACGACTTACAACTTGACAATTGTGGTCTGTCAAATCTGTTGCCATACAGAGGAGGACATCACTGTGCTCTGCATTGCGTGAGCTATCTACTGAACTCAACACTCATGTTTCGAGATGCTTCCTTCGCAAGGGACGGGAAGGCCCGAATGCAGGGCTGGACGTAATACCCCGCACCAATAGCGTCCCACTCGCATTTGTCATCTGTGCAAAATCCCGCTAAGGACTCCCGCGGCGATTGGAAACGGCTATGTCATCACGCCTCCAAAGTTAATCCTATCGCAGTATGGGCCTTGCGATGATTGGCTCCGTCCCCTGGCACGCATGAATAGTCAAACTTAGCAATTGGTAAGGGTGGGTATTGCTCGGTGCTGAGAACAGCGACGCTTGCAGTAGGATTGGTAATTATTGACTAAATGACGCGCTGCGCAGAATGTTAGGGTAGGAGGGGTACATATATGTGCAGCAACGACCTGAGTTACCTGCCTCAATACAACAAGCTACTTCCACTTCAACATCAACACCACCACCTCCCTTACACATCAGCAATCATGTCTATCAAGCCCATCGAGATCCACGGCAAGCACGGCCCCAACCCTCCCAAGGTCCGCATGATCGCGGAGGAGCTGGGTATTCCGTACAACCTCCACGACGTCCAATTCTCCGACGTCAAGAGCCCCGAATTCACAAAACTCAACCCCAATGGCCGCATGCCCGCCATCGTCGATCCCAACACCGACCTCACGCTATGGGAGTCCGGTGCCATCATTGAGTACCTAGTTGAGAAGTACGACAAGGACAACAAAGTCAGCTTCCCCGCTGGCAGCAAGGAAGCGTATCTTGCAAAGCAATGGCTGTACTTCCAAGGTACGTTCCCTCAAACAACTCACATGTGAAGCCACCCCTCTAATACATACATTACCAGTCACCGGCCAAGGCCCATACTACGGCCAAGCCGTCTGGTTCACGCGCTTCCACCCCGAGCAGCTCGACAGCGCCAAGGAGCGGTACTACAAGGAGATCCAGCGCGTGACCAGCGTGCTGGAGAATCACCTCAAGAGCCAGCCCAAGGGCGAGGATGGGCCGTGGTTGGTCGGCGGCAAGTACTCGTTTGCGGACATGTCGTTTGTGCCGTGGCAAAACTATGCGAGCCAGTTGACCGATGTTAAGGAGTACACTGTGGTTGCGGATTGGCTGGAGAGGATGAAGAAGAGGGCGGCGATTAAGAAGACTCTGGATGACCAGTAGGTGTGGGGTGTAGAGAGGGGATACGGGGATAGATTCGAGCAAATAAAAGTTGAAGCATTTTACATGTTAGTTTACTTGTCGAATTTGGATGACTCAACCTCGTATCGTTCATGATGGCAGCCATTTGTTTGATGAAACTAGTCTTTTCTTGACTTTTTAGCGTTGCTCCAACCGGGAAACGACACATAGAATATGTAGGGTGGTATGCGCGCTGTTTATAGCTATCGTGCAGTAGGTATGCAACGCTTCATCTCATCGATTCCAGGCTGGGCGGGAAGAATTGCAACAAAGTGAGAATTTGTGGTAACTCAAGCTGCACCTAGCTACTTCTAGAGACACCAATCTAGTTGGTGTACAGAAAGGAAGCGCATTGTGTCAGCAAGAGTAGAGGTTGAGCACTGCACAATACTTTGATGGTGCAGGGCGTGTCGCAGAAACCAGGATGAATGCAAGGTCAATAGAGTTTCAACCTTTGGATACGATAGATCCCGGTCGTATGAAACCTACGTAATGCTAGACACACATCCTGGGGCACCAAAGTGCACCGGCCCTGGCCCCGCGGCCCTCCTTGACTCCCGCGGCCCCACGTATTCACTACCAAGCGATGCTATCGACTCTTGACCATATCGGGCGACCTGAGGCATGGCGGAAGCTGAAGGCAGTAGAATGTGCTGCTCTTCCGTGCGCTAGACCACGCTTCGGGAGCGAAGAGGCTCCCGCGGTACCCGGACACCGACAAACGTCGAGGACGCCGAGAACGATGGGCGTCATAGTTGGGCGGACCGTGAGGTGCGACGGAGGATGAAAAGTGGAGAAATAAGATCGAACCGTGGATGAAACCTACCCCAAATTCCTTTGGCTTAGCCAACGCGAAATTTACGCTTGACTAAGCAAGTGGGGGAGGAAGCGCAGTGCAATGCAAAAACCCCGGCTTCCCTACTTCAAGTCCCCTCAGCTGTAGTATCTTCAGTATCATCGAAGGGAGGGGGACTCACCTTGAGGCTCATCCCGCCGCCTCTTCTCCATACTTTTTGTCCTCGTCACCGGGTTCTGTCAGATCACGGGGAAGCCATCTTATCTTTCAAAGTAACCTCATCTCATCTCAGAACCCCAGTGTTCCATCTACGTGTTGTCGGCTGTGCCGACGCAGTATGTGAAACGTTGAAGGACGCTGGACGCGACGGCGAGTTCTCCGAAGGCTCGATGGGTTCTCCAGCAAAGACATGGTGCCTCGACAGACTAGTGATGATATAGCGCTTGAAGACATGTCGCGGCCGTCGCCCGTTTGGCAGGATACTGCCGATGGGAGGTTGTCGCAGACAGACGAGCCGATCTGAAGTCTGACCATGCTTTGGGGCTGGAGAAGATCTATAATTGGAAGTCAGCATGAAGACCATCGACAAGAGGGACATGAAAACACACGGCATGCATCAAGTGACAGCTGTTGCAATGGTACAAGCGAGGAAGCTGTTGTTCTTGGGGGAAACGGTGTCGACATCAAGAAAGATATGGAAGGAGGATAGCGTTGATAGGAGCTGCTATGCTGAGGCAGACGTTAGAGACCCAGAGGACGTATGTGTGGCATATACACGACTTTTCCAGGATGAAAAGAGGGTATAAAAATCATAGTGTAATTTAGAAGAGACGGGATGTTCAGGACAGCGGGCCAGATATATAGTACTCAGGAGCAGAGGGCCCCCATACGTGCTTGCACATACATGGGACGTGCTGAGCTCAGAGGACTAGTAAACAAACACGGTATGATATGGATGGAAGGCACCACGGCTATAATGGTCAAGAGAACGCAAGGAATTGAGTCTGCGACGCTGAAAGTAGACAGAGCCAGAGCCAGGAAGGAAGAGCACACTACTTGGCACGTTGATTACTCCACCACATTACACGCGATGTTGTTCCCATGAATGAGATGGGATACCTTTTTTAGCCTCGTACGGGTGGCATGTGGAGGATGTCTCGTTTAGTATTACATGTGGTATGTACTGGCCAAAAAGACAATATTGGCCATGTGTTCGACTACGATAGCAGTGAAAGTGTAGCACCTCGGTGGCTAGTATCGTTGTAGTAGCTTATAGCGCAGCTCATTATGTTCAACTGCAACTAAGAGGATGGGGATGACAATGTGGTAACAGGATCCTTGGAAGCGGATGTACGTGTTTCCTCCATTATTTCGTTTATCTTCGCTGCTCGACTGCACTCCCACACGACTCTAAGCATATCCTACAATGGGCTTCCTCGTTTCCTACGAGAGGTAGACTAGAGGCTGGCCTGTAATGTAGCTACATGTGCCTGATAATAGACTTGGAGATGTCGTTAGTATCTCCACGACTGATAAATGTAAAACTTTCTTGGAGTGATCAACGTTTCACACATGCTAACTTGACGATGCGTGCTGTTGTGTAGTGACAATGAAGCTAAAGCTGTGGCAATGTGTATTGCTTGTTCAAAGGCCACGTAAATAGGCCCCAGTTGTAGGTGTAATGAGTGTCTACGTATGGATGCCGGCAACAGCTACAAGGTCTCTGCACTGGGCGAGGCCTTGCTACGTCCAGGTGGCATGTCTGCTGCTGGCGTGAATCTAAGCTTCTAAGCCACTCGACCGCTATTTCGGTCTGATATTCGGGCTTTTGGTGTCCCGGTGATTCACACCTGTCGACAATCTGGCCAGTTTTGGTGATCGGTCGAATTCTGCGATTTGCTGTGGAAGTTCCTGGAAGAGCACGCTAGTGAGTGCCTCGGCTTTTTGTTATCGATAACACAACACGATGCATGTGCACACCAGACACCTCGAATTTTTGATTTCGGTTCGCTTCTTACCCCACATTATAGTGATTGCGACTCGCACCCATTGCCCCATTTGGTCGTCATGTGCTTTTTCTTCGCAACCTCAACTTCTTGGGGATTCCAGAGAGCGAAACAACGAATCTCATGCGTGTTTCAACCGTGCGAGCCGAGGCCAAGCACTTGAGGGCGACGTCATGGCCTTCAGGTAGATCGCAGTACTTGTAGACGAGACGCCCCAGTCCTCACAATGTCACGGATGATATAGCGGCCCTTCTTCCTTACTTCACAGAACCACCAAAGTCCTTCCTAGCCATGCCAGCCACCATGAGACTATCGACCCCGATGGCTGCCACGGCCGCTATGGTCGTGTCGGTGCTTGCTTCTTACCTTTTTCCACAGACCTTTGCCTCAGGCACATTGACAAAACTCTTGTCGCTTTTCATAACCTGCCACTTCTTCTTTATCTCCTTTGACAAGCTCATTATATACCCTTTCTTCATTGACCCATTGCGACACCTGCCGCAAGCCCCCGGGTTTCGACCACTGGTTGGCCATGAGTTTACGCTATTCAAGCGGCCGCTTGGCGAGCCTCATCTCAAGATAATGAAGGAGGTAGACAACGATGGTCTGATCTTAACCAGAGGTTTCTTTCATAGTAACAAGGTCATTGTGACAAGTACAGCAGCGCTGGCTGATATCCTTGTTCACAAGTCATACGACATGGAGAAGCCACCTCCGGTGCGAACATTCTTGAGAAAGTTCCTGGGTGATGGTCTGCTTATGACTGAAGGCGACGAGTATGATACGCCTATATGTGTATCGACTAGATAAAAGCTGACTCATTGGACAGGCACAAGCACCACCGGAAGAATATCATGCCAGCCTTTCACTTCCGGCACATTAAAGAACTCTATCCCATCTTCTGGTCCAAGTCAATTGAGTTCTGCAATGCAATGGGAAGGGCGATCCAGGACAACGACGACAGAGTCCTCGAGATTGGACATTACGCGACACAGGTGACGCTCGACATCATCGGATTAGCTGGACTTGGTCGCGACATCAACTCTCTGCGGAACAGCGATGATGAGCTTATCAAGATCTATGAAGAACTCCTAGAACCCAGCACCGAGAAGGGCATTTACTTTCTCTTGCATCTGCTCTTCCCAGTCTGGATCATTGAGATGCTCCCTTGGAAGCTAAATGGGCGGGTAAAATTCATGACCACCGAGTTGAAGCGAACTTGTACCGAGTTTGTGGGACAAAAGAAGGCAAATGCGAAGCTTGAGAGCAAAGAAAGTCTCGACATACTTTCTATTATGCTGCGAAGCAACAACTTTTCCGACAGCAACCTGGTTGATCAGCTGTTGACCTTCCTGGCAGCTGGTCACGAGACAACTTCGTCCGCCTTGACCTGGTCCGGATATCTTTTGTCGACGCATCCAGATGTTAAGGCGAAATTGCGAAACGAAATATACAAGCACATTCCGGATCCGCAAGCTCTGTCTGACCCCGCCATGGATGTTGCAGGCTTGCTCGAAGGCATGCCCTACCTCAACGCGGTCTGCAACGAAGTGCTCCGTGTGTACCCTACTGTTCCCATTACGGCACGCTATGCGGTACGAGACACAAACATCGCCGGCCAATACATCCCTAAAGGCACCGTTTTATTTATTCCGCCATGGGCCATCAACCGGAATCCCAAACTATGGGGCCCAGACTCCGAGAAGTTTGTTCCTGAACGCTGGATCGATGAGAATGGGCGCACGACCATGAACGGTGGTGCTGATAGTAATTATGCATTTCTCACTTTCCTTCACGGTCCTCGCGCCTGTATCGGCGAACGCTTCGCGAGGGCTGAGCTGCGTGCACTTGTCGCAGCTCTCGTCGGAAGTTTTGATTTTCAGATGGCTTATCCGGATGAGAAAGTCATTGCTGCCGGAACGATCACGAGCAAGCCCTTGAATGGCATGAGGCTTAAGCTACAGCCGCTTAACTGGGGAGAATGATGGGAGGTACGATCTTCTTCAGCGAGAGATGGAGTGCGTGTAACAGTCTGACCCTGGTCGTCAAGTGCTCTTTTATCGAGAGTCCGTCATGATGTTGTTCGTATTTAGTGCGGTTGGAATTCATTTACTCCAAATATGTAAATGCTTTATGATACATGTGCTTTCAAACTTTGGCAAAGTGTATGAGCCCAGACACATCTTACCGTCCCACCATCTTCTTCTCTACAAACCTCAAAGGTATATATACAAAAGCAGTAACGGCAAAAGTGAACTCGTTCGCAATATCACCACCTGATGAACCAATGAGCTTGCCTAACGGGCCAATATACCAGGTCTCCACCATACCCATCACCCAAGCAATAATGCCGATAGCGAAGGCTACGCCTGCAGCAATCCCAAGCGGCAGGCGACTAGGGTCATTCCAGCCTTCCAGATCATAGTTGTCGAAGTTCATACGCCGGAAAATTACATGCTCGCTGAACAAGATTACAAAGTACTGCGTTGACCAGTAGCCAAGCAAACTGAGAAAGTTCTGCAGGTAAACGCTCAATTGCTCTCGTCCACCGATTGCCAAACCCAGGATAGCCGCGAAGCAGAGGAAGACCCAGATGAAGCGAGGTACGCGGGCAAAAGGTCGAGCGAATTGCTGGCAGGAGATGGCCGCGCTGTAGATGGAGATAACATTGACGTTGATTCCGGAGAGAACGAGAAGTGTTAAGATCAGCTTAGCAAAGCCACGCGGGTAGAGCATAGTTTGGATGAGGAAACCAAGGCCTTGGTTCTCGTACACATCTTGCCAGTCTGGTCGGTTGTGCAATCCGGAGGAGACAACACAACCAGCCACCATACCAATGGACGTTGGAATTGCAATCCCGAAAGTTGTCATGAGGAAGACTTTCCACCGATTGACATTGACGGGGTAATGGACATAGTAGTCGGAGGCCATGGTCTGCCATGATGCTGAACTGCCGTAAACGATGGCGATGAGGCTCAAAACAGCACCGCTACGGTCAGCACCCTTGAGCTCGCTCTTGCTGCTGTTGTCGGCATATCTTCCAGTCTCAGCAAAGAAGATGATGAATATGATAAAGAATATGAACCACGCATATCTCTCATAGATCAGGATAGCCTTCAATCCGACGAACGAAATGAGTGTTGCAACCACTGCAAGGATCACGATGCCAACAATGAGGGAAATGTGGCCATCGGCGACAGCAGTCAAAGCGAGGCCTCCAGTTATGCAGGCTACACTTGCCCAACCAATCTGCACGATGGTGTTGAGCGCCGCGATGACTTTGTTAGGCCACCATCCAAAAGCATATCGGGACACAGAAATCTGGCGAAGACCGGTTGGAGCACCGAAAGTTGCCGCGAAACCTGTTGCAGCTCCACCAAGAATGGATGCGAAGACAGTGATGACAATGGACTGGCGCAGCGCTAAAGCACAGTGATCAGCGTCTTCGCTTGAACGCCACACAAGAACGTCTTACTCAAGCCAAACTCCAGCCCCAGAAAACCAGTCGCAAAACACGATGTGTTCATGGTTCCAGACGCCCAGAGAAAGAACATAGTCATCTGCTGATGCCATGGCACATGGCCCTTATCCTCCGGCAGTTTTCTGGTGATAGCATCCGACTCGATCCCAAGCTTTGCGTCCAGTGTGGCTTCGAAGTTGCGCAGCTTGCCCAGAAAACTGTCATCATGCTTGCGAGACATATCACCAATGTCGCCGCTCGACACGCTGGCCGCTTTGTCTCCGATCTTTTCTTCTGACATCGTGATAGTTTCTGGAATGGAAAAAGTAAGTCCCGCACTTCAGTTACGAAATGAAGAGGGGATTTTCATGGCTTTTTTATCAGCCGGCCCACAATCGGCGCCGCGTCATGGAGCCCTTGTCGACTGCCGTTTGCCGCTTAGCTGCAAGCTTCTTCCTTCTACCCTTATCTTCGACAAGCTTTTCTCGGCAAAGCTTGGTCAGCCACAGTGCTTTCCCTTGCTGCGCCTACCAATACCTTGTGATCGCATGAAAAGTTTGGTTACTTAGATGCGACAGGCGCAAGCCCTTCAATGCATCATAAACACTTATGAGAAGCGGTATAGTGTGGTATAAATAGCTTCGATGCTCTATCAGTCTAAGTCGGCCGTCCTCCAGTTCCCCAAAACCCTCGAAGCCGCGCACTCACCAATCACGAGAAGCTGCTAGGTATGATGCCTCGGATCGTCATACCCCCATCTCTGAAGTTGCAGGAAACTTCAGAAACAATGACTCCATATTCGTTTACAGCAGTGTTTCTAACCTTGTGGCGTGCTGTTCGCCTATACTATCTTTTAAGCATGTTGTAGCTTCTAAGGCGCGCGTTTTGAGGAGCTGGTTTCATGATCGGATCATGAGCGAATCGTACATGTCTACACATGGGAGACATGGTCGGGCCGCTTATCGTCCCAGCCCATGTCGTAACTTTGTTTCGGCTGCAGCTGCGTCGACGTCACCGTGTACCTAGTCTCCTTTATGATATTCTTCTGGCTGTCACCATCGCTGTGATCGAAATCGTTTTCGCCAAGAGTCTGGAATGTATCCATCTTGATGGGTGCGCGCGACGAAGGCTGCTTGCCTCGAGATGCCTCGAAATGTGCGTTTGATGCAGCTGGGGTGTTGTTCGAGGTTGTGGTGATCCTGATGCGAAGGTTGAGTAGGGGCCGAAGTGCGGGTAGTGAGCCAGCGATGATTCCAATGCCTTCTTCAGTCAAAGACCAGAATCCAATCTTTCCAGTACCGTAAATGAACTCGCCAGGGTCGCTGTATAATGTGAGAAACTTGAGTCGGATGATGGTTGCACAAGAGGCACTGGAACATATGTTAGCCAAATAGGAGACGCTTTGATCAGATCAGAAAACTTACAATGAGGCCAGGGCAAGCATGACTGCTACTGATCCCTTCACCTTCCCTTTCTGTTCACAGTCAGTATTCTCCTCGAGAGCAATGTGAGGATCTCGTGTGTATCGAGTTTCATCAGCACATACCATTTGGACGTTCCACAGTAAGACTGCAGGAAGTAGTGATAGGCTAAAGTCGGTGAGGATCTCGATAGCTGAAAAGAATAGGCTGACATCCGTGTTCAGTTGCAGGTTGCACTTGCCATTGGCCATACCCCACAGTGTCTCTATCGGATGGCCTGTGTAAATGTCAGTAGCGGTCTACTGCTTGCACTGGTCAACTCACAAATGTTGGCAATGCCAACAACAAAGACAAGAGCAGCAATTACGGTCAGAGCAATGAGTCCCCATATCACGCCCTTCAGCACAGGTCGGCCGACAGCAATGCGCAGAAGGGTTACTGCAACACTGATCTTGATAAATGCTGCGCTAACGGCGTAAAAGTATTCCGCGATGTAGAACAACTGGCTGGAGTTAGCCTCACGTATAGATGTGAGTTCTGAGGTTGCTGAAGCTTACTTTGATTCCTTTTGACATTGTCAAAGGAGGAACGTTCCGAGCAAACTGTCCAGAGCCATAGGAACAGCAAACGATGCATAGCGCTGCCGTGGCCGAAAACAAAATCTCAATTTCACGTCAGTCTACACCTTAAATTTTCTCGCAGAATACAGACTTACAATGCCAGCTAGCATGATATAATCGTCCAGCCCTAATGCCTTCCTCCAGACTCGCACTGTGAGCCGCAAGGAAAACACAACCCAACTCAAGACAAGCAAGACTATCGCGCCATATAGGAGTGCTACTCCATCGCCCGCGACTTCGACGGTGGCTACCTCATGAGCCATGCTTTGAATTTAATGTATCAAGGAATGTTTGGACGTGAGAAGTCGGGAGCTCGATGCCGTATTATGACGAAAGCTGGCAGCTCGACACGCTCAAATACGAGTGGCAACTCTCAATGTCTCTCCATAATTCAGGATCACAGCGCACATCTTGTCCGAATTTTGACGCTGACTGAAACTGATCCCTACTGGTGGTGAAGGATGGCAAAACCCCCAGCGCGATCCACAAACGGGCCTTATAGGATTAGGAGTGCATCATACGAGCGCCCAGAATAAGCATATGGCCCGCTTCTTCGCAAAAATAAGCTTGTCTCAACATTAACATCATGCCGACTAACGTTGGGCTCGAGAGGGTGCTGCCAATTCAGTTCCGAGATTGTATTTGTTATGTTTCTGCTCTTCCGGTATCATCGGAAGAATTGATCCGCTTTCAAGTGGCTGCTCTGCATCACATGGTCCGTCAAATTGTCCTGGCAAGGCCTGACTCAATGGTTGGTTCGGTGTCACCCATCATGTTGTTCAAGCGACACGACCCTTGTTAGGTGCGGCTGTGGAGACTCAAACAGGAATTGCGCTCAGACACCTGCGCAGTCGAAAATGTGCTTCCGTGTGGACACTTAAAACTTGTGATTTGTATAATGCAGTCATAAAACATGAACAAGTCCAGTACATACTCGATTCTCGCGATCGGCAAATGTTCGAGATGATTAGGATCTGGCTTAAATTTTCCGTGTACCTGTTCAGCGGCAGTCACCAATCAATGGGTGGCTATTGAGCTGGGGTACATGCATTGGCGAAACGTTTCCTGCAGCGTCTAACCACACCGTTTCTCACAGATCATTAACGTACCCGTGCATCTTTTGAAAAGTGGCCAGAGTTATGACACTAGTTCTTCCCAATGAGACTCACGGCCATATGTAGTAGGGCTCAGGAGGCCGATTCTATGCATTGCATCAAGCCTTTCGACATCTGACATCGTTCCACTTTCGACATAATCACCTCAACTTACAACGTCTTCAACATGACCGACTTCCAGATCAAAAACGAAGATCTAACTGGCTTCAAGGGCAAGGTCGCAATCATCACAGGTAGGTTATGGCGTGCGACAGAGAATTCACATTTCCACTGACAGTATATCAGGTGGATCTTCTGGTATTGGGCTGGCCACCGTCGAGCTGTTGATCTCGCTTGGTGCACTGGTCGTCAGTGCCGACATTCAGGAACCTCCAGCGACAGGTGACTTCCTGTTCGTGTCAGCGGATGTTCGGAAGTGGAATGACTTGACGAAGCTTTTCAAAGCTGCCAAAGAGAAGCATGGCAGAGTTGACTACGTTTTCGCAAATGCCGGCATCGGACCACGCGCAGACTACCTGAACCTTGGCGAAGATGCGAATGGAGAGCTACAAGAGCCTAACAAGGACACCTTGGACATCAACTTCAGCAGTGTCGTCAATACTGTAACTATTGGTGCGCATTACATGAAGAGTCAGCCCGAAGGCGGATCTATCGTGATCATGGGCTCCAGCACAGGTTTGCACCCGGTGCGAGCTGTCGATTACTGTGAGTGAAAAGTCATGTCCCTGTATAAGCGAGTCACACTGACGTTTGAAAGCTACGGCTAAGGCTGGTGTGATCGGATTCGGCCGCAGCTTTGCACGCCTCGTGGAAGTCGCGGGTCTTCCCATCCGGGTCAACACTCTTGCACCATCATGGACAGCAACACAAGTGCTTCCCGATCTCAAGACTCTACTCGCAGCAGTGTCTCAGGATTGTCAGTCGACAGATGTGGTCGCTCGTGCGGTCGCATATCTGATGGCCACCAAATCCAGACATGGAGACCTCATTTTCGTGTGCGATGGCAAGTTCAAAGAGATTGAGAAAGCTGTGCTCGCACCGGCGTATGAGACTATCAAGGGCGACGCACCCAGCGACGATGCAGTCTTGGCAAAAGTTCTTGCATTAGGTAGTTAGATGAGATAGAACAACATCATGATGAATTGGACAGTGGCCGAATCTCAAAATTCTCTATCCATGAGTACTCTATTTTCAATGTCACTGGAATAGTTCCGCACAGTGAACAAGGTTCAGGTCGCCATCTGGGTGGTCGTCGGGATCTTTTGTGCCGTCTCATACTCCATATCTTGGTAACGTGTTTGGATTTAATGAGCTCTGGCTTCTCGATGATGTGCCAGAGGCTCTGGACAACACCTACTCGAATGTTAGCCTATCCAATTATATTTGACTTGGAAATTATAAAGCGCCATGGTTCAGAGCCGCATAGGCTCTGTTGACTACACTTACCGAACTCATCCCCAAACACTCGTGTTTCTCCCTCCGCGTGTAACGCCATGGCCTTCGAACACATAGTGTTCCATATAAAACGCTCATCCGTCGCGACAGCATCTGCGCGGCCATCTCCAGTAGCAACAGTGTTTCTGTCTTCAGAGAGCTGTACGCCGTCGACCCTGACTTTGTCAACATGGACATGGGCCATACTGGTACTCCACTCAGCCAGGCAGTTGATGGTACCAGAAATGCGCCTCTGTACACCGCGGATCGCGCTGATCTTGTGCGATTCCTCCTGGAGAACGGTGCTAAGCCAAACCAACGTAATGCTCCAGACCTCAACGAGCCAGGAAACTACCTCCAAAGTGCTGCTGCGTACTCATCATTAGAAGTCACTGAACTTCTCATCCAGCATGGCGCACAAATCGAACAATCGGGCGCGATGCACAAAGCAGCGGAGAATGGTCGAATGGACGAATGGACGTCATGGAATGAGTCCTGCGTCATGGAGCGAATGGCAACGAGCAACTATGGACAAATCTCAAGAATTCAGCACGCTACAGGACCAGGGTAAAGAAAGAGCAGGGCATCAGGAGCGACGTGTCGGACGATTGTAGACCGAAATGGAGCCATGAGACCCCATGGCATTATAGTGTGCTCGATCGACAGGTCGAAGCTACCACTTGGCTGGTTGAACATGGTGCAGATGCCAGCATCGCTGATTCAAAAGGATGGAGTGCGAAGGACATGGCGAAAACGATAGATGACTCAAGTATACTAGAAGCTCTTGCGTCTTCGGTGGAAACGAAATAATAAGGGTCACGACAGAGGCTTTGCGCCGTGGCGTACACGATCGTTTGGTCACGTCTTTTAAAGGGAACCGTAGCAACAGAAGGGTATTCCAGGTAGCAATGTGCGGGCATGTACATAATGAAATGCAACCAATTCATGTCAATGTATATATCCCACCAGTGCCACCACCCTTGAGCACTTCATCAAAACACACACCAAGAGCCCGTAGTCCCGTGGTAAGACACCCTCGACAGAAGCAGTACCACTTCGGCCAGCCCAGGTCAGCCCCAGCCCAAGGTCAATCCCGGACCATGGGGTAAGCAACCGGGCCGTCTTGAACTGTTCGCCAGAGGAAGAACTGTGTTCGATTCACAGCATGCTCATATTTTTATTTACTTTTTGCCCTTTCTTGTTAACTGTTTTTGTTGTCTCGCTGGACAGTAGATGGCACTATCGAGTTATACTGGTAATCGTATCTGACGAACAATTGTGGAAGAGCTAGTTGCATGCAAGATCTTAAAGCCCAAGGTTGAACTCGTCCCATTTCTAAGGCTCACCAATTCTCAAAGAAGAGCGAGTTTTCGTCCGTGGCTTTGCCATCTTCCTAACACATATCAGCGGGCACCGGTGAGTCAGAGAAAGCATCCGAGAATGTGGCAGCTGATACACGAGAGTGAAACTTACACAGTCCACTTGCTCTGCAACGCACGACCCAGTCTCACACATAGCTCGTCTACCGTTCGCGTAAATAGCTCTGCAACCCAGACAACAACAACGACCATGATGCAAAACGCCAGAAATACGCCCGTCTCGTAGCCAACCAGTGACTCGGAACCCGTGATCTTCCAGATCGTTTGCACTAGCGACAAGCCAATCATATGATTCAACGGGCCATGGACGATGTATAACGGGAAAGAGATGTCGCCCAAATATATGGCCCAGGGCGTCTCGAAGGGGCGCCGCAGTGACGCACAACCGGACAACGCGAGAACGAACAATGCGGCACCGATACGCTCTCCGGTTTCTCCGGGCGATTCGATGAACCGCGGAGCGATCTCGTTCAATGTCACAAATCCCAGGGAACGATGGGAGTTTATGGGTGGCCATGAGAGTAGATGTAGGCCTGCGTAACATATCGCGAACCAACACGCACGAGATAGGAATTTGCCGCCATCGTTCCGAGTACCGGTATTGGAGCATCGTTGCACCGTATCCGCCTGAATGAGTATGAATTCAGCAATGCCCATGCCTGCATAAAACAGGGCAGTCGCACTCTGATTAACACAAATACAGTATGCTACAAGTAGCACAGTGAGACTAATGCGAACGCGAGGCTTGAGTTTGGCAGAACCAAGCAGAGTAGCGAACAATATGATCGAATTGCGAAATTGTATGGGTATCGTCCAAAGATGCACATCGTACGCTGGCCGGTTTGGAACGAACGGATCCGCAAAAGTCCACATAGCCTGGATCCAATCCTGAATCTGCGCACGATTCGAAGCGAACACGGTGTGCATCACTTCGTTGGTGCCGCCGAAAGGCCAGTCGCTATGCAGGGCGTAAGCGTGGTTGAAGAAGCCAAGTAATGTGGCGATGAGGACACCAATCTGAACCACGAGAATAGGGAGGTATAAGCGCAGTGCGCGTCGGAAGATAGATGAGAATAAAGTGTCTAAACACTTTTCCCAGTCGTGACTACGTGCTAATTGGAGCGGCCTCAGCGATAAGGAGATGCCTGAGAGGACGTAGAACACCGACACTTGGGTCTGGCCATTTGGAATCAGGCGGAGAATGGGCAATTGGAATTCCCAGTCGTCGTCAACACCACCGTTGCTGCCGTAGCCGTACCAGTATGCGTTGTGGAACATGTGTTGGAAATGGTATATGAAGATGAGGAAGGCAGAGATGCCGCGGACGCCGTCAAGCCATGCTGTGGGGCGTAGAGGTCTTGATGACGGCGGTATTGAGGAGGAACTCCGAGAGAAGGCCCTTGGTGGAATTGGGAAGCACTTGCTCAGAAGCCTGTGCAAAAATTTGTAGAGGCCTTGCTGTTTCTCGAATTTCAAGGGGATCATCACGGGCTGGCGAGCCATGGTCGCGGAGAAGCTGAGACATGAAAAAAATAATCTTAGGGCACCGACCCAGGGCGCATATGGTTGTATAATTAGTACATGTGAGCATTCTCAACAGAACGTAAAAAGGAATGCCACGTTAGTCTATAATTGATGTGGAATGCTAGAGTAACTTACACATGTCCGGCCAGAAACTGCCCGAGACACTTAAAAAAACATACATTCAACATCTTCCTGGCGATGATATGCTAGGTTTGGAGCAATCAAGACGACTGTTGGTGGCTTTAATACGCAGTCCAGAGTATCTTATGGAAAGATGCGCTGAGACCGCAATCTCAGCACCTTTATTTGTAACTGCTGTGAACAATCAATTTACTCTTTAGACATGACAAGACGAGCAAGTATCTAAGGAACCTTCGTTCTTAGGATTCAAAATCTATTCATTCAATGATCGAGGCATCATCTTGGAAGCGGGGAAACGTTCCCCCCGCCCCCTTTCCCCTCCAAGCTGTGTAACAAGACCTTATCAGGCCAGCTATCGAGCGACACAATCAGTGACTGTAAAAGCTCAAGTCTAGCATCCACAAGCGCTAGGAAAATTTTAGTCCTTACTCAGGGATCGCTCAATAACAACATGTCCACAATCGGCCTCATGTCGAAGACAACAATGACGTACACAGTTGGGACAATCGTCAGGCTCGAGGTCCGTTGTCCCTGTGGCACCTCTTATGAGGATGCAGACACATACCTGCAGCACAGGCGGTACTGCAACCTCCATACAGGACAGGAGAACATGCCAGTTGCCTCTTCCCACTCCAAGCGAGAGCCCAGCAAGATAGTCGCGAGCTTGCTAGATTCCGGTTCACCACTAAAGCCTGTCGGCTGTTCGTGCGGAAGAACTTTCAAGAATCAGCGTGCGCTTCACCAACATACATCAAGCTCCGCGGTACACAAAAAGGAACCAGAGTTGCGATCGGATCCTGTAGCTCCAGACCAGCTCGTCAAGTCCAATCCAGACACACCGTTAACAACAGCAACCAGGGCTCTTGCTCCAACCACGGCATCCACCTCGAACAACATCCAGTGTGCCTGCGGAAAGAGCTTCACAAACGCCAAGAAACTTCAGAACCACCTGCGTCACTCAAAGACTCATAGGAGGAACAACGGAGCACCTGCTCCAAGCTCCAAAGCCGTGGCGCCGCCTCCAAGTGCAGTGCAAATAGGCCCGCTGCCAGGGACCATCCCAACCTCAATGCCGCCAACAGCGTCGTTCTTCCACTGTACTTACGGCGGGATGTTTGAGACGAAAGGGGTCCTGGCACTGCACAAGCGGGATTGGTGCCGACAGGCCAGTAAGACTGAGACATGTAGTGAATCGTCAGATGCTTTCCTGGCTGCTTGCCTCGCGAATTTAAAGTTGAACTCGGTCGGAGCTCAGCCCGAGCCTTTGGTAGGCCGGGATAGCTCTTCATGCAGAGATGGATTCGCCAATCAAGCAGCGCTCGGTCAGCACAGGTACCATGAAGCACGATGTGCGGTCCGGGAAGGAGGCGGGATCAAGAACAAAAAGTTCTACACACCGCGGCCGAAGTATCATAAAGACGAGTATCTGGAGGATTGGGTGGCGCTTCAAAACCTGCAATATTCAAGCATGTAGGAAACCGAACAGACGAAAAAGAGTATAGTAGAACAAGAAATTGCCGTTCCGTTTTCCGCTAAAACAGTTACACATTAAAATATGAAAAATTCCCAGATCATTTCACAAACTAGCTTCGTTAATTCATCGCGTCCACGTTCCCGAAATGCGCACTGCCTGCTCCACAGACAGGCGTGAGCCCACATAGCTCAGTCTCCAATCGAGCGGCATGCGGCCCTGGTTCGTCGTCCTGCGCGACGCATGGCCGACCACAATATGCATGTCTAATACATCCAGGCCCGTCTTGTTGAGATAGGCTTCGTACTCGGCGCCACATTTGTGGGACTGCTTCATCCAGGGCTCGATGACGGCTGAGGGGTACACAATGCGCAGCATAGGCTCGGCGCCGCGGAAACGGTAGTACTGGCGGATGTCCTCGTGGGGAAAGAGGTGGAGGTCGACGCGCTTCATGGGTCCGTTGGCGGCGGCGAGCCAGGCGCTGTTGGTGCCGGTGGTTGAGGGGAGGAGCTTATTCAGCTGCACGACGATTGATTCTATGCTGTGGAAGACTACGCCCTCAGTAGATGCGAAGCGGCATCCAGCCTTGCGTGTACGTGCGAGGTAGCGGATGAGCGGTAGGATATCGATGGGTTGCATGTCGAAACACGCCGCGTCGATGTCGATGGCGACCTTTCCTAGCAAGGCGCCAATGTCGGTCAGATGCGTTCGCTGGGTCCATAGGTCGATTATGTATTCGGTACGTGCCTCGTACAGGGGAAGGAACTCTGTGCGTAATTGCCTGCATACTTGGGTGAGGCTATAGAAGAGACGTTTTTGTGGGGGCGGTGGTGTGGGTTCGGAGCGTGCCAGTGCTGGGTCGTCGTGCCGGCACATTCTGATGGGCTTCTCTTCAACCATGTGTTTGTAGATGAGTTTGCGGATCTCTGTAGCGTGTTAGCGAACTCTTAATCCAGGGAAGGCATGTACATGCCTGTAGGTAGGTCGAGTAACTGGGTGGACGCAGGCTGGGGCATTGGCACGACAGTCTCTTCCAATGCAGCTGGTGCGATGACCGGGCTGGCTTCCTGTGGCTGAACAACAGGCTCGGTCTCGGGCAGTTGGGCGGTGGAGACGTCCACTGTGACAGATGGAGGCTCTTCAGCGAGCTTCGGGGGCGTCTCCAGGCGAGCAGTCACTGTTTCCCGAACGAGTTGAGCCTCGACGACTGGTTCTTTCTCAATAGGCGCAACCTCGACCACGGAGGCTTCGACATGGTCCAGACTCAGCTTGGCTGGCGCATTGCTTGAGGCCGGAGTGTCGATGGTGACAAGGAAGCGCTGCTCCACCTGCTTGCCTATGCTGGCCTTGGCCTTGGTATTGGTGTCACTTGATTCACTGCGCTTGGTGCGACTACGGGGCTCTTCTGTAGGCGCATGTTGGATGCTATCGGCGGGGATGGCTTCAATCGATGCGCGGCGGGTAGATGGACGGCTGTTGAACGGGGCTTTCGACTCTACAGACGTGGGACGCGGGAGTTCCTCGTCTTCTGGAACCGCATGTAATCTGGCGTCGCTGGGGACTGCAGCTGCAGTGGTGGGAATGTCGAATCCAGCGCCGTCTTGTGTGACGGCGACCATGCGCGTCGCGTCTTCCCCAGATTTCGATCCATCCCGCGTCTGTGGCCGCCTCGGTCGCCCACAGTTGAACAAATCGGAGATCACGCCAGCAAACGCCATAATTTGCGTGTCGTCGTCTTTACAACGCAGAGGGCAGTGACATTTTTCTCGCTCTCCTGGTCCAACTTGATTTAAAATGAAGGTAGATCGCACCCCCGAACGGGCAGATGTCGGCGGCCAATAAGCATCGCCCTAGTCCATAAGCGCGCGTTGGACGTTGGACCTCCGCATTTACTTTCATCATTGGAGTGAGTCCTGTATCAATCGATATACGGCCAAAACCAAGTGCACATCTGCATGGCCCACACATGCGAGACCGTAATCCAGTCTATGCGCGCCTGGAAAAACTCGATATCTTCACGAATAATCAGCGACAATGGCGGCCAGACCCCGAGCCATGTACGCCCTCCTGGCGAGGTGGCTCGGCACGAGGATGATGCTTGCGTTTGTGCACCTCGAAACGATGGGATTTGCACTACGACGAGTGTCTCTCGATCGACCGAGTGTACTGCAGGTTGCCAACTGTGACGAAAAGTAACAAAGGCATTTAATAGCCCGAAGCTATACACAGTATCGTAGCGCTTCAACTGTAGCAGCAAAGCGCCGTGTATAGCTCTAGGACTCTGGTCGCTTTGTGTCGTAGGTGAGGACCTGCAGTAGAGCTACGTGATCAGCTTCGAAAGTGACAATGGTGGGTCCAAGGGGTTTGTGTTTCTCACTGGATGCAGTCGAGGTAGCTCATCTCGAGAACGTATCATGAGCTTTCGCACAGGTCGATCGCTCGCCATCTCGAGAAGATGAAAATTGTCGAGAGCGGAAGATGAGATAAACTTGGTTCAAATGAATGAAAATCTCACGGAGCTCGTGATGTGGAAAGGAAGGGTGAATAGTCTAGCATGGAGGTTTGAACATAGCCCTGCCCGCGCCTTCCTGTAACATTTTGAGGAATGCGGGGAGGAAGCCAAGGATCTCACAGCAGAAGTCAAGCTAAATGCAGTTTTTATCATGTCGTACAAGGACATTCGATTGTGTTACATACCAGCTCTAATATACACTACATGCACGACTGAGCTTTAGATCGGATCTCCAGAGACCTGTAGCTCGAATTGACCAGTGCATTCCAAGCATCACCACTCGCCCTCTTAAGCTTCACGAGGTGCAGCTTGTCTTGCAGCCTGTTTTGCAGACTGTTTTGCGGCTTGTTCTGCAAGGTCTCGTAGGTAATTTTCAGCAGCAGACTGAACCCACGCGCCTTGGCCTCCCGAACCCCTCTCTCTGATCATCTTGTCCGCCTTGGCCATCGCAGCCTTGAGAAACTCTCTGCGCGAGTGGTCCAACTCCTCGTTATTTGCAGCATTTTCGGCTTCTTCGATCATCTTGGCGTAATGATTCTTGAGTTCTGACTCGGGAAGTTCTTTTCCACCATTGGCTTCTGCATATTGAGCCATGGTTATGGCATCCTCCTCGGCATTCTTGATGGCATCCTCCTCAGCATTGACTTTATCTATCCATGCTTTGTGGCTGCCGGCCTCTTCGATCTCCTGCGGTTTCCGCTCGTTGGACAAAATCTTTCTAACCCTAGAATCACTGAGCTCAGAAGGCAGCTTGAGTCGTACCCTTGCCTCCGCAATTTCCTGTGGGCTGAACTGTTTGTCAAGCTTCTGACCAAGCTTCATCCGGAAACGATTAAAAGCTTCCTTGTGCTCCTTGGTCCGTATGAAAGCAAGTTTGATGCCCTCTGCTTCGCTGTTGACGTGCTGGCGAGCCAAGTATCGATGCGCAGTTTTGAGTATGCCTAAATATTCGTCTCTGGCTCGCTCCCTGATGCGCCGCTTTAGTCTCGTAATGTCATACTCCGTATCGCCTTCTTCCGCCTCCTCGTGCTCATCCTCGCCGACAAGATCTGTAGCCCTGACGAACCCTGCCTGTAACACTCTTTGCTCGTTAAGCATTCTCGGTGTGGGCCATTGTGCGTCGATGGTGGCTTGGTCAACACCTAGGGCGGAGGCCTGAGCACGCATACGGTCAATGACTTCAGGCTTTTGCATCAAAGTCCATCGCAATGCCCATCCGAGCGGCCCTAGCTCCTTTAGGCGGTGCTCGTTGTCTTTGAGCAGGTATTCGTCGAGGCCACCTTCCCGGTCCATTGTCTTGAGCACCCTTGAAGTAATGCGTAGCTTGATTTTCTTCTTCAGTGCAACCGAGTATAAGCCTTTGCTGAGTACATTGGGCTTCCAGTCCCGACGTGTCTTGGTCTCGGTCTTCTCTGATACATTGTTGCCGAAGTGGATCATCTGGTCGCCATATAGGCCTCGATTTGCCTGCTTGAATAATGCATGGTCGCCATACGGGTAGGCAGGAATGTATGAATCGATCGGTATAACGTGCTTGGGAAGATGAGTGCCGAGGTCGCCGCCCTTTTTTCGTCGTAGAGGATTCTTCACCACGGGCGCCGGGTCGGAGGTCGCATACGTTCGTCGGGTCGATTGCGCTGTGCGGATGACTACATTGTGGATTATCGGGCGCCCGGGGAGCAGCTGACACCGGGACAGCATGATAGAATGGCCGAGGAGGTGGGTGGGAGCTGCCTAGGTGATCACTGATGCACCTCGGAAGTCCGCACTTTGGGAAGATTTCCAGATGCAAAGCACAGACGATGGCGCTAGTAGTTCACTGGAGCTCCCCACCAAGCAAACGGGCTACGAAGTACACCATACGGCGACCCTGCTCATAATTCAATTGCGACTAGACTTCGAGTACACAGAGGTACCGTATTTTGAGAGCACACATTCGGTCATCTAGCACGGCTTCATCATGCAGGACACAACACAACCCTCCACGGCGAACATTGCGGTCGCATGTGCTATACTCGCTGGCGTGACTGGCTACATGCTAGGGCAAGCAAAGTCTCTGGGCCTGTTTGGAGGTAGCCCAGTCTCCTTGCCTACAGACCGCAAGGACAAGGCCGTAATGGACTCGGACGAATCGAGCGACAACAACGACGACGACGAAGATGACGACACCACACCGGCTGAATTCAACGGCAACAACGAGGAGTGCAAGATGGTACTGGTCGTAAGGACAGATCTAGGCATGACCAAGGGTAAGTCATCTCCGCAAAGCTCACATAAAAAGGCTTCCTAACATGCTGCGACAGGCAAGATTGGCGCACAGTGTGGACATGCGACACTGGCCTGCTACAAACATTTCCTCCGCACCGCACCGAACTCGCCGACGCTACGACGCTGGGAATCATTGGGACAGGCGAAGGTGGCTCTGCAGGTGAAGAGCGAGGAGGAGCTGGAAATGCTGCAGGCACAGGCACTGAGCCTGGGAGTAGTTGCGCACATCATCCATGACGCAGGGCGCACACAGATTGCGAGCGGGAGCGCAACAGTGCTAGGCATCGGGCCTGCGCCAAAGAGTGTCATAGATCAGGTTACTGGTCATCTGAAGCTGCTGTAGAGTTGGAGCAAGTCACAAGAATGAGCAAGTACATCAGGGCATAAGCGCACTTCACGCGCAACAGTATGTAGCCGACTGGGTTTGTCCCAAGCATCATGGGCCGACGGCCTAGCAAAAGGGAACAGGAATCAGTCTGCCTGGCACGCGCCATCCACCGAGCTCAAACCTTGCGGCGAATTCAGGCTTCTTAGCATCGCGCCGACTCACTCTTCGACCTGTCGTCCAGAAATTGACACCTATGGAAAAGAGATGGCTCCATGAGGACGGACGAACTGCCAGCATTCAACCAGAACACACCCGTGAAGGTGGACGGGAACTCTGGCACAGGTCGTTGTGTGAGAAAAGGAAACTGAGAGCCGTAGAATTATTTTGTAGCTGTCGAAAAGTTCGCTTGGCGCGCTAGCTCTAGCGCCTTGGCCTAGAAGTTCGGAAGTCGCGACTTGCCCGCATGCTCAACATTGACTTCGTCGTGCAACCCAACTCCATTCTCCCACAAGATCTCGCGCACTTACTTAAGGCAGGAGCCTTGTTGCGCCGATATTAGTCACACTTGACTTTTGTTGTGCGCCCCTTTGATCCGCGAACTCACCCTGTACACGTCCCTTCGACTAACACGGGCCTCTTCCTCACGTCGACACCATGGCGGACCTGTCCATTGATGAGGCGAACAAGATTCGTCTATCTATGGGCCTACCTGCTCTTCCTGGAGGATCTGCGCCCAACACATCCGGCCCGGCTTTCAAGCCTGCGAAAGAAAGCGACGACTCGGACGAAGAGCCTGCAAGTACCATCGACACTCGCCAGGCGGCGGCATATGACAACTGGAAGAAGCTGCAAGATGAGGCCGAGGCCAAGAAGAAGCGCGAAGAGCGTACGGCCGCGATCAAGAAGGAGCGCGAAAAGGCCGCGCGCTTTGCCAAGCTCGATGGCAAAGGCCTTGCAGATGAGGCGAATGAGGATGACGACCTGGCATGGCTGAAGACCAGCAAGAAACGCCAAAAAAAGATTGCCAAGGCCGAGCAAACGCAGAAGGAACTCGAGGAGCGGGAGCGCCAGGCACGCGAAGCCATGCAGTACACCGAAGCCGATCTAGCAGGAATCAAAGTGGGACACGAGGTCGACCAATTTGACGACGAAGACCAGATTCTAGTGCTCAAGGATACAGCGGTCGACGCGGAAGACGATGACGAGCTCGAGGCGGTGGCGCTCAGAGACAAGGAGAGGCTGCAGGAGCGACTCGACTCGAAGAAGCGAAAGCGCGCATACGACCCGAACGACATGGACGAGTCAGGGCAGAAGTCCATTTTGGCGCAGTATGACGAAGAGATCGAGGGCAAGAAGGGCAAGATCTTCACATTGGATGGCAAAGGCCGAACCGTGGAAGACACCCAAGCCGATGCCCCGGCGGCTGCAAAGGCAAAAAAGGTTGCTATCAGTCTCGACATTCTCAAAGAAGAAGCGCCAGCCAACGATTACATGGATGTCTCTGAGGTCAAAATGAAGAAGCCAAAGAAGAAGAAGTCCAAAAAGGCGAAGAGAGAGCGCATTGAGGATGAGGACGAGATGCTTACAGTCCCGGTAGAGGAGGCCGCAGCAGATGACATGGATATCGATGGAGGTGAAGTTGCGGTGCCCAAGCAAAAGAAGAAGAGCATCTTCGACGAATCCTTCATCGAGGACGATGATCTCCAAGCCAACCTCGCAGCGCAACGACAAAAGGCCCTCAAGAAGCGCAAGAAGATGCGACCCGAAGACATTGCACGACAACTGCGCGAGGAGGCCTCCGCCCCAGGCACGCCTGACGTCATGGAGACGACGGAAGAGTACGCCGACTCGGCTTTGATCATTGATGAGACCACCGAATTTGTGCAGAACTTGGGCACCAACGTCGGTGAGGACGAAGACGAGGCACGCAGCAAGCGCAGGAAGTCTAGCCGCCTATCCGCGGGTATCAAATCAATGGGCGACAGGTCAGCTGCAGACGAGGATGGTGACGTTGACATGACTCAATCATATGCCGAAGCAGCAGAGGCAGAAGAGGCCCGGGACCGCAGTGTATCACGTGCGCGATCGACTGGCATAACAGACACTGGCCTTGAAGCCGAGAAGACTGTCGACCAAGGACTTGGTGCTACTCTTGCCCTTTTGAGGCAGCGAGGCATAGTGAGCGGGACTGACGCTGGTGATAAGAATACGTCATACCGCGATCGCCAGAAGTTCTTGGCCGACAAGCTGAAAGCTGAGGCGGACGCAGAGCGACAGAGGAAAATGGGACGCGAGCGCGAACGAGGCTCTGCACGCTGGAATACCATGACTCCCCGCGAACGCGAGGAGTGGGCCCGCAAGGCGAACACCAATGCCGACGTGAGCGAAAGCAGGAGGCTTGCCGATATCTTCAACAAAGAGTACAAGCCCAACGTCGAGCTGACCTACGTCGACGACCACGGACGCACTATGAACCAAAAGGAGGCCTTCAAACAGCTGAGTCATCAGTTCCACGGCAAGGGCAGCGGAAACACGAAGACAAAGAAGTATCTTGACAAGGTTGCTGCCGAGAAGAAGAAAATGTCCGAGAGTTCGCTTGAGGCTGGCCATGGCGGTATTGGTAACGCACAGGATCAGCAAGCGAAGAAGCTGAAGACTGCTGGTGTAAGGTTGCAGTAGACCGTACGACGATTGGCGCTCAACTAGTCACCATCTCGATCGGACATCCAAGGTCAGTAGCATTCATGGCCTTGTCTAGATTGCTGATTGTTAATGGAAACTTTTTGAATAGAAACAGCCCGATCCTTCATTAGTGATGGTATGCTTTAGAGTGATTTTTGCTATACTGATCACAGCCAACCTTGTTCATACAAGATTTGTTCGCTCTGATATGCTGCTAGCCCAGCGAGCAGCCTGCATCGTACTGACACTCATTCATCGAGGCAGATTCTTTCTGTAGTAATCCCTGGCACTTGGACAGCACCTCTGGTAAGTCGCATATCGAAGTGTCTTTGGCATTATCCAGAACATGTCCAGCCTCAGCTGGCCGACGATACGATCGACCTTTGAAAGTACCACATCGTAGCCAATTGCAACCTGGCTCCACCGGCTAGCCCTACAAATTCCGAGTGTTGGCGTTTGGGTAATATTGTGGCGCTCCAGTTTTCACCTACCAGAGAAGAACACGACGGAGTAGAATAGCGCATGTGGGGTAAGACTATGACCACCTGCACCGTTCAGCTATAATACCTCGTACACTCAACAACAACCGGACTTCTACCACCTCTCGTAACCGCGGTCCGTCGCTGACGAAGTGGACGATGCCCGGGTTATTCTTAGTCCGCCGCGCCGCTAGATATCTGGGCAAATCTTGGACAACATATTCCGCTTCGTTTCCACCCGCATGGGACCACAATTCCCCTGATCTGTTCCTGGGTAAGTCGCCTTATAGGCCCTTTTCAGACCATGTCGCCGTTGAAATCGATATCACTGGTCCTTGACTAGGTAACGTGGAGTCGTGCAGATTCTCGCAGCGGTCGGTCCCCAGCTACTGCAGCATGCCATTTACGGTCAGACAGCTCGCGCATGTGGCAGCACCACAACACCACGGCGCTGCACAGCGCGATTGGGGTGCTTAATAGAAAAACAGAATGCTACATCTGTGTGCTCTCTGGAGGTGATGGTTTTAGCATGAAATCAATTTCGTTGGCGGTGCGACTGCAGGTGCTGATAATCCATGACTATGTTTCGCATAGATGCCAAGCGGCCCGAATGAGCTTCTACCGTGCGATATAGATGCCGACTCCGCTCATCCTTCGTATTTCCATTGCCTCTGTACAGGCCGCCGCTCTTGGCTGTCTTGGAATCACGACAGCGGCGCCCATGTTTTCCTTGGAAACCGTCCGGCCCGGAATTTAGGGCTCGGTATAAGTATTTCCAACAGCCATGCATACACAAGATCTTCACTCGTCGTCGCTCGCTTTGCCACGCAGTCGTCACTCGCTACATCCCATCCTTGTCACCTTTCCTTGGTGTTTACATCGAATTATTATCCTAATACTTATCTCGACCCGGAAGACTTGCAATGCACTTCTCTAATGTTTTAGTCGCTTCGGTTGTGGCGCCGCTTGTGGCTGCCCACGGAGGAATTCCTGGTGCACCCAAGATTTTTGGTCTGCCCACAGACTTGAAAGCCCCTGCTGCTGCGCGTGTACTTCGTCACGCTCCTAACCCTAAGCGGGGTTTGTTGGAGACCCGTCAAGGTGGTCAGAACGGTCGTTGTGGCCCTGACTTTGGTGGCGCTTCATGCTCGGCAGGCTTTTGCTGCTCTGGTGCAGTACGTTGTATGATGGATTGTTCGATTGTCAGTCGTTAACTTTCTTATAGGGATACTGCGGTACATCCAAGGACCACTGTAACGCCCCTGACTGTCTTATCGATTTTGGCCCTGCATGCGATGCCAACAAGACTCCCGCCGGCGCCAGCACCCGCAACGACGCTCGTCCCCAGAAGGGCAATGTTGCATACGGCGGCGAAGGTGTCTACGTCTGTCAGACTCCTGGAACCGTCGCTATCACTTACGATGACGGCCCTTACATCTACACCGACCGCGTGCTTGACCAATTCAAGCAGTACGGCTTCAAGGCCACCTTCTTCGTCACTGGTATCAACATCGGCAAGGGCGCCATCGACACCACTTCGCAATGGTCGAACGTTATCAAGCGTATGGTGGCTGAAGGCCATCAAGTAGCCAGCCACACCTGGTCTCACCAAGATCTCAGCAAGATTACCGACGCTCAGCGCTACGATCAGATGGTCAAGAACGAAATGGCCATTCGCAACATTATCGGAAAGTACCCTACCTACATGCGTCCTCCCTACTCTTCTTGCAACGAAGGTTGTCAGGCTGTGTTGAAGAACCTCGGATACGTCGTCTCATACTTCGACCTCGACACCGATGACTACAACCAGCTCTCCAACATTCAGGTCGCCAAAGACAACTTCAAGCGCATCCTCGACGAGACTCAAGGTGGCCCTCAGTCTGGCGACCGCCTTGCCATCGCTCACGACATCCACGAGGCCACCGCTCTTTCCCTGACCGGCTACATGCTCGAGTACCTCAAGTCCAAGGGTTACCGCGGTGTGACCATGGGCGAGTGCATGGGCGAGCCAGAGGCGAACTGGTACCGTACCTCGGGCGAGAGCGGCTCCAGCCCAGCCCCCAACCCTGGCAACGGCGGCAGCGTGTCAACCGATGGTGCCTGCGCTGGCAACGGAAAGACATGCCAAAACTCTCCCTTCGGTAACTGCTGCTCCCAGTACGGTTGGTGTGGCAGCACCGCTGACCACTGCGGCCAGGGCTGTAACGGATCGTTCGGTACTTGCGGCACTGGAAGCACTCCCGCCCCATCTAAGCCTGTGTCCACCGATGGTACCTGCGCTGGTACTGGTGGAAAGACTTGCGCAGGAAGCCCATTCGGAAACTGCTGCTCGCAGTACGGCTGGTGCGGTTCGACTGCAGACCACTGTGGTGCGTCTTGCAACAAGAGCTTTGGTAATTGCAATTAGAGTGTTTGCTATCGTGACGGCCGATTCTTGTAGCATAGCTTGGCGCGGGTTAGAAGGTTGGCGGTGTTCGTAGCCTATTGGCAGTGTCAAGGGACTGCTAGTTGATACAATGTAACATATATGAACAGCTTACGAAATGAAAGTTGGCCGTGAATCTTTTGCCAACATGGATCCCATCGTAGAGGTTCACGCTCATTCTAAAATAAGCACATAAGCTCTATTAAAATCAAGGGTATGATCAACTTTTGTGTCATTCTGAACATGTGTATTCGATGTGGAAAAAAAAGAGACGACGAGGGCCCCCCTCGTTGCACAGTTTACCATACAAAATTACTTATGGAGTCGTCTACAGATACTCTAGGCAAGCTTCACGCCTGAGAACTCCTCACATGCCTTCAAGAGCTTGTCTTGGACACTCACATCACCAGCCACCTCCTGTGGTTTTTCTTCCTTCTTACCCGGCGTGAAGTAAGACCCGCTCTTCTTCGCCGCCGCCTCCTCCCCTTCCGCAAGCATGACATAGCTCGCAATCGAGTCTTCGAAATTGCCAGAGGCACTTTCGCCACCCATCTTGGTCGGCATCCACCCGGGGTCTAGAGCGCTGGCCGTGACATCAGGCCAGCGGCGCGCAATTGCTTTTGCGAAAAGAACGTTGTGCAGCTTGCTCGCACAGTACGCTGTGTTCTCATCGTACTGGCTCTCGCCCCGCTGGAGCCAGAGAGGGTCGTCCATGTTGGTCGAGGCGCTGTAATGCAGGCCAGAAGACAGGAAGACAAGGCGCTTGGGCCGGTTGATGAGCGCTGTCAAGATGTATGGTGCCAGTGAGTTGACAGCTGCAAGTGCGGGTATGCCATCGCTTGTCTTGCGGATAGGCCCGCGATATAGGCCGGCATTGTGGATGACACAGTCGAATGTACCAAGCTTGTTGACTTGGTTGGCAATGTCTTTGGTTTCGGATATGCTGGAGAGGTCGCCGGTCACGACGGTCTCTGCACCGGGGCATGCGGCGTTGGCGTCTTTGGCGCGTTGCTCGTTGCGGGCGTGCAGGACTACCGAATGGCCTCTCTCGACGAGGCGCTTGGCTACCAGAGAGCCCAGGCCGTCTGATGATCCCGTGATGAAGATGCGCGCCATGATAGTATAAGGTTAATAGATGCTGTTGATGGAAGCAGTGCCAGATGAGACGTCATCGTTTCCAAAGGTTCTTACCGGTAACGGCGTGCACAACCTCCGATTTGCGCGTGGTGGAGCTGAACGTGTTCGCATTGGTCCTTCGGGTCAGAGCAACTTCGGGCGAAATTACAACTCGGGTCGGTCATCGAGGGCTGTCCGCCTAACCTCCACAACCGACGCGCACGTCTGTGGTTGGCCCGCTGTCACGATAAGGCGCGCTAACGTCAATGTGTCCTGGGCGCTCCTCTTTGATCGTGTTTCTGCGAACATACCAAGCTCTATTCATCCTCGATTATAACGCTAGACATGGGATGCCATGAGCTTGTTCTGACCCGAGTCGACTTCAGGTGACGATATTCAGGTTCGACATGCATCAACGTCTCACAACCAGCTGTGATATATAAGTTACCTAGGCCAGCTCACACCCCATCATGTATCCGACTCTAGTTTCTCGTAGCAAAATGTCGCTCTCAAATTCACCCCTCAAGATCTTAATCTCAGGCGCTGGCATTGCAGGGCCATGTCTCGCCTACTGGCTTTCGAGAACGCGTCTCAATACCTCCATCACAGTCGTTGAGCGCTCGCCCGTTCCCAGACCAACCGGTCAATCGATCGACGTTCGAGGTGCTGCTATTAATGTCATCAAGGAAATGAAGCTCGAAGAAGCTGTGCGGGCGCGCGACACGACAGAGCTGGGGACCAGAATGCTGAACAGCAAAGGAAACCTGATTGCAGAATTCCGCAAGGGCGATGCATTTACTGCCGATTATGAGATTCTGCGAGCGGATCTGTGTGGGCTTTTCCTTGATGCGACAGAGAAGCTCGAGAACGTCAAATACGTATATGGCGACTACGTCACGAACGTGGAACAGACGGCTGAGAGCGCTGCCGTGACCTTCGACTCCGGGAAAGAAGAAACATTCGACCTGATTGTGGGCGCCGACGGCTCAACATCGAAGATCCGCTCGATGATCTTAGACAAAACAGCCCTAGAGGGCAGCTACAACTTCATCGGTCAGTACATTGCGTACTTCAGCATCCCAAGCCGGCCCACGGACACCAAGTATTGGAACTGGTATACCACCACCAATGGCCTCGCGCTCATGACACGACCACACAGGAACCCTTCGACCATTGGCGTGTACATGTGTATCACCAAGCCGGCGCGTGGCATCCGTGATCCAGTCGTAGAGGAAGCCATGGATGATGGGCCGAGAGCGCAAAAGCGCGTCTTGCGCGAGTACTTTGAGGGCTGTGGATGGGAAGCCGAGCGTATATCTAGAAGGCATGGACACGTCCAAAGACTTCTACATGTCCCGCGCCGCACAAGTCAAGCTGCCCATCTGGCACGTCGGACGCGCCGTCCTACTCGGCGACGCAGCATTTGCCACATTCGGAATCGGAACCTCGCTCGCAATCACGAGTGCATATTACTTGGCGGGCGAGTTATCAAAGATAGCGAGCAGCGCGGAGGTTCCGGGAGCTTTAGACGATTACGAGGCGGTTTTTCGAAAGATATACAGCAAAAACGAAGACCTGCCGCCAGGGTTCCCCCAGATTGCCTTTCCGCAGACAGGCTGGGGCATGAAGTTGCGAGACTTATCCTTGTGGTTGGCTAGTAAAACGAAGCTGTACAAGTTGTTGCCGGACGATGATAAGGCAGAGGAAGCAAAGCTGGCTGAATATGACTGGAAAACTCTTTGAAAGGACCGGGGAGGTATGGCGGCCTTTAGATGTGAGTATACACAGTAAACCATTTAATTCAAAGCATAATTTCTTCAACACCTTGTGAATGACATGTACCGAGGTACTTCTTAAAACAAATTTAGCTTCACGAGGGTTCGTTTTATCAACGGCGAATAGTGCGGGGGATCGGCCAATAACAACTAGTACCAAACGTACTGAAGAGACTAAAATTGTGCCTCGGCGCGCAGCCAACCTATGTACGAGTCGTAAGTACTTTGTCGATCTCACTTGTCTTCGACATGCCATGTGAATAGGAACGAACCTCGCATCTTGATACCATCTCATCCATCGACCACTCTGACTCCCTCCTGTGCTAGCACAACATGGCATCTAAAGTCGTTTCCACGCTGAAAGAAACCGCCTCGGAACCGATCCTAACCGGCGCTCTCTTGTACCTCCTCACGCGTGGTCCCAGCAATCTTCGAGAGCGCATCCTCGGCCCTTTCCAAACCAATCTTCTTGCGAAAAATGGCGTTGCAAGACTTGCAGTCTTCATCACAGCACTCAAGGTACTGACCGGCTTGGGTGTGGTGCGGCGCATCAATGGAGCACTAAACAGCCTAGCCTGGAACAACTGGAAGTTGTTTGGAAGGCCCGGCGCTCCCTTTGAATTCGGCCCAGAGAAGAAAGAGCTGGTGATAATCACTGGTGGGAGCTCGGGCTTTGGATACGAGATGGTGAAGAGCTTTGCCAATCATGCTCGTGTCGTGGTCTTGGATGTTGCGGACTTCCCGCCCGAGTTGTCTAGTAGTAAGTGTGGAAGACATTGGGCCAGCTGAGGCCCGAATGAGTAGATACTGACCTTCTTAGTTCCCGACGTGCATTTTTACAAATGCGACATCACAGATGCTTCAGGCGTTGAAGGATTGTGCAAGGAGGTTCTGCAAACTCATGGAGATGCGACGGTTCTGATCAACAACGCCGGAATTGGATCGGGAAAGTTGGTGCTTGAGGTCAGTATACGACCTAAGCGATCTTTGCGTATAACTGACGATACCTTCAGACGTCAAATGCAGAGAGCGAAAAGCTCCTCAAGGTCAATCTTCTTTCGCACCTTACCCTCATTCGTGAATTCCTACCTGGGATGTTGCGCAAGAACAAGGGCCATATTGTCACGATTGCATCCATGGCATCTTTCCTTGCAGCGCCTGGACTGTTGGACTACTGTATTTCCAAGGTTGGCGCACTTTATGTCAGTGAAGGTTAGTTATGTCGTCTTCTGAAAACTCGTATACGCAACAGTTGTCAGCTGACATGGTACTCAGGTGTACGTGCGGAGTGTTTGTCGCGATACCCCGGTGGAGAAGGCATATGTTTTACGTCCGTCCATCCGTCATGGCATCAAACAGGTATCCTCAAAGGCAACGAAGCAACTATTGCCAAATTTGGTATTGTTCCTGACCCACCGACCAATGTGAGCGACTTGGTCGTCAAGCAAGTTTTGAACGGAAAGAGCGGGAGACTTGTCGTCCCCAAGTCAGAGGAAAGTAAAACCGGGCTGCGAAATTGGCCGCTGTGGGCGCAAGACATTGCTCTTGGGCTGGTGTGGCAAAGGAAGGATTCGTTTGGTTTTGCGAAAAAGTAAGGCGCATGTTGAGTTCCAGGGGGGTACGGCAGCCTGAAGTGGGGTCGATGCGATGGCTCATTGTGCTCATCACACCTTCTAAGTGCTTACACGGATGTGATCTCGTTATGTATGACGCTGTACTTAATGAACTTTGTTCCGAATTTCGTGGTAACGAGTCTCTGTTCCAGCCTAAGTATTTCTTTCACTCTCGAGTGAAGCATGTTGTGCGCAGGTACGTGTCGGTGTGTTCAAGCTCATGCCTCAATGCCGGGTCTGTCGTTCCGTGTCAAATTGTCGCGGCGGTCCTTGGCATTTTCGATTCGACCGCCGATCTCGATACGATGTTGGTGGTGTGATGAGAGGCAGGTCGTTACACAACAGAAGCAGGGAAATTTGCTAGACGCGCTTTAGGAAGTTGCTCAGGTATTGAAAGTGTTTGAGCTTCTCAAGCGGAAGCGCATCGGCATGGTCGCGCGGCTTGCATGATAGCAGTGTGCAGGCATGCTTGGCTTACCCATGAATCTTGGATTGTTTGATGGAATACCTTGAAGTAGTTGCCCCGCGGAGGAAGCGTATACACCGCACTCGCACCTTCTACCGTAGGGTGTTGCACTGCAGGTGCGCGAAGGCGACTATCGTTGACAGCTCACGTCTTCTTGGCTGATGTTCAACAACCCCGCGGAGAGCACGAGAATGCAAAACAAACGATGGAAGTTACACAACACCATGTGCGATAGGCTGGAACGTCACCCGTAGTAATCCGCAAATCAGAGAGCCAGGGAACATTTCCCAGATGATGGCTCAGCATATTCGAAAATCCGGATCGCGACGCCGGCATCCTATGAGCTCGTAGAGGGCGATGCCTAGAAGTTGAGCAATACTTTGCCTCGAAACGACGTATCCTGCACTTCATGCATACCTAGCTTCACTGTTGATCGGTGCACACTTCAGGAAATGACACGTGTCGGAAGACATCGACAGATAATCTGGAGCGCGAAGATGAGCCCCAGCTGTGGCAAGTAGATCGACAGCTTCACACCTGCATGTTTCGGCAGCTGTCTCCAAAGCAAAGCCCCAGTCTTCCAATTCTTGGTCAAGATCCTTGTTCAGTCCAGTAATCATACGTGGCATGATGACTGCTGATACTGTTGAGCTCTTGGAGAGAGTAAATTGTTCTGAATTGTACGAAGCCACAGTTCACTTGGCATCAACTGCTGGACGCGAGCTCTGAACAGTGCGGACACTTGCTGAAGCTCGCGGAACGCAGTTCTGGCAAAGTTGTACGTGTGGCCTCGTATGAGACGTGGTATCCGTTCGCAAAGGCACAATGTGCTGTAGTCTTTTGTGGCGCGCGTCGACCCACCAGAGCTGCCGCACAGCCCGACCCAAACCGTCCAAGTAGAGGAGACCTCGGGAGCGTTTGCCTCCATTATGACGAGTCGATTCTGTCGCTTCTTCTCCTCTTTAAAACTTCGGGATGCATTCCGAGCTTCCAAGCTTCTGCCGTGTTACTCTTCTGCATCTGTGGGTCCAATCGTACCCACTGCTCTTCATGGCCGCAAGACGTGCAGTATTCATTTTATCAATCAATCAGAGATGATTGAAGCTCTCATATTATGATGGGTAGGCAACGATTGATGGGGAATTGGACAGGACGGTGGAGGAGGAAGTTTCGATACGAGAGTGGCCTTGTCTGACATAGGTGTCGTGAAGTATGACTGATTGGGCGTAGCATCCTATTCCGACAGCGCATCTCATGCAGTAACAAGCCAGGGTGAATATCGATAGTATCCACGGTCTTCGCATTCAATGTGTTTCGAGAGAGGAAGTGATAAGCGCGCCTCATTCTCAATGGACGTGAACAGCATGTAGCTTTCAGAGGCCTGGGCTCCCAGCAAGACTCTTGCTATCTCCATTAAAATCTCTGACAATGGTATCCGGAGCCCAAAGTTGAATTCGGTCGTGGCAAATTTTGTAGTGCGATTGGTTGTTGTGCTTAATGGCCTTGCGCTATGCAGAAAGTAGCCAAATTACTTGTGCACACATGTACGTAGATATCGGGCAGATGTAAAGAGATCGAAGTAGTGATGCAACACGAGCACCCCTAACATTGCGTTGGTTTGATATGATTGGCGGGGAAGTGCTTTCCTCGAGTTTCCACGAGCCGCCGCGTGCTTTGCATTGGCAGTCTGGAATCATGGGTGATCCTGTTTTGTAATCAAACAATTAAGCAGACTTCGGTCCGAATGCTACTTCCTTATTCTGGATCCTGGGCATGATGCGGCCTGTGTAGGTTCTCGTAAACATCCATTGGCTGATAATACCAGGGAGGGAAGCATGCCCGGGCGGAGGCACCTGCGACTCTTGCTCGTTGATTTGAACTCGACATTCTGTACTCTCAAGCTCATCGACTCTGCAGTTCGTACCCCCATAGATGGGGCATACGGGTATGGTTAGAGTTGTTTGTAGTCGCAATCCGACAAGGGCTTGAGGTTGCACATGGGGATGCTATCCCGCAACGTTGCAGCAGGGTATCGTTCGTTCCGCGGTTAACTGGTCCTCAACTTCCTTCTTGTTGGTTGACCGGATTTTGGCTGAGAAATCTTCAAACAACATCCGGGCTGCAGCTGTCTTCGATCTTTATTTCTCTGAAGTCTTCGTCCTTTCGAATATGGCATCTGTACCTCAGTCCCGGCGCACCATTGCCATACCACGTCTGCCAACAAAAAATCAGGGGCAGCACACGACGCCTGCAAGACGTCGGGTTGCTCGGGCATGTACTGCAGTAAGAAATCCTTAAGACCCCGTCGATTCGGATGTCCACTGACAATAAAATCTTGTAGTGCCGAGTTCAAAAGGTCAGATGTGATGGCATCAAGCCTGAATGCGAACGCTGTGTAACGACTCAATCCAACTGCGACTACGTTATGCCTCGCAAAGATCGCCTGAAGACGTAAGCAAACGGGACATGTATACACTGAGTCTCGAGGCTTACAAATGCAGCATGACCGAGCTGTGTCGTCGTTCTACAGAGCTCTTGAGAATCTATCGTGATAGTGCGAGTGTAGAAGACCAGAGGATTATTGATGGGATTTGGACGATGGTGCGTAGCGAGGATGACGTTTGGCCGCGTTTGTGCGCAGGTGTCCGGGCTCTGACAACAATGTAGTTCCATGAAGAGGCTACTCAGCCACGTACGGCGATATCGACGCCTAGTTCGGAGAATGATGAAATGTTGGAGAGCGTTCAGACTTCTGTTCTGGAGCTGAAGCAAGAACAGGTGGAGAGCAGGCAGAGTTCTGAGTTTCGTCAAGAACCGGAACAGCGAGGGACGTATCCTGGCCCACTGCCATTCTACGGCGGCCTGCCAACAGTAGCACCCATGATCGCGGACGATACACACACATACTATGCAACCTATGGCGCTTATAACGATACGATAACGAGCACAAACCTCGGCGTTTGGGATGCAAACTCTTGGTGGGGTGACGCTCGTTATATGGAACAACCATAGGACAGTCGTCAACGATGCAGGCATTCATAGCACTTATTTTGTTTTGTCCAAGGTCAAGTGGCGATATGGGGTATTTTCTTGGGCTTTGATAGAGAAAAAAAGGTCGATGTACGATTTATGCCTTATTACAATAGATATTGTGTCTCCAATTGGCTTGTTGCTCAATGAATATATCACGAGATGGAAACAGAGACCTCAGCAGCTAATGCGAGCTGGTGACCGCTGCATATCGTACCAAACTATGTTCTGTTAGTCCCTGTATATACAGTAATAAGTAACCGTACATGTATTAGAGCGAGGACTTGTATTGTTCCAAGGCTGACGAAAATGGCGGAGGTGGGACAAATTGGCGCCGCACTATCACGAAGTCATCGAAGTCTACCATAAGTCAGGAGACGGCGCAACACTAACACATATATGTCGATCCGCTCATTTGAATCGGAATTTTAGACCGACAGTTGACAGTCAAATCCTGTTTTTTCTTTCCATCCGGATATTGGCACCGTGGCGAATGGTGGACTGTGGGCTGCAGTTGACAAGGTTGCCTGGAGGGCATGTTACATCCCTCTTGAAAGGAAATCGCCTTTCCCGTCAAATTGAAGGGCTCTCCATGCAGTACCCTGTACGCCGGAAGCATGCTACACTATCATGGGCTATCAGCAGCCCAGGTGTGACCTCGGCAACCTAGACCTTGCAAGTTTGATACCCATGAATTCGGCTGTGGTACCCGAAGGGGTGATTGATTTGGTGGTGGCAGCCAAGCCTACCACCATCGGGGCCGCGGTGCTGTGGCTTTTTGGCCCGTGTCTAGCGTCTACAAGCATTTGCTCTTCTTGGGGAATGCTCGCAATCAGTGCGCAGCCATTTCCAATATTGCCGGCAATCAATCCGCCACAAGGGACGTGAAGGCCAGGGCAGAAGACTTGGTACCGTCATGATCGCGCGTGAGAAAGAGAATGACAAAAGGCGAGTATGAGCGATGCGAACAAGAGGTCTCGTCAGGCGTCATGATTACTCGCTCTACATTGCTTCGGCGACCCTCGGGGACATCGTGTTTACATTTCGCAGAGAAGAACATGTCTGGACTATGTTCTGGCTGCCTCGTGCGGGCCTGAACTATGCTTTCTTCTTCAGCGCTTCGACCCCATTGCTCAGCCCATTCCCCTTGTGTGCCGTCGTTCCTCTAGATTTCTCGCTCGCAGCAAACAATCTTTCGAAGAGGCTAACCAAGATCTGGAGCATTGCGATGATCGTTCGGGCTAGGTGATCTTTCCATCCAAGCACTGGACTTACGCCTCTGCTGAACTTTGCGTCTTTCACGGCCCATGGCACATTACCGCCTAACCTAAGTCCAACATTCATTCCACTGCTGAAACCGTCCTCGTGAAAGCCGTAGCCAGTCCATGCACCTGCATACCAAACACCTCTCTTGCCTTGAATTCTCTCGAGTTGGTTCTGAGCAGCGATCATACGCGCGTTGTACAGAGGGTGTCGGTATTCGAAAACTGCTTGTGTAGTAGACGGAGATGGCGGTACCTCTGGATTTAGAGTGACGAGAACATCGGAGAATTCGGATACAGGTATGTCTTGAAGAATGTTCATATTGTAGGTCAACGAAACGGTTTGCAGAGCACCTGATGGTTCCGAGGCTGAAGGCTTCTGCGACTGAGCTGAAGATTTCGAAGTCGTGAGATAATTCCAGGCAGACCAGGCAGCGCGACGTTCAGGCATCAGTGAAAGATCTGAATGAAGATAAGCTGTGTTTGGTGAGGTCTCGAAGGCTGCGAGAATGTTCTCCTCGTCCAACGTGGCGGATGACCTCAAGATCTCGCGAGCTTGGTCTCCGTGGCAGGCGAGGACCACTTCGTCGAAGATTTCGGGTTTTCCAGCTCCTTCGCCGTCCAGCTCGAGTTGTACGCGTCCATTTTTTCTGGATACCGACTTCACAGGCGTATTCAAATGCACATGCGCGCCTTGACATTCCTGCATTACAGCATCAATGTACCTTTTTGACCCTCCTTTAATTGTCAACCAGGGCGGTCTTTCCGAGATTGTTGTTAGTAGATGATGGTTCCACATGAAGCGGATCAGGGTCAACGCTGGAAATTCCAGCGCACACTTATCGGCACCTGTGCTCCAAACGCACGCTGTCATGGGTATCAAGTAGTCGTCTCGAAAAGCCTCGGAGTACCCTTCTTGTTTCAGGTACTCTCCAATACTTGTCTCCGCCGTGATCGAAGTTGACGGAGAGCCTGGAGCCACAGACAACAGATCCAAGGCGAACTGATTGAACCGAACTATGTCAAAGATCATGCGCCAGAAGGAGGGCTTGAACGCATTCTCGGATTGGGCGAAGAGAGCGCTGCCAGACGTGCCAGACCATTCGAATGCGCCAGCATCACGCGATATACCGAATGTCATCTGGGAAGCAATTGTCTTGACATCGAGAGCTTTCAGAAACTCGATAAAGTTAGCTGTAAACGTATCAGCACCAACAGCACTAGATGATGGATGTATTTTGGGATCACCTACGGTAGGTAGCAGTATTCAGAACGATGAAGCCAGTATCCACAGGCGTGCTCTTGCCCTTGTGAGTCCATACTGCTGTGTTTGTATGTCCTCCCAAGCGATCTGCTGCCTCGAAGAGATGAATATCGTGGTGTGAGTTGCGCAGAGTCCATAGTGCGCTGAGGCCAGATACACCACTTCCAACAATAGCTATGCGCTTCTTTTCCATTGTGATAGATTGACGAGGTTATTTCACTAGTGACAAGTGTATAGTTTTGAATGGCGTTTTCGAGCACAAGAGTCTTACACGGAGAGGAGCGGACGATTGGAGACATGGTCGCTGAAACTTCGAGTCATGAGGTCATTGATCCTGGAGGAAGCTCATGTCAGTTCAAGCACAGCAACCCTAAACGCTCAACTGCGGTTCACAGCGACCGAAGCACGACTTGCCCGTGTCTTCATCGCTTCTGGAAAGCCCTGAAGCTGCGGATTTCCCCAAAGAGCATACATGAATGACGTAGCAGGGCTGCGCTAGTGCGAAACTGCACGTGATGCGACAGGGTCATGCCCAGCATGGATGGCCTGCGTAATGCGCCGTTGCCGATCTAGGTTGCGACTGCGACGGCAACTACATCGCAGAAGACATAGACAAGCACGCAAACAGACAGCCTTGGATTCTACAAACTGCCCGTACATTCACACACAGCGCCCATCGCAAGCATAAAGAGGAACCATCGGCGATCCAGCACAACATGTCAAACCTCATCGACGCGGATGCCGGCACCGAGCGCTTCAGTGGCTATGAAGCCGAGCTGAAGCTGGTGCAGGCCGACCTCAACCAGCAGCTCGAGGAGATCAAAGAATCCACGGGCGAGCCGCGAAAGGCGGCCATCAGCAAAGCAGAGAGGGCGCTGGAGGAGGCAGAGGAGCTGGTACGTAGAAGCCGGGGAGCGCGCACCAGCGAGGTCGACAACGCTGACTGTGGCACAGATTGGGCAGATGCGCCTCGAAAAGTCCAACATTCCCGCCAACCTCAAGTCCAAATTCAACACGCGCTTTCGCAACTTCGAGCAGGACCTTGACACGACCAAGCGCAAGCTCGAGACGTACACCAACGACCGCAGCAAGCTCTTTGGTGGCCGCTACACCGACAACCCAGACACCGATGCCCAGCTCGAGCAGCGGCAGCAGCTGCTTTCCGGCACCGACCGCCTTAACAGGTCATCAAACCGGCTACGGGAGTCGCAACGGATCGCCATGGAGACGGAGCAGATAGGCGCAAGCACTCTAGGTGACCTGCATCGTCAGCGTGAGCAGATCACACACACGCGCGAGATCCTGCTGGACAGCGAGACCTACACTGATCGCAGCATCAAGACCTTGAAGGGAATGGCAAGACGGTACGTACCCACTCATCCACGGCACCCCCAGCTCCTGTTGATCAAGGGACTTAGCTGGATGCCTATTTGATGTATCCGCACCGTTACTAACGGCCTTCCCAGTATGGCGACGAACCGCATTATCACCATTGCCATCATAACTGTACTGGTCTTGCTCATTATTGCCGTTGTCTACAGCAAGTTCAGATGATCACACATTACCTTGAGCGTTCGTACTGGCGTCTGGAGCACATGTAGGAAGTTACATTGGGTTTCGAAGTTTAATTTAATCGACTTTCACTCGAACCCTGTTTTGCCCCAGAGCCACATCTTTAATCGACAGTGCCCGAAAACTATTGACACCAGAATCAGCGTTGGTCGTCTATAGTGTGTGAGAGATCGTGAATCATGGGTACTTCGCAAATGCTGCATGTAACGACCCGTTCAGCCTGCAGTGCGAAGCTATCACACGCGACTCACATGGCGACAGAACGGTTCTTGTCAAGCATTTCGCAGGCGGGAGGGCCCCGCAAACCAATTTGTTCGGTTATGCATTGGCACGGCAAGTCTCAGTGGGGGGAGGTCGTGCCGGTTAATATGTGCACAAGTCCCGATGTTAGTCCCGCATTGATACTTTGTACTTTGCTTTTGATCCGCTGGCACTGCTTCAGTCTTTCTTCCCGTGAGCCAGACTAAATATCGCACGACGCCAGCATCAACGACTAATCACCTTGTGCTTATCGATCCTAACTTGACCCTTGAAAACATTGGGCGCCGGAACTAGATGGCCATTAGAATACTGCAGTGGCTATTGGTTGCTCAGAGGGGTGGAGGGGATACTGATAATGTATTATACAAGGCTCATATGACTGTTGAGGCTGGATATCCCGGCATGTGCTACATACACGCCCAGAGCAAGGCAGCAACCCACAGACTTCGTGGGGTCATAACCTTCCATCATCAATACGTTGCCCGACGCTCCAATCAGCTTGCTGTTCTTGCGTCTCATGGCCGGGTCAATACATTGCTTTGGTACTTCAAGCGAAGAATTGTCGAAGTATGCGTTGCTTGGCCCAGACACAAGCTATAAGATACATAAGCTCTTAGGTGGCTGGACCTCTTTTGCTACCATTGTAACGCATATGCCCTCACCATGTTCATAATTCCAATCGCCACACTGGTGCTCATCGCCCCGACTCACGCGCTGATACGTTTCGGCTGTTCTCAGCTTGTTGTGGACCGCCTTGATCCTCTCGTCGAGCCAGGGAATGCGCCATCAGCTCACTTGCATCAGATCATCGGTGGGAACTCGTTCGTACCTGACATGCGCCCCGGGGTGTTGGACCCTGCGAAGACATCCACGTGTACGACGTGTCAACCTGCCGACGACTTCTCCAACTACTGGACGGCACCTATCTACTTCAAGGCTCGAAATGGCACGTACAAGAGGGTTCCACAGAAGGGCAATTCTGGTTTCGAAGGGCAGAATGGAGGCATGACTGTCTATTACATGCAGAATCAGTTAGCCGACTTTCAGCAGGCATCCAAGGTCACGGCCTTCAAGCCGGTGAGCACATCTCGTGGCAACGATGAATCCAATTAATGATGTTAGGGATTCCGAATGATTATCGGATCACCGACTGCGGACACGCGCGCTCAAGCTGATAAATTTCCGCAATTGACGTATACCTGCTTGCAAGACATGAGCACTCGTTTTCCCGAAACAAAGTTCTTCCCCAAGAAGCCATGTCCTGCAGGTATCATGATTAACCTACGCTTTCCCACGTGAGTCCAAGATAGCATGTTGAAGACAATGTACTAACGTAACGAGATGCTGGGATGGCGTCAATCTTGACTCGCCGGACCACATGGCTCACATGGTATGTTCGAACAAGCCAGTCCTACTTGATTCAGGTGAAGTCCAGTCACTGACCCTCCCAGTCCTACCCTGCAAGCGGCACCTTCGAATCCCAAGGCCCCTGCCCTGCCTCACACCCAGTACGCATGCCACAGGTCATGTTCGAAGTCATCTACGAGACCAAAGACTTCAACGACCCCGCGCTCTGGCCCGAAGACGGGGGTCAACCCTTTGCCTACTCCTTCGGCGACCAGACCGGTTACGCGAACCACGGCGATTACCTGTTTGGCTGGAAGGACGATTCGCTGCAGAAGATCATGGACGAGGAGTGCTTCGTGAACTGCAAGTCGATGAAGACGCAGAGCATACAGCAGATGAACGCGTGCTCGACGACGAGAAAAGTGGTTGAGGATATTGGCGACGCGAATTGTGAGTCGAGCGATGTGATGGCGGGATGTGTGCTAACTCGTGACAGGGCTGACTTCGCTGCCTGGCCAACACCATGTAGAGTAAGGGGTTGTGCATCCCTCTGGTACGGGTGCGCGTTGCTCAGTATGTCGAGTTCGACCATGATGATAAGGATACTTTCCTTCAGGTGCCCATGTGTGCATGTATAACACGTTCATTAGTGCACCCTCATTCACCGCTACATAATGAGCTCCACAGGTTATCAGCACAGGCTTCGAGCACAATCACTGTTTGCAGACACGTGAAGTGGATGACATAGTTGTGCTGTGCAAACGTGATATTGCTGCCTTTACCGTGCCCATCGATAGCCCACTCACCTCGCGCTGTGAGTGGCTGGCAGCACTCCGGCCCGCCCAACAGGCCCGTGCCCTGACCGTGCGCGATCACATGATCTTAGCGCGCCAAGCTGCTGCCTAGCGGCCGGGCTCCCATAAATACCTTGCGGCTCCCTCTCTCTCCCTCCTTTTTTCTTTATCCAAGTGCGTCTACTCCCAACCCTCCTGTTAAGAAGTCATCATACTGACTGCTTTGCTAGGTGCTCGGGCTTTACGCTTACCAGTGAAGATTCGTCTGAGGTAGCGTTTTTGCTAGTTGAAAACTACAACTATGACTGCTCCAGTTGGCCTTCGGGTCGGCTGGGAATTTTTGAAACCTTTACACTTTTTTGTGCTTTTCGTTGATTTTTGCGGCCTTGAGCTGCATGATCGAAGAAGGGCTTGTTTGCAGCTGTCCGCATGGCTTGGTGATCGTCAGGCACATAGGAGATCGCCTGCTGCAATAAGGTAATTGTCAACCATTTGATGTTGTCGCAGCGTCTTGCTCTCGGCGACGCACACGCACGCGCGACTTTTGTCCCAATCGAAAAGCCGTGGCTCACCCTCCCTTTGCTTAACGCCTGCGACAAAGCCTCTGCTTATGCCATCGAGAATGCGATGAACATAGCTCTCGGTGTGAACAGAGAGACGCGTCTCGCGGCCACAGGACAAGGGATACCTCTCCCGCTCTACAACGTACTGCGACAGCCTCGCGAGCAAGCCCGATCTAGAATCTCGCATGTAACCACCCGTCAACACGAAGGAAAGACGCGCCTCGCAACGCTATCTCGTCGACAAGGTCTATGATAAGGCCGCTTCAAACATGGCGAAAACAATTCCACACCGACCGCACGACCTAGACTCCCAACAGGCGCACGATACCTATACAAATGCCTGAGGCGGCCTTGGACCGGTCATATATATACAAGCTAGAGAATGGCATAGCAGGAGATGCTACTGCTGGACCTCGCCCAGGAGCGCCACCAACCGCAGGGCTCCTCTGTGGACCGGGGTTTTTACTTGTCGAGCACCTCTCACATATGACCCCAAAGGGAAGGTTGTAACTACAGACATGTTCCTTCACCGGACCACGGATACTACCGCGCGTACCGTGGCCGACGTTTAGCAGCGCAGTCACTTTCGAACTAACCACCTTTTTCCTGGATGTAGGCATGCGGCTTCCTCCGACTATTTCTTCAAATCATGTACACACCATCACGGAGCGGCCGTCGGGAATCTGGCTATTTTCCTATATATGTAGGCATTCACTCGCATGCTACAGATCATACTTTATTGAATTTTCGAGGCCTGGAGTTGAGGCCGCTGCGAATCGCAGGTCCCGGACGATACCCGAGTGACCCAGCTGCGGCCCTGGTGAGGTTGCCGGTAGCCTGAGTTGCCGTTTCACGGCTGTTTGAGTTGTCGGGAACCCACGTTTCGTTTCGGTGCACGGAGCCTGTTCACTGTGATCTGCACGAGGAACTTAGGCTGGTGCGTACTCCTGCGCACGCAATATGAGCCTGTACGGATCGTACTCGGGCAATTGGCACAGCAAAACTCTTAGCCTCAGCAGATGTAGCCGCGTCAAGCTGCAGTCCCTTGTCTTCCTGGGCTCGCGATACCTTCTGGCCGGGACGCTTTCACGTGGACGGCCCGTTTTCGCGATCACTCAGCACACAGGACAAGATCCAGAAACATGCCGACTTTGACCTTTTGAGACTTCACAACATTTTTGAAGGCATCTCTGCATCACTTGTGTCGCTGATAGCAAGGAGCTGCGCTTGTCCAGCTATCGGTATTAAGTGTTGCGCACTAATGTTCACCACGAGGCTATATGTGCGACATTATTACCCCTCGCCTCCGCCTTTGGTAAACCCTGCAGATCTGCACGAGTAGGAGACGGTTAAGCATACCACTTTCACGTCCTGGGACTATCGTGCCACACGTGGTGTCTATTGGTAGGGCCGATCTCGTAATGTATTCACTACTGCAGGTTCAGTCAAGGGGTCTCGGGCATGGCGTGTCTCAAATCGCCCCGTTCAATCTTGAACGACACTATTCCGCCTCTCATCGTAGCTTAGTGCCGCCGCACTTAAGACTTCAGCAAATGGATATAGCACTTTGGACTGTGCCTGGCCTCTTTGCACGCCTCTTTCCCCGCATCGATCTTGCACGCATCTCGCATTCAACCATCTTTAGCATTTCCCACCATTCGGAGCATTGATTTTGTCTGCATTTCTCTCTGGCTAATTCTTAAGCCTGGCCATCGCTTCAGATGGATCGTTCGTCTTGACGGGTTGCTTTCCCGTTAAAGGTCTGGTACTATAAACCCAACGCTGCCTGGACACATCAGGAGCTATCGCTTCCACAATATGGATGCTGGCATCTACGAGGCGCCTCCTGTTGCTAATCAGGTCAACACCATTGTCCTAGCCTTCACCGTTGTGGCTGGATTAATTGTCTCTTTACGTCTATTCGCCCGGATCTTCCTGACATCACTGTTTGGGCCCGAAGATGTTCTCATCGTCCTTGCTATGGTGGGTACTACTGTACAATTCTCATCTACGATTTAATTGACCATCTTCAGGGCTTTTCGATCGGTCTCAGCGCTACAGTATCGCAGCAAACCACGCATGGTCTCGGAACACATATATCAGAGCTTGGTACTAATGAGCAACGGTTATTTTTCAAGGTAAGTTATGGCCAGCTCCTGCTTGAGATATCCCAAACCACACATCTGAGGTCAAATCCAAAGAAAATGAGAGTAACTGTATTGCTCATGTGACTGACTCATTCCGCAGGCATTCTGGGTGGGCCTTTGGGTGCACAGCTTAGCGCTCACGATCACGAAGGTCTCAGCTCTGACGCAGTATCTGCGTATCTTTCCGATACATCGCTTTCGTATAAGCTGCTACTGCCTGCTCGGTCTCGTTGTTGCTCTTGGTGCCTGGGCTGTCGCGAGTAACATCTTCATTTGTAATGCGATTGACTCTGCATGGATCGACCGATTCAAGCGAGACGACTGCATGGACCGCAAATTGATATGGTTTACAAATTCGGGTATCAGCATTGCTCTGGATCTTATCATTCTTCTGTTACCAGTACCCCTCATACGAACACTTCAGATTCCAGCAAGTCAGAAGAGGGGGTTCGTGACAATCATTGCGCTCAGCATCTGGTAAGCGGGATCTCCCAAGTTATGGTGTAGAGATTGACTAGCTGTAGTGCACCCATCATCTCGATCATTCGACTCCACACCATCTCTCGAATTGCCAAGAGCACCGACCTCCCGTTCGACAACATAGGTCATGCAATACTATCCTCCCTCGAGGTGAATGCTGTCATTATATGCGCCTGTCTACCAGCAATGCGACCGCTGCTCGCCCTCATGATGCCCAAATACTTCTCCAAAGCAGCACAGTTCACAAACGTGCCCACCGGATACGACATAGAGCAGCCGAAGCACATGCGAACACCATCTCGCAATATGGTAGTCAAGTCCATTCAATCAAAAACCATTGAATCAGGGACAAGCACGCCTCGAGCCCCTCAACCTACCCTATCGCGCACTTCAAGCGGCCGCTTCACAGTCACACACAGTCGCCCGAGTACAGCCCACCAGACACCTACCTCAGGTCGATCCACCCCAGGTCGCTCAACTCCAGGCCGGAACACCCCAGTGCGAGGCTCCCCAGGCCGCGCCACCCCAGGCCGAGCAACCCCCCTCGGCCACTCACGCTCCGGCAGCAACATCTCCATCGACATCGCCGCCGCAGACGCGCGCTCCAACGGCCTGCGCCCTCCGCGACGCACGAACCCGCTTCGCCTGTCACCCATCACGCCTGGCGGGTCTGACATCTCGCTTCCAGAGAGCATGTACAATGCAGGCATATCTAATGATTCCCATGCGGATTTGATTCATGTTTGGGGGCCCGAGAGGAAGGTAGCTTCGAAGCCGCTGCCGTTGACGCCGTTTCCGGTTAGGGCGCATCGGGGCTGAGTATGCATTGGTAAAAGGATTGCACACGACTCATTGTGTTATATGTGGGTATATGGTATGGGTTGGATGTCTCAACGAACTTACGAATGGGTCTGGAGTCGTGGGGCGGCGTAATGAGGCGGGGCTTTGTCTGAGTAGTGTAGCTCTTACATATATTATATCCAGGGAATATCGTGCCTTTACTCTATCATGGTCTTTGCTGTCCTCTCTTCGTCGTGTATAGTAGCGCGCTGCAAGGTTGAGATCTTGATACCATCTGGAAGCTTCACTCCTACGATCGAGGCACGCTACTTCGTGCCCTGTTACACTTTGACGGCGAAATAATGGTGGCGCAGCGCAGGCTGTTGATTATACGGGCTGTTTGTGCGCGGGGTAAATAGCTATGATCGCGCACTTTGGTATGGTGTTTTCGATCCAGCCAGTTCTCCTCCGATGTCAGGAATAATGCGTCGTCGAGGTCCGTTCATGTTCCCTTTAACCCAGGCACACTCGATCCCTCCAACTCAACAGCAACCATCCTCCCCTCTCCCAATTCGACAGTCTCATGCGTACCCGGCATCTCGTACGTCTGAGCACCTGTGTGAGGTGCAATGTGTGGCTTGATATTCTTTCCGACAGCTAGCTCGGCCATGTCTTGACCACCACTTCGGGCGGAATTCATATTCCTAACAGATCAGCGTATCTCCAGGCTTGGGAGCGAATCACGTTGTGCTACAGGGTGTCTAAGAACTGCGAGCATGTGTGCTGGACTGAGCAGTCGGACACCGAATTAGGTACTATAGAACATACCGAAGCATGCCAGAGACGCCGGCGCGTTAGTGTGCGTGTGCTGCAATGGCAACAAGGGATCATAATCCGAGTTGTACAAAATTGTCTGTATTGCGCCGCAGAGGGATTGTTGCTGTTGCACACGAATGTGCTGCAGTTCGTGGCTAGTGCACCACGCCAGAGCTACGGGTAGCCTACGATTCGCGAGAAAAGAAAAATTAATTATCGAAAGCTAGGGCGCGCCTCGAAGGTCGAAGGACGCGATTACAATGAGAGGGGAATTGCTCTTCCGGATCGCCAGCCGTGCCATGCCTTAATTTGTAGGCCGCAGTGCTGAATTTGAGACATAACCAATAGTTAACACGAGCGAGCATCCCAGGCCGAGAGGCATTTCCCCTGAGTGCGTACCGTTCCCTGAGACGGGGATATGCCTGCGAGAGCAGGTCAGCAAGTTCCCGTTCCTGGATCCCACGGGACGGTCTGGAAGATGTGCGCACACGTGGGGCGGTCGACAGTGTAACTGTCTAATGTTTGCTTTTCACATCCATAAGCCCGGGACGGTTACACAGCAGGTGGTGAGGCTGAACAATGAGATTTTTGTGTTACATCGCAAGATCCGAATGCGGCGGACCTGCTGTGCGGAGGGATCTTGGGCCAGAATTAGTAGGTCTGGACTGCGGATGACCATGGAGATTGTTTGGTTCTCAGTTTCCTTGTCCGAGCGCTCGAGTCCAATCAGCCTGATCTCTACGGCGCAGCAGCAGATGCGAAGCAAGAAGAGAACAACGCCTGTCGTACCTATCGAAAAATCGGAAATTGAGGATCCACTGTGTAAAGACAATTGGCGTGCGATAGTGTGCCGTAGCCACTGTCAGACGGAAGGGAAGCATGCAAGTCTCCCGCGGTCAATCAATCGAAGACACGACCGATTAGCGGCTGAATACTCGAAAAATCCTTCAGTGAACGCCACTATTGATTACAGATAGGTTGGCGGCGGAGCCGATGTTCGGATTCGATATCTGGAGAATCAACGAGCGTTTGGGCTGGATAGACACGTGGTTGATCGTCTGTCTCAAAACAGCGTAGAAGTGGCAATCAGCCGTAAGGAGCCGAGTGCGACGCTGGCAGGAAACTTGCAGACATGCTTAAACTTTCACGATGTGCAGGCAGAGTTGATCGACGAGTCGCAGCGGGGAAGGCGATCGCTCATGGTCGGCCAAACTCGAAGGGGTCCGCCGATAGGCCCAGGTACCAGGTGAACCTCGGAGGATCACATGGGGTACATTTGAGTTTTTGCGAGCTGAGGACTGGGTCGCAAATAGCACGGACATGAACCGAACCACAATTGCCCGTTCTATGGATGAGGCGCCGGTCTGGCGCTGTCATATTTAGCAGGCGCGGCGTTCCAACCGTGTTGCTTTTGCCGTGCGTCTCTGTCTGCAACGGAAGGAACGTCCGCAGTGATAGACATGCGTGCCGCACCGGCCCTGGCCGCATACATTGCACGAGTCAGGCAGAAGAGAAAAGGACCGCATACGGCATGCTGCGCACGGTAGCGACTTGGTGCAAAGATGCTAAGTTCAGCGACGATGCACTGACGGTGGTTGCAGACTATCGCAGACCCTGGAGCCAATCACAAAGTTGATGCTGGCTGATTGGCCGTAGCCTTTTCCTGTGTCGGACTCGGTGCGCAAGGATGGATAGACGGCAGGCATGTTAGCGCAGCATGAACATGATCGCCCCAGGCCCGTGGCTGTCTGAAAGGACGTCACCATGTTTTCGACAGGCGGTACGCAGATCAGTTCGACCTTGGAAGATGCCTTTACGGCAAACTCTCGGCCTGCCGTGATACTGCGCCGTGTTTCGCCTTTCTGGTGTGAACCGGACTTGGATAGGGATGGCAGGCAGGAATTACCGTTAGCTTAACGAACTTAATGGAGACAGGGCCAGCCAGTACGCGAACGGATCGACAGACAAGCCACCAAGATTAGCGAGCACTGGCATTGTAATCAGCCATGGCAGCTGGCAGACGTCAACTGGTGCAGTCGTGCTTCTGGGCTGTCGAGTCGCATCGTTGCGGGGCCGCACTTGCGCTTCGGCGACCTCGCGAGGGCCATGTGCGACTAGCTTGTCTCCCACGCTGCGATGGATCCCCTTCAGAAGGAGCGATTCCAGCACCGGCGTCTCCAGGCGAGCACTTGCCGCTGTAAGGTTGACGCCATGCCTCTACTTATACTTCGCGAGACACCCGCCCAACGCACGCTACACTCCCGCCGTCCAAGACAGTACCATTCATTCTTCTGCCGGCCCACGCTCCTGTGTGATATCCTTCGTGGAGCCGTATCTGTCTGCTCTTCTAGTCCCCTCATCGACAACCCCACAGCTCGCGTAGCTGCTGCAACCCTTCATCACTCACTCACTCGCTTACACCTGCGATCCGGGAGCATATAAGGGCACTACCTAGACCACCGACACTTGGAACGCCTTTCACCGTCAATCCCCATTCACTCCACCTTTGCCACGTTCGGTTGTCTGCCCACGTTGTTGCTCCATTCCTTCTTTCTCCCCACCACGCGCCTTCTCCCCTCGAACCGCCTGCGCTCCTGCCAAAATGGTCTACTCTCTGGCTTATCGCCGCCCGGAGCGTGTCGCCCGCCCCTCTTCCGCTGCCTCTATCTCCGGTGAGACCAAGCAAAAGTCAATTCATGACTCCATCAAGTCTGGCAGCAGCGGCATGTCCCATGGCATTCCTGAAGCTCTTTCCTTCGACCGCATCATTGCTGGTGGTGTGTGTCCTGTAAGTAGACGAAGTCCTCACTTCCTCACTGTTTGCTGACCCGCCAGCCCTGCACTGTGCGCGACTTCATGAATTTCCTCAAGTACATTGAGCTGTCCGCCGAGAATCTGCAGTTCTACCTCTGGTTCCGCGACTACAGCAAGCGATTCAATGAGCTGCCTGCGAGCGAGCGGGCCCTCTCACCCGAGTGGTCTGGCGACAAGAGCAACGCCGAGACCAAACAAGGCCCAAAGGTCGTCAACGCTGATGCTGCAGCCATTCTCGCCGCGTCTGACTTCGGCAATGACCCCAAGGTCTACGAGTCTGAAAAGAGTGGTAGCAACCCCTTCTTCACTCCTCCGCGCACGCCCAACAGCGTCGAGAGGCAAGAAGGTGCCTACTCTTTCGACTCGTATGATGGCAGCTCCATCGGTAGAGTGGATCACTCCAAGCGCGCCGATGGTGCGTTTGAGAGTGCAGGACTCAAGTGGAAGCCTTGTAAGTTTAACTGATCTGTTCACATGCAGGGAAGAAGCGCTTACACACGACAGTGTCCGTTCAACCCTACCGAGAGGAGATCAACCGCATCATCTCTATCTACATTGCTGATGGCGGCTCGCGACAGCTGAACCTGTCTTCCAAGGAGCGCACGGCACTCCTGCATGCGCTCCAAAACACCACTCACCCTTCAGCCTTCGCCGATGTCATCGCGACTGTTGAGTGGTCACTACGCTGCCAGGCTCACCCCAACTTCATCCGCTGGACCATCTGCAACGGCAACCGCCCCCGTGTCATCTTCGCCCGTGGTCTTGGTATTGGTGGCATCGTCGCTGGTCTGCTCGTAGCCATCATTCTCACTTTGAGCACTGCGAGCCGCGCATGGCGAGTCCTGTCCCTCATTGGCTTCTTCATCGGCATCTCAACCCTGATCGCCGCGTGGAAGGGCATGTGTGTGGTTCTGCACGGCATGCACCACCGCCATCTGCGACCCTGGGAGCTCTTCGGCTCGGACGACGAGCCCGAAGGCTTCGATGCGAAGCTTGACTCGATGGACACGTTCAACACGCATGCGTCGAGCAACTCGTGGGAGGACGAGCCCTGGGTCGCTAGGTACGAGAAGCGCAACGTCATCCGCAAGGTCTTTGACCGCGAGGTCTGGATCCAGGAGCCCGCGCTTCGCCAGATCCAGGACACCATCTTTGTACAAGCCATTCTCGGTGCTCTTGTAATGTCTGCTGTCGCTGTCGGCATCTTCTGTGCCATTCCCAAGGGCAACTACTTCTAGGAAGTTCGTGTGCACCTTCTCTGTTGCTCCGAGCTCAGAGACTACTTCCCTACTCTCACTCGTTCATTTTCTCATACGCCTCGATACCCCGGTACTTGTATGTATCCGCGTCGCCAGTACAGTAATGGTGACAATCTAAAGGAATGGTTCAGGATGGCGTTTGGTCAGCAGTTATGGTCAGCTTGTCAGCATCAATCGGGATGTTTCGAGAAAGTTTTTAATGTAATGCTACTACATGGGAAATTGAAAACTATGATTTGATTGGACTAGTTCAGCATCAGATGCCTGGTAGTTGAAAACACATGACCGTGATGTGCCTGTCGGATATGCGGCTCTTGTATTGAAGGAATAGGCGGTCAGGCCAAGTGGGGGCTGATGCGAAAGGCGGGGTCCGCAAGAGCGAGCGTTGCGCGAAGAGGGCCGCGACCCGTAGACGTCCATGCTCCTTCTGGCGTCACTACGCAGGCCACATGCTGCTGCATAATTCAACAATGGCTGCGGATTTGGTAACACCACATGAATCTACTCTTACCTTGGCCATTCTTCTCTCCTACCCCTCCAAGCACCGCGTGCCGCCATAGTGACCTGCGTGAAGTCGATGCGCACGCCGAATGAAGCCTGTCTCACTCCCCTCGCTGCTCGCCTGACCGTCCAGAACGCCCATGTCTTCGGCCCACTACGACGGCCGTTACCACCACCACCAGCGGCCGGACCATGATTCGTACTACTCGAGGCATGAACGGCCCGTCGCCACTGCCCGCCGCGAGGAGCTAGCCATGAGGGACAGTCCCAGTAGCTACTCTCCCGCCGACTACTCCTACGAGCCCCGCGCCCCTACGCTACCCAGGCGCTCTGCTGCCCCTCCACAGTACCCCTCGCACCCGTCGTCGCGCTACGCTCGCAAGCAGACATGGCCGCCGTCGCCGAGCGTCGAGGACGAGACGGCCGCGCTGACGAAGGAGGTGGTGTCGCAGGCCGGAGCAGGACAAGGCGCCGACGGTGAGCCGCCAGCTCACTCGAGAGGGTCTGTTGATCAAGAGGCGCTGCTCGAGGACATGGAAGACCCAGACGACCGTCGCTATGTGCTGGTGTCGGACCCCAGCATCATCACTCCTACCGACCACCGCCGCAGGAGCTTCGCAGAGCGCGGCAACATGGCACACATCAAGACAGACGTAGCGGACCCGCCCATGTTCACCGAGCGCGTCTCGACGCCCTATGCCTACACCAAACCCCAGAGAGAATCGATTGCTCCCTCACGCGCAGACTTCCCGTCGCCAGACACTCTTACCCCGATCAGCGCACGAACACCTAGAACCATCCCAGGTCATGAGAGCCGCCACTCGCAACGAGACCAGAATGCGAGGCCACCAAGACCCTCGTCCAGCTATGGCCGACAGGACTCCTACCCGAGGCCTTCCCCGACCGCCAGGGACGATGTCTTCGACGATTCAGACATGGACGCCGACGACACAACGCACTTGCGTACTACAGAAAGGAAACCTGCAAGATACAGCTTCGTCAAGAGCGATTTGCAAAAGGACGACCTGAGAACAGACCTACGCGACAATCACTCCAGGCCTCCATCCCGTCGATGCGACCACCAAGAACGAGCGCCGCCCGCTCTCCGCAAGGATGAATCATCTGGTTCGTCGAGAGATGCTTCCTACGCCCAGTCTCCCCGCTCATCATCATCTTCACTCAACAACGGGACCAGGAAGTCAAGGCCGGCACCAGTGGACACGGGCTACTACAGCAGCTCGCGCGCACCTTCCCGGCCGAGCTCACCCCTCCAACGAGCCCCTTCGCCTAAGCTTCCATCACGAGTTCGCGACTCTCCTTCTGTTTCTCGACCGTCATCGCGGGGCAACACTCGACCAACCTCCCCCATGTCTTTCTCTACGACCTTGAGACCTCCGTCACCGGGCCGCGTACCGATAACAGACGCAGATTGGCACTCTACCTACCCTCCGCCGGCTGTATCAGATCGTTCAAGGCCACCATCCAGGATGACCAGATACGATAGCATGCCCGATCCTACCCCTAGGATCGACGTGCAAAGCCCTTCGCCTGCAAGACATCACACAGCTGGACCTGCCTTACCATACCCTGTCGATGACCGGCCGTTGGGCGTCTTCATGCCTTCAGAAGCGCAGTATCAGTTTGACCATTCATCAATTGCTTCCCCGCGTCAGACCATGCCTGACTCGCCCAGGATGATATCTTCGCCAGTTCACGAATCCCCACGATATAGAGATGAGATGGTGTATCGCCCAAAAACCAGCATCCCAGTGCCCGAAGACTCGACGCACGCCAGGAGAGCCAGGTCGAGTAGTGCACGGTCACAAGCTCCCGTTGATGAGCGCCGAGAGCGCTCTACAAGGCTTCTGGCCAAATACTCAATGGACAGGCCGCTGCCCTCATGTCCAAGGAGCACCCCGACAACAAACTATGATGACTGGTACAGTTTGCTTGGCCAGCGCAACTTTGACGTATGCCCCAGTTGTTACGAGGGAGTCTTTGCTGACACACCTTTCGCTGTGGATTTCGCGCAGACACGGCGGGGTGAACGACCCACCGAACGCTTCTGCGATTTCAGCAGTTCATGGACACGTCTCGCCTGGCTTCTGACGATTGAGCAACGCCGCTCTTCTCTCGAGCTGTTGCATGCCCTAGCTGATATCGCGGGCGTCGAGAGGCCTTGCCCTGACGATGTAGAACTACGCAGCGACCGGTTCGCTTGGTATGGCATACCCGACCAAAGGGACGGCGTGCACGTGGCCAATTTCACCATTTGCTCTGCTGATAAGAGGATGATTGAGGCTTTATTGCCTACGATGCGTGGCTACTTTACAAGGCTTCCGAGCTCCTATACATCCAGTACAGCTCCGAAGTACATGTGCAACCTCCGTACGAGCTCCCGTCGGTTTCCAAAGTACCTTGACCTTCTCGTTGAACTCGACAGGGAGGCTCAGGATCTCGGTCAAAGACCCAACATCAGTCGCTTCATTCAGCTAGCTCGTGAAAATGCCTTCAAGGATGAGTGCGCCAAGGACAAGGCCTTTTTCCGCAAGCCGTGGATCTTCATCCCTTCACTTCCGGAGTTCACTGTCTGCGAAGAATGCTATGATGAACTAATCTGGCCAGCCTGCCAGTCCAAGATCACCGCCACAACAATACCACGTCTCTTCAATAAGACAATGCAACTTGTTCCGAACGAGGATCCGGAGGCCGGCTCTAGCTGTTGTCTCTACAGTTCTCGTATGAGAAGGGTCTTTGACATCAGCGTCAAGGAGGCGGACTTTGCTTATCTGAAGCGGAAAGCACTGGAGAGGAAGAAGGCCGAAGTCAAGTTGGCGAGGGAGAGGAAGGGTCTTATGAATTGGATGCTCAGCCTAGACAGAGGGAGCAGTCAGTGGGAGCGTGCGAAGAGCGAGATCAAAGCGTTGGATCGGGAGTGGGCTACTTGGGAGTGAGAAGTGTTCAGAGGAGGGATACATATTTAGAATCACTACAAATATTCCTCCAAACATGTCAATTTCGTATCGCTACGAATTGTCCCTTTCACGTCTCACTTCCCCATCTTCCTCGATAAGAATCTTAGATACGTACACGTGTCTAGCATTGCATCGAGTATCTCCAATGATTTAGCTTACGGCGGGGCCTGTGGAGACGCTAAAGCCGTGACGTAGAGACCATAATTCATACTCCGCAGACGATGCTTAACTCCGACGTCCTGCACTACTACTTTTTCGAACCTTCTGTCGTCTTATACCTCACCATCCTAGAGTTTCGAGATCACAATGTCTACCTATAGTCGAATCGGAGTAGTTACCGGCGCAAACAAGGTACTTTCATCCACATCTATAAGTATGGCGAGACTGGTAGCTGACGTACTTTTGAAGGGCATTGGCCTTGCTATTGTAAGGCAGTTGGCGCTACAATATCCTACATCGCCGCTGAACAATGGACCGTTTCTAATTTGGTATATTGGATGTTTGATTGATTGAAGGAGATGTGCTGACGAGTGACAAGTGGGTCGACCGGATGTTTTGTTAATCATGTCTTCCGAGCTTCTTGAACCACCTTCTTCCCGCACTCTCAGATGATCCAAGAAGCTCAGGGACGGATTGAAGAATCCACACTGACATTCCTCCCCCCAGATCTCACAGCCCGCGACAAGTCCCGTGGCGAAGCAGCCGTCCAAACACTCCTGCACGACCCGCAACTCACCCAAGCCGCCGCCCTGAAATCCCACGGCGGCCTCGCAGACATTAAATTCCACGCCTTGGACGTCACAGATAGTACAAGTGTGCGCGCCCTCGCCGACCATTTGAAAAGCGCGCACAGCGGGGGAATAGACTTCGTCATCAACAATGCCGGCATCGCCATGGATGGATTCGGTATGTTTCCCCCCCCCCCCCCCCATTCCCCTTCGCGTGGGTTATTAAGCTAACGACGATATCGTGGAAGATGCAAACGTCGTCGAGAAGACACTGGAGTGCAACTACTACTCCACCCTCCGCGCTTGTCGGGCTTTCATCCCCCTCCTCAAACCCTCTGGCCGCATAGTAAACGTCGCCAGCACCTCGGGCTCTCTGGCGCGAATACTCCCCCGCTGTCCGCGCTCGCTTCCTGTCTGCAACCTCTGAATCCGACGTCTCCGCCCTCATGCGCGACTTCCAGTCCGCCGTGGACGCGGGCGCGGAGAAAGACGCGGGTTTTCCCAGCGCAGCGTATGCGGTGAGTAAAGCCGGATTGATTGGCGGGACGAGGGCGCTTGCGAGGGAATTCGAGGGGGTGAGCGTGGTGAGTTGCTGTCCTGGGTATGTGAATACGGATATGAGCAAGGGGAATGGGACGAGCACGCCGGATGAGGGGGCGAGGACGCCGGTTTGGCTGGCGATTGGGGAGAGTGGGGGGGAGACGGGAGGTTTTTACAAGGGGGAGAAGGAGGTTGCGTGGGAGGATCTTTGAGGAAGGGTGAGTTTGGTTGCGCAGCTGTGCAGGCAGTACGACTTCACGAAACACTGGATGGAGGAAAAGCGACGGTGTGTGGTACAAGATTGTCTTGAGCAAGTCGTGTGTCTTCACACAAGAGTTAAGGATTGGGCAGTCATATGGAGGGTAGTGTCTATGGCTGGTATGTGAGTGCAGAGTCTTGCCCGGCTGTTTCGTCCTGCCTCATGAACATGTGCCTCGCGAATGCAGGAACAAAAGACTAGAGTTTGTGTACATCAACTGCTTAGCCCAACATCCACTTCTAATCTGTTGCATTGATACCGTCTAGAGTATCGAAGCCTTTGCACCGGAGCCTGTACTCAAGAATGCGCATGAAACCGATCATGCGCAAACATAGCAAACAGAGGCATGACGGCACCACAAACCTCGCATCGATACGACTCCGCATCGCCCATTTCCTCATCCTCAGATTGCCAGTCACACTCTTCGACATCCGGTGCTTCCTGTGACGGCGTAGGTATGTCTTCGGACCCACTATTGCTCGTCAGCAGTCTGGGTACTTTCAGCTCTGCCTCGTCATCCACATCAACAGCTAGCGGAGTTTGTTCCCCGTCAACAACAGGTAGAATCCCTTCCATATCCCCCATCCCACCATCTCCCTCAGAAACTCTCCATTGCTTCAGTACGTCATCTTGCTGTCTAAACATCTTCCCAATATCCCTCCCCACCCCGCCCCTCTCCCTCGCCGCATCCGCCATATTCGCAGCCGCAACATTGACCAGACTTAAATTCCACCCGCTCTTCTCAGGATGCAGCCGGCGAAACAGCGGCAGAAGAGTTTCCCTGACCAACCGCTCTACAATGCCTTCAACACTGTCTTTGAGATTGAAGACAAAACTGGGCATTGGCGTGGACTTGGATATTCGCGCAAAAGAGCGGTTGCGACTTCCATCGGGATTCTGCGGCGGGCGCGGGCGTGTGGAGAGACGCAGGGTTTTGGGGTGGGCGAGCCAGCGCTTTGAAGGGATGCTTTGTGCATCGTGCGCAGCTTCCTCTTCTTCGTCCTCGAGCAGGTCTGCGTGCATGCGCGTCAAGAGGCTAGCTGCCAGCATGCTCAACTCCTTGGTGACCTCGTTGATGGTGTCGAGCCGAATGTAGCTGTCCTCGATGCTGATTTGCGTTGGAACTTGCCTGGCCTGGCCGACCTCTGCACTATCGCATCCATTCAGAAGTTCCCAGATTCGCGCGCCGATGCCATGGGGAGCGCCATTTCCACCTAGTAGGCGTTCCAGCAGTTCTGGACCGAGGCCGGGATACTCTCTGACATCGCGTACAAGCACGCTTTCTTTGGTGCCTCCGTACACCAGTCCGGTGTCGATAGCCGCGGGTCTTTGCAGGACGTGAGTACGTAGCTTCTGTGCAATTTTGAAGCCGATGCCAGGGATCTTGCCGATTTCGTGATCGTCCATGAACAGTGTCACATTGTCACTAATGTCGGTGTGGTCAGACGTGTATGGGGGCAACAATGTCGTCTGTGCATTGGGTTTGTGCCGGTTGCCAACGAGTTTGGCAAGCAGTTTGTTCGTTGATATACCAACAGTGGCAGTGTAGCCTTTCTCCTGTTCAAGCCTGTTTCGTATATACTGGGCTAGATGACTTGCTAGCAGTAGTCGAAGCTGCAAAAGGTCGACTGGTGTAGTGATGGCTATCACATGTTAGCATGCTGAAGTTTGTAGACATGTTTTGTCATGTTTAAACGACTACTACACAGCGTCCCTGCACGTTGAGCAGAGAGTAGAGGAAACACTCAAGACCTGTCACACAGCATCAAGGTCTTGGTGAAACAACCGGAGCTGGCATTGCCGAGCAAAGTTGTTTCGTTCTCATCAAGCCTAAGAGACACTGCACTACTGAGCAGCCCATTTCGGTGCTGTGCCGTCCAACGTGCAAGGACACTGGAATCCTTCTGACACGGCTGGTGAAGCTTACTCGCAAGCGCTAGTGGCTGAGCGCTTAATAACCAACACTGTTAGCCGCGGCGTGCCGCAGGTGCAGCGCCCGTCAGCCTTGTCTCTCATGATGAGAAATCGGTAGACTGTGACAGCTACGCCACATTGGACCCAGCGGTCTCGACTCTGCGCTTACCTAAAGTGTGCTCCAATGCATCTGGAAAAGCATAACCTGCCAGTCTTGTTGCGTCAAATTCAAAGCCAAGAGTAGGATCGGTCTTGGAGAGGCAGAAAAATGAATTGCTGAGGTTGCTGGAGTTCAGCACACCCGTGTTGTAGTCGATGATGTCGGAGACATCCATAAAGACCTGACTGTACCTTAGAAATGTTTATAAATAGCAGCGTGAACACCATGAGACGGGCGAGATGCGATAATTGGAATGCTTCAGATGATCGCAGGTGATGCTGACTTTGGGAACAGCGAGCTATGCAGGTGACGACAGAATTGGTGGACGAACCTCGTCGAAACCAAGCCTCTCACAGCGCGCGTTCCAAGAGAAAGACCTGACAAGGGCGTAGAGCTCCTTTGAGGCATTCCTAAATCTTGTCAAGTCCTCGCCCAGGACAATGACTACATCGGGGCAGAGTCGCTTCGCTTCTGAGATCAGCTGAAGCTTGTAAAGGCCCTACATGCAAGTCAGTCAGCTTACGCGATCCAACAAATACTAATTTCGATCTTCGTGACATGGAAGTATGTTGATGTACACAGTAGGTCTCGCGAGTGTGCAGTTCTGCAACTACTCGGCGATTGGCAGACCGTCGCACGTAATTCTTCCGGGTATATCGTTGTGTACTGGAAGCCAGACGTGGTGCACTATTACGCTTCAAGAAGAGCGGTGTATGCCACTCTGAAGGATCTCGGGCGGATGTGCCACAACAGGAAATTGGCTGAGGCCCCCGAGTGCGATCACGATTGGCGGCTGCGCCTGGTGACTGTGTCCTTCCCGCAAGGCTGGCTGCAAACATTGATGAAACGAAACAGAGAAGAGCTCACACGTCGACGGGCCTCGTAGTTGCATGTGACAACAATCTGCTTCTGCTGTATGGCGAGTGGCAACGATTTCAGATGTGGAAACTCATTCTCGACGACACTTGCGTAAAAAGCGTCGTAGTCCTAGGGGGATGGAGGCGTCAGTGAGTGGGCTTGCCGCAAGGCTGTGTTGCGCAGGGATGGGTTGCCTGAGTTGGTTGCGTGCGTACGAAGTGGATTACGGTTGTGTCAATCTGTCTCTTGAATTTCTTCGCACTGGACATGTCCATGTTGACGACCCCGGCCCATGGTCGGCGTGGAAGAGATCGGCGCTTACAAGAAGGTGCGATGCGCGGAGGGCTCGTCGCGGCTGCAGTGGGATGGAGTTACGAAACGTGCATGAAGCGTTCCATGGACGGGCTGCCAAGGCCGCGTGGACTCCCGAGTGCCAATTGGTAGCGTGCTGTAGCGCGGTTCGCCACTACGACGGTGGAGAGCCCGAGCGCTTGACGGTCTATTCTTGGTATCGGTGTATTTTGGGAGCCAGTAGCTTCGTATCCAGGCTAGTCACTTTGCAAACTCGAGACTCCGCGCGTTGAGATGCAGTAGAGGCGGCTGGGTAGCCCTGGCGGGTTGGCCGCAGTTGCTGCTTGCTGCGCTATAACCTTCTGTTCCCGCGCCTTGCCCTGCGAGACTCGATCGAATTCCTCCCGCTTCACACCCCGGCCACGTGCATCGACGTGCCCATTCCCGAATCACCCGTACACCCGCACACCACCAGTCCAGCGTTCGGTCAACAGCCCAGGTCACGATGCTGTCCACTATGTCATTCCCTCACTCGATACCGCCAGCCTACTCGGCGTCATCTGCCTCCCCCTCCAACATGACCAGCTCGCTGCCTATAATACCGCGCGGTCCCGCTGCCCCGCAGCGTCCCAAGCTCTCCATCAGCACCGTCAACACCCCCCGAAGTTTTGGCAAAGGCGCCAGTCTGCGACTTGACACTCTAAGTGCCGTCTCCCCCACCAAAGTCAACACCTTCTCCAACGCATACCCAGCCCTCGAGCGCCCTTCGAAGCCCCGCCTTTGCATAGACAGCAGCATCCCGAATGCGACCAGCGCCACCACCACCCCGAGTTCAGCGTCTACTCTCTCGTCCGCGCTCACCTCAGCCTCGCAGGAGTCTGCTACCAGTCCAATACCCTACAAGCAGCCACACAACCTTACGTCAATACTCGCAAATAGCCCTGCACGGTCGATAATACCGCGCAAGATGGCAGCCTCGCGGCCCATGTTCCCCGCCGAGAAGCGCGTGTCTTTCCGCACCCCGCTGGAAGAGGAGATCACCACAGTCAAGTACACTCTGGCCCATTCGGATCTAGAGGCTTCTGTCTCTACACTGTCCTCGCTCGCCTCAACCGCATCCTCCGACTCCAGCCTCTCAGCTACACGCCATTCGCTCTGCTCCGATAGCTCTGAGAAGGCCTCTTCTGCACAAGAAAGCTCTCCCCGACCCAAGCAACCACGGACAGGCGACAAGCGAGACTCTTCGTCTTCCGAGGATGACAGCGATTCCTGTCCGGAAACGCCCGTCGCAGGACGTCGCAAGAGAACGCGCGACTGGCGATGGACACTGGGGCCAGTATCAGCATCAGCATCCGACAAGTCAACAGCCAGCGAGTCCACAACCAGCGAGGACAGCTGCTGATCACAATCTACCTTTCTTTTGCGTTTATTCCCCACCACATAGACGGCGCGTCACCGCAGGTCATCACACGAAGGTTGCATGGAGATATTGAGCGAGTTCACGAGCATTTACGGCGTTATGTCTTTTCCAGAGATACCATCATCATCAGCATCAGCATCGCATTACCTCACTACCACATTGCGCCACACCATTTAGTAGTCTACATAGTTTAAATCCATCGCACTGTTGAACAGTCGCAAATATACATTACGTGGTCATTCCCCATGTCACATTCCCCCCACCATGTCTCTCGTCCAAGATCATCCGCGTCTGACAGGTCAAGTTCGTGACCCCGGTCCGCGAAATGGCGCCGAACGTGACCCAACGGCTTTCCTCCCAGCTGGGCAGCGATCGCCGGGCACACGACCGGGCCTGCAAACCCTATAGTAGCGTATCTATTCTCTGCAAGCTTACATGGTTGCATGTGCAAGCCTCAACTCATGACGCCGGAAGAAAGAAAGAGAAAAAAAAAATCAAGCTGAGTTGCCTTGTTGCGTGCGCAAGCCACAAGGCGGTGATGTCATGCGTTTCCCTTTCCCTTTCTCAGCATGCGCGCGCGTGGTGTGTGTGGCAAGTCGACCGGTTTCTTCTCTTGGCTGAAGCCCGGTTACGAAGCAGGTATTGTTTCTCGGCCAATATTGATAAAGCCCGCGAACACACTCCTACCCTGTTCGTTTTTTGCGGCGGCGACTCTGCCAGAATCGTCAGGTGCGATGCAACATGTTTCGTTTGAAGTTCGGCCGCACGAGTGGGGGGGGGGGGGGATTACGACGGGGTAGTATAGACCAGGCTAGGTGGGGGGTGCGTTCGCAACGGGTGCGTTCGAGAAGGGAGCGCTATTGTGGGTCGTGGATGCAGCTGTTTCAAACAAACTTGTTACAAGGCAGTAATGTAGCTGGAACTTGTTTCGCTGCTTGCCTGTCTGGAATATACCAGAGTCTCGTTTCGACAATACACACCGTATCCCAGCCCCGGCTTCTTCTCGTGTTCACGTAAAACTCCATCGTCGCAAATACCCAACAGAAAACTTCCACATGGTAGTCTCGAAAACTTGGGGATTCTAGAATCTGGCTTCCCGTACCTGCTAGGTACCTGACACGAGGTGGCTGTTCGTGTTCACGGAGCTAGCGCAAATGATTTGTGGATCTTACACGAGAATGCCAAAGTATCGTGGTAAGAGGCTTGCGCGGAGATTTGCGTTGGACGGGTCTGGCCGCGGTGACATGAGGCGACATGGAGGGGCGTCACGGGCTGCAAATCGATCGTATGCCACTGTTCTGGATGCTAGTTTGTCAGCTGTGTCAAAGTCTGCTGGATTTTCGAGCCAAGGTGCTCCCTATCGAGCAATGCTAATGGCCTCGACGAGGTGAGATCAAAAATCGATTGTAGGAAAGGGTAGGCATACAACAAACGTATTGGCAAAATAGCGGCGCTTGCTGCTATGGTGAATGTACACTCGAGGTGCTGCTCTGGTAGACCCCTCTATTATTACATGTAATCCGGACGCGTGAACGAACTCCAGCCGAACCCATCTAAGACTTCTGAATAGCTATACAAGGACACCGATGATCCCAAGTAAAGTACAACCGGACGCACGCAGAAAGACGTTTACGAAAGCGCTCATTTCTTCTTTCCTTTTGCAACCGCCGCCTTCCCTTTGCCTTTGCCCTTGGGCTTGACGTCTTCATCTGCCTCTTCTTCGCTCTCATCGTCTTTAGCCTTTCTCTTGCCCTTCTTTGGTGCGGCTGCACTCTTCTTGGCCGCTGCTTTCTTCTTGGGCTGTTTGACGTATTTGTCCTTAGACAAGTCCGCCTCCTCGTCCTCGTCCTTGACCTCTTCGATCACCTCTCCATCGTCGGATTCCTCAATCGCTTCCTCAAGATCGGGTTTCTCCTTCGCTTGCTTCTTCGGTGCAACAACAGAAGACGCCTTCATGAATGGTAGCGGATGTGACTGTTGGTTATAGCTGTGTTTGTGTTAGCCAAGTGAACATAACCAATCGCACGAACGGCGGTATACTTACAGTCGTGTGAACGTTGCCTTGGCCTGCGTCTCGATCTTAACCTTCTCTTGATCCATCGGTCCAACACCCAGTTCCATGATAGCATCAAAGTCATCTTTGGTCAAGTAGTAGCTGTCCATGAGCTCAATGATTGGTCCGACGGCATCCTTGCCCTCTTTTTGCAGCTTTTGAACGAGTTCTGTCCAAAGAACAGGAATGTATTGCTGTCGAATTTCGTGTCGATCGCCTGAAGAACGCAAACGCATATGTGCTTGAATCTCCTTCACCAGGCGGCTCAATTTGTTGGTGCTGCTGTTCTTGCCCAGCCACGATGTGAAGCGTGTCTGATTACCAGCCGTGCTGCCAGCAACAAAACTTGCTGGGCGGACGAAACTGAAGACTGCATGTGTCGGCATGAGACTCCATTGTTGCTGGGAGCCGTGGATCATGCGGTCCACAAGATCACCATCGCTGATACTATCAGCTGCTTGTGAAGCAAGTTCGAGTTTCTTCAGATTCTGTTCTTTGCCAGAGTAGTTGAGGGCTTGCATAGGATTAGTGCCGAGGTAGTTCTCCTGGAGCATGAGAGGACTGAATTCATGGTCGTTGAAGTAGAGTTCGATCTTCTCGTTTAGGGTCGCCTTGCTGCTGGCAGCGAACATGCCGCCTCCAAGAATCTTCTGAGTAATGTCCCATGGCTTGAGGATAACATGCTTTTCCCAGTTCTTCGACATGCGCTTGCCACTGTCAAAGTCCATGGCTTCCTGGTCTAGCTTGGCTGTCGAAATCATGTTGACGACCTGACGAATATCGGCGTGGCTACCCTCGATCAGTGCATTGACAACAGGTGCCGGCATCTTGAGCCCTTCCCGAAAAGCAATCGTCATGATACGAGATCGAACCTGATCCACAGTTGGTCGTCGGAAAGGCATGTCGAAAGTGACGTAAATCAAAGGGCTTCATCTTCGGCCAGGCGTCTGTCGTTGCAGATGAGGATCATGGGAACTTCGGTCTTCTTGCAAACCGCGGCCCAGGGCTCCGACGCCACCTCGATCACCTGCGGACATGCCATCGACTTCATCCATGATGAGAACCAGCTTCTTCTTTGCCGACTCGACTTTCTTTCCGTCACCAGCAAAGTAGCCATGCAAGGAGTTGGTACTCAATACGCCGCGCAAGCCCTCTTCGATCAGCTTCTTGCTGCGAGTGTCACTTGCATTTCGCTCCACGATGTCGTAGCCCTCAAGTTTCGCTACCAGGTGAGCTGCTGTAGTCTTGCCAATTCCAGGAGGTCCGTGAAGCATGACGGCACGGAAAACACCACTTCCGTCTGCTCCAGCAAGCTTAAAATTTGTCTTGACATTCTTTGGGAATTTCTGCAGCCATCTCTGAAGTCTCTCCACTGTAACCTTATTGCCGCAAATCTGGTTCAGAGACGATGGAGCATACTTGGTCGTCCAGAGTCGGGTGTCAACAGCTGGACCGTCGCTTTGGGCTGCAGCTGTTGCAGCGGAAGCTGTTGTGCGACCAGCGGCTACATCGGCAGCCTTCTTTTCCTTTTCTCGTTTCTTATCTTCCTTCTCGAGCTCGGCCGCCTGCTTCTTGATGTTCTCCTCTTCCTTGCGTTGCTTTTCCTTGTAGGCCGCCTGTGCTTTTGAGTCACCTTTGTTGCCGACTTCTGTGAGTTTCTCGATGAGCATCGATAAGCCATCTTCTTCAATGGTCTGAATTCCCAAGTCATGAATCTTCTGCTAACGTTGCTAGGGCCCAGCATCGGTTCCAAGCACGACATAGTTGGTCTTCTTGCTGGGAGCACCAGTAACTTTGCCACCATGGCGTTTAACGAGCTCTTGTGCTTCCGTCCGACCCCATTTTTTCAGAACGCCGGTGAAGACGAAGTTCAAGCCTGCCAAGCAAGTATCTGATCCTGAAGGCATGTCTCCGGATGCCCCTTGAAGCGGTGCTGGCTCTGCGCGGCCAGCATTCGCTCGCCAGTCAAATTTTGCGTCCTTGTCCTTGGGCGGAGGTGTAGGTGCGCGTACGGTAGGTATCATGTCGTAGATGGCCTGGTGATCTGCACTTTCTGAGACTTCTTCCTTCTTTGCTTTCTTTTTGACGGGCGACTTCGCTGCAGTTGCTTTCTTGGCTCGTCCTTTCTTCGGCTTCTCTTCCTCGTCTTCTAAATCGTCCTCATCTTCGTCTAGATCCGGCGACTTGCGCTTTCGACCAGCCGTTGATATCTTCTTGGGTTTGCTTCCTGCGGCCTGCTCGTCATCAGTCGGCTCTACGAAATCGGCCTCCGCGTCCACATCTTTCATGTCGACATCTTCGTCATCTGGCTCAAAATCGTCTTCTTCCACAATCTTCTTTTGCTGCTTGGCGGGCATCTTAGGTGTTCCCCGGTGAGGCAGCTTCACGGCTAAGTCATCCTCGCTCTCGGCGACTTCTGTGTAATCGTCCTGCTTTTTGCCCTTGATGTCGTCGCCAAAAATGTCATCCGCACCATCTAGGTCGTCGTCTGGAAATTCGTCTTCATTGTCCCGTTCAGCATAGGACCTGATAGGTTTCTTCGCTCGTCCCGAAGCCCTGCCATTGGATGCGGGGGTAGATGTCTTGGAGACGCGTGCCGCGGCCTTCTTCGGTGTCGCCTTTGGCGTCTCGGCGCTCTTCCTCTTTACGGGCTCCGTCCTTTTAGGCTTGTTTGACGCTGCAAAGAAGTCGGATGTGGTGGTCTCTTCGAGTTCGGGAGTCGGTTCGCGCTTGGCTTTCTTTGGCGGTGGCTTCTTGGGTGTGGTCTTTGTTGGTCTGCCTATGTTCAGCTGAGATTCAACTAGTTGAAACATGATGGCTCACTTGACTTCCTCTTCCTCCTCATCATCGGAATCGTCGACGACTCTGCTTGCCCTTCCACTTTTTTTGGGCGCTGCTTTCTTGGTCTTGGGCTTGTGGCAAAATCAGCTGCATGCTTTTTATACAGTATATAGAAACATACCTCGTCTTTCTTCTGCGAGCCCTGGCTTCCCTCGCTGGCTTTGGTAGGCCCGCCACCAAAGAAGCTACGAATGTCGGCCGGCATTCTCGCTTATGAGTAATATAATCGAAAAGCCTGCAGGCAAATATGCAAGCAAGTAGCACAACAGCAGTGCAGCAACAATGGCTGAGGGTGGAGGTGGATGGAAGAGTCGTCGCTCACGCGGGTGACGGATGACGGGCAGGCATTGACGCGCTTTCGCGAAGTCATTAGACCCAGACGCGCCTGCGCTGCCTACGCTAGTGGCAGGTCTTGGCGGAACTTCAGAACTTCAATGTCTAGCGATTGGTGAAGGGCCTAGGCAGTGACGGCACCACACATCACCACCACCATGCCGCCGCCGAGGATACCGCAAAACCTTGCGGCCCAATTCAGCCAGATGAGTCTGTCAGCATCGCGGCCGCGACGTACACGCTTCCCCGCCAGTATCACTACCGCATCGACTAACATCTTCAAGTACTCCAGCAGCCATGCTTTCCACGATGCCAATTGCTTTCGCCTGTCGCTGCCTCTGCCGTCCGCGCCTTTTCCACTACCCCATCCCGTCTGAACTGGCTCGCTCCCAAAGGTGGTGAGTCGTGCAAATCTCGAAAGGGCCGGTGTCGAGTGCCTACTGGCGGCAGCATGCGCGGCACCACGGTGGTTTGGGGCGACTACGGCCTGCGGATGCGCGACCATGACCGTCGAATCAGCGCCCATCAGCTTAAGATTGCCGAGGAGACCATCAAGAAGCGCCTCAGGGGGATGAAGTTCCGCATGTACATGCGCATTGCTGCGAACATTGGTGTATACACCAGCGGCAACGAGAGCCGTATGGGAAAAGGAAAGGGTAGCTTTGATCGATGGACGGCGAGGGTGGCGGTGAGCAAGATCATATTCGAGCTCAAGGGCGATTTGCACGAGCAAGTGGTCAGGGACGCCTTTCGGCTTGCAGGGAACAAGCTGCCTGGATTGTACGAGTTTGTGAAGAAGGGCGACCCGGCCGTCATGGGCCTGACGAAGGTCGGAGTCAACGGCGTCACTGAAGCTGATCTGAAGAGGCCCCGGAAGAAATTGCCTCTGGAAGAGACGGCGGCACGGTTACCAGAGGCTTGAGCGGGAGAAAATGCCATGATCATCCACGGGTATTGATTATCATGTACAACAATGCTAGAAATATGCACAAGACCTTTATCGGAGCTAAAACTCCTGCACCACTATGTTTCTGCCTTTCAGGCTTTGTACAAGGTGTCCAAGAAGCCCTTGGCCAGGTCAACAACAACGCTCTTGTTTGGTAGACTGCCAGCAACGCCGTATAGTGCTGCAGCATCTCCCTTGACAGCACCTTTTGCGCCCTTGCCCTCTGCAATCCTACGTCGCTCCTTGTCTTTGACATCCTCCGTTACCTCGACCAGGTCTTCTATCAGCTTGTCAACAACTGCGACGATTGGCAGTGTTACAGCAATGTGGATGGCTGGCGGGTTCTGCAATGCGTTCAAGTGCCAGCCTTTGCCCGACATGCCATCAGCGATATCGTAGATGTCAATCGTGTCAGAGAGGAAGGAGACAACCGAAACCAGAGGCTTGCCAATGACCTTCAAGTCAGAGGCTAGCTCTGGCCTTTCGCGGATAGCCGACTCGATCTTCTTCATGCCACCAACAATCTTGTGGCATGCATCAATGTAACCGTTCTCGCCCTGCTTGACAAGACTGGCCCAACATCCTGCAATCAACGCACCCGGCCGCGAACCAGCAATTGATGGCGAAGCATACACGCCTCCAGACCAGTCAGGCGAGATGAAGTATTGGTACTTGCGGAAGTCGTCGGAGCGGTACAGCACGGTGGAATTGCCTTTGGGAGCGAATCCGTACTTATGGGTATCACACGAGATGCTGGTGACACCTTGCAGACGGAAGTCAAAAGGCTCCGCTTCAAATCCAGCCTTGGTCAGCATTGGAATAATGAAAGACCCAAGACAGCAGTCGACGTGCAGAGGGAGTTTCTTCTTCTGTGCCAGCTTGCTGAGACCAGAGATGTCGTCAATGATGCCATGGGGGAAGTTGGGCGCTGAGCCGACCAACAGCACTGTATTCGGATTGACTAGAGCGGAGACGGAGGGGATATGGACCTTGTAGGTGGGCGCTTTGCATTCGACCAGATGTATCTTGATCTTGAAGTACTCGCCAGCTTTGCGGAACGCTGTGTGCGCTGTCTCGGGCAGTATCATCTCGGGCTCCGTGACGCCGCGCTCCTTGTAAGCCTTGTTGCGCGCAGAGAGGCATGCCATAAGGATAGACTCGGTGCCACCGGACGTGGTGACACCCACAGCACCTTCGGGAGCGCTGAATAGCGAGAGGACCTGTTGTGGTGTCAGCCATACAACTACGGGCGTGTGATGAGGGAGTCTCGTACCATAGCCACCACCTCGGCTTCCATCTTGCGTACGCCGGGGAAGACGTCTGGATGAATGGGGTTCGCCACAGTGAACTTGCCAAAAGCCTCCGTCTGCAGCCGGATCAAGTCCTCGCCGCCATGATACACGGCTCCGCTAACTCTGCCATCTTCCCACTTGGTATGTTCCATGCCGGCTAGCTCTCCCAGCTTCTTGCGCACATCCTCTTCGCTCCATCCTATGGTGGGCAGGCTGATGATGCGCTCAATACCGGGGCCGCTGGGTACGAGTTTTTTCTCGAGCTTGAGGATAGATTCGGCAATCTGGGTCTGCACTTTGGTCCGGACACCAGGCAGGCGCAGGAAAACACCGTAGAGGTAGCGGCGGATGCTAAGGTAGAGGTCACCGAGGGAGCCGAAGATGCCACGGCCTTTGAGTTGGTAGAAGAGCTTGCGCGTCCATCGCAGCAAGAAGAGGACGAAGACAATGTTCCGGATGCTACGGGTACGGTCAGTCTACAGGGCCTGTATGGGCGCTTGTGAGTCGGAGGTCACGTACACTTCGATGTTCAGGGCAACGAGCTGGCCTTTGGGAGAGCTCCGTCGCGCATTGAACGTGTCGCGGAGACTGACGGGGAGGCGTGACGAGCCAGGCATATTGTGCGTGAGACGAACAGTCTGGTCGGTCTGGACTAGACGGCAGCAAGTATCATGGTATGGGTACGCAGCCGGCGAATGACTACATATGAAGTGGACGCGCACCCATAGATCAAGCTTCACATGCCACTAGAAAGAGGCGCTACTGCGGCCCGTGCAGCCAACGGCTTTTGGTGCAGCCCTGCAACATCGAAGAATTGGCTGAGAAGGGAAGTTGCGCCGCTACCGAAGCTGAGGCCTCGCAACTCTCGCTCTTTGTGTCTTAATGCGTTGCGAGGACGGGGTTGTCGTGATAAGATAGCGCGAAGCTGCCTCGGCATCATCATTTATCCAGTCTCGCCTCGTCGTTTTGATTGAATGAGCGCAAGCAGCTTGATGCATCTGGCCGTGCAGACTATTGTCCAACGATGCGAGAGAGCACTGGTGACTTTCAAGATGGCCCGATTCACGCCCGATTCACGCCCTAGCCACGGCCAAGATGTGAATGATGGAGGCAAGCTAGCTACCCCACAGCTTCCTTCCCTGCATTCGCGTGCACGTCATGATCCACACGACACGCTTAATTCGAACAAGAAACAGACGTACCCGCGCCTGCTCCCGGACTTTCACCCGCTCTGACTGCCCGCTCGCTACACAGATCGTCGACATCTCCACCGTCGCGTGCGTCCCGCTGACCGGGGCGTTTCGGCAGTCGTCGTTTGGGTGTAGCACGAAGCACTCGCCATGGAGAGCAACCAGACAGCTTCGAGGGCCGCCAAGCGATTTCTCCAGGACCGCGTGCGCAACGACTGGGCCTATCCAGACGTCCCACCAGTCTGGTCGGCATCCGACGAGGAGGTGCGCGACGCCCAAGGCCTGTGCGAGCGCTACTATGGCGAGTCTGAGTCCAGCGACTCGGGCCCTGGGGAGGCCGGCCCCTACAAGTTCGACAGCCCGGACAGCATCGCCGACGCCGTGGTGCAGACACGCGATGCGCGCAGAAAGAGGCGCAAAGAGCGGCTGGAGGAGGAGATGCAGCACAACGAGGGGCTGCGGCTCTGGGTCGAGCGACGGGACATGTGGACAGGCGCGACCAGCGTCAAGAAATACGGCACCCGCACCCTCGACCACGCCGGCCCAGACGCCTTCGACATGGTGCCAGTCGCCCCGCGCCTCCTCGACGAGAACCCCATCCGCGCCTCCATCACGCCGAACTCGTATTCCGACATCTACCAGAAGATTGTCGTGTCGTCACGCACGCCCTCGGTCCCCATCAACCTGGCTGACATGACAAAGGCACTCGTCCAGGGCTGGAAGGACAGCGACGAGTGGCCGCCACGACCAGGTCTCATCGACCCCCTCGTAGGCAAGAAGCGCGGCGTGACGGGTGCTATGGCAAACGGACAGCACGGCGGCTTCATGGAGCGCCATCCACATCTCGAGAAGAGCGTAGACAGCGTCAAGCGCATGCTGCACTTGAATGGAGGCCATCATGCGACTGAGCACACAGAGGGAGGCAAAGCAGGCTGAAGGGGGGCCAGATTGGACCACAACATGATACCACCACGATATGCTGTCTGGTTGCCAGACAACCTGTAAAGCCCTGCCATACGTTGCTTGAAGCCCTTTCCGGACTGGACTTGGTTTCGTCTCCGACGAGCCCGAGCACGCTGGTCAAGCCACGGTATCGTAGGCTTATGCTAGAGCTTCGCCGGTTCAGGATTGGACTGGGCGGGTCAAGAAAGCTCCATGTATTCAGCCTCAGTCCTTTGGGTACTTGGATTAGGCTGCGGGACGCTGCATCATGCCATCTCTCCGCCTCCGAAGAGGATCCTGGGACCCTGATCACTACTATACTTTATACGCCTCTCGATTGTCATTAAAGCTGCTCTGAAATATCAAATCCCACTCAACATGTCTCAGGCTCGGCCCCTTTTTTAAACTCGTGTGAAGAGAGACATGCTAAAACACCAACGTCGCCAAATGGCTGCACAATATAATGTACGAAAGGAACAGCAAGAGCTTGTATACGGCAAATATCGTTGCATCTACGTCAAAGACATCGACTCAGCCATCATGTCATCTATCTCTTCTGGACATACTCCAACCCGTTATGTATGCTTCCCCACTTCGCTTCCCTGATATCATTGAAGTAGTTTGACCGGGGCTTCCACGGTCCGCTGTCGCCCGTCTTCGGCAAAATACCCTCTCCCTTCTTGATGTATGTCGAATTGAGATCAAGAACAGGCAGAGCCTTCATCTCGTCCGCATTCGCCACCCTCGGCACCACAGCACCCGCGCCCTTCTTCTCCATCTCGTTCAGCAACCTGCAAATCGTCTGCGCCGTCGCATCAGCTCCCAACGTCCAGGACGCATTGGTATACCCCAGCACCAGCGACGCGTTGGGCAGGTCGTGCAGCATCATGCCCTTCCACATATACTTGCTCGAAATATCAAACTTCTCCCCATCGACAGATAGCTCTATGCCGCCCGCGACCTTGAGTTTCAACCCCGTAGCAGTGACGATGATATCCGCGTGCAACTCCTGCCCGTCCTCCAGCACAATACTATTCTTCGTCACCGTCTTGATCGTGCCCGTCAAAATCCCGCCCTTGCCCTCGCGAATCGCGCGGTAAAACTCCCCATTCGGCGTCACGCACAGCCGCTGCTCCCAAGGGTTGTACTTGGGATTGAAATGCGGGTCGTGCGAGACACTCGCGGGCAATTCCTTGGTGGTTATCCCGCGGATCAGTTTCCGCGCCGTGCTGGGGAACGCGCGTGAGAAGTAGAAGAGCAGGTATCCGAAGATGAGGAAGCGCACGCGGTTGACCTTGTACGCGAGCGCAGGCGACACGAAGCGCATCGCCGATGTCAGCGGACTGACGCTGTTCTGCACGGGCAGGATGTAGCTCGGGCTGCGCTGGACGATGGTCGTTTGCTTGGCTGTCTTCGCGATCACGGGGTGGATGGTGACGGCTGTTGCGCCGGAGCCGATGATGGCGACCTCTTTCCCTGCGTAGTCCAGGTCCTCAGGCCAGAATTGCGGGTGCACGACTGTGCCGCCGAAGTTCTCGAGCCCAGGGATCACGGCGTGGAGCGGTTCTTCGTAGTCGTAGTAGCCGGTGGCGAAGACTATGAAGCGCCCGCGAAACTGCTGTTTTTGTCCGTCAGCGTCGACATCGAGTGTCCATTTTAGTGCTCTTGAGTCCCAGTTGGCTTTGGTGGCACGGTGCCGGAACTTAATCGCCTTGTCGATACCGGTATCGCGTGTGGCTTCTTTCATGTACTCCAGGATTAGGGGCCCTTCGGCGATTGCAGGCCCGTCAGTCCATGGACGCCATGGAAATCCAAACGTGTACAGATCAGAGTCAGATCGTAATCCGGGGTATTTGAACAGGTCCCATGTTCCGCCGATACTCGAGCGCGACTCCAGAATCGTATATGTGGTGCCCTTTGGTGCAGAATTCTGTACACGGTATGCAGTGTTTATTCCTGATATGCCTGCACCAATGATGATGACGTCATATTCAGAGACACCCATCTTGCCTTGGGGTCGTTGGGGAGTCTGGTATTGGTCGTGGGATTATGTGTCTGGGGAGGTGGTCGCGAAGCACTTCGTTTAAAAGACGTGTATGGCGCTAAGTCGGTGAAGCTCTCCACTTCTTCTCCTGTATCCCCTGCACCGGAAGCGGCCATGTGGTTTCTTATGAACTGCCATCCAAACCTAAAGTCTCCATTATGGCCACACGACATTCACGGACGGAGATGCATCCGACTCCACAACACACACACTACAGGCTGAGCCTCGGCGACACAACTCCCAGGCAATGGATAGAAATCTGGGGTTCCATGCATACTAGCAAGAATGCCGAGGCACCTTGAATGCAAAGCTACTTTACACTGGATGATAGCAGAGGGTCTCGCTCCATGTGATTCCGAATTTTCGCTAGCTCATCGATTAATGGTACCGAGATCGCCAGCCGAGGTACCAGATTCTTCTAGTGCGCATGCACTCCATGATGCAATTCCAAAGGTCCATGGACTTCCAAGGTTCCCGAAGGCGTGGTACGACGGAGTATATTTTGCACCGCCACATGATGCGAATGGGGTATCAGTTGCGCGTCTCCCGTAGTGCACAGAAGCGTCTCACTAGATGGGATGATTCTCTGGTTAGCTAGTGCCGAATCCCAAGTTTCCAACGCGTTTACATCTTCTCATCAATGTTCAAGATAGGCCAGACGCCTGAGTTGTAGTCGCACCTGACCTTGGTATAGAAAAATTCATTAACAAGAACACGCTCCGCAACTTACAGCCCCCAACTACATCGTCTCCCTCCCCATCTCATTCACTCCCGCCAACCTCAACTGCATTTCCCAGAACCCTTCCATCCCCCTCCTCGTCCACGCATCCCCCTCAACCACAACATCGACACTCACCCTGACCTTCCCCTCCAACCCCACCGAAAACGCCCGATGAAACCAGAAACCCACATCATCCGGCAACCAAGGCTTCCCACAAGTAATCGTGCGCCCGCCACTCTCATTCGGTACGCCGTACGTCTCCGCCTTGACTTCCTTGATAGCAGTCACATTGGTGAGGTAGTATGCATGAACTTCCGCAACGAACTGGCCTAGGGTGATGGGGCTGTCGTCGGCGTTGTGGATACTCAACGGAGTCGGAGCTTTATAATCAAACACATCGTGGCTCTCATAGTAGTCTTGTCTCTCTGCGCATTCTGACATACAGATTTCGTCGACGCGGGACAGTGGTGGGTTGAAGAGACTGTTGTCTGCAAGGGGGGATGAGAATAGTGGGACGAGAGAGGTTTGGGAGGTGTCGAGGCTGGTTGTGCGATTGTTGGCGGAGTCGAAGGTTAGGGAGATGGGGCCTGTTGATATTTGGATTGAGGAGAGGGAGGAGAGGATAGGCCAGCGGAGTCGGTAGAGGAGGTCTTTGCGGATTTTGAGCATGTGGCGGGGGATATGGTGGTCTGGCTCCATCTAAAACTTCGTCCCGATCGATTGGAATTGCTACTCTAGAATGTGTTTTAAACATCCGAAGGAGTGTAGCTGGGAGAGTTGATACCGTGCCGCGTAGATATGAGGCTAACCACTACCAGATTAGTCACGAACAGCGGCTCTAGTCAACATCGTACTATATGCAAATCGTGAATCGTTTTAATTACTATGCAGCTCATGCTCATGCTCATGACACATGGTTCAAGAAGTCGTCAACGCGTGGTAATCATATCGTTTACCGCACAGCCAAACCCTCGACGTTCTCAAACGCAAAGCTTGGGCTTCCTGGTTCTGCACTCATCGCGGCTGGCGGCAGCTCGGACCTGACCTCACCCTCACTACCGTCTTCCTTGATAATCGTACCTTCCTTGCCGCCCTCCTTGACCGTGACAATCTCTACCTCGACACACTTCTGAATGGTCTGCTTCAGTCCGGGGATCATGGATCGGAGGGTGCTGAGTTCATCGAAAGCGAGCTCACGGTTGAGGACAGTCTCCTTGGATTCGCCATTATCAAGACGACGCTTCAGACCGTTAATGAAGGGCATTGCTTTCTTTGATTCGGACTTGTCGATAGATTTTGACAGAGACTTAATGTCGAGGTTGGGATATGAGGATGAGACGAGGTCAATGTACCTGAGTCTTGTTAGTCTTGGTGGGTAGAGTAGGAATTAAGCTGCTTACTTCTTCTGCCATGCGGGCCACTCCTGCGCAGCAAATATGGTAATCTTCTTCTCCTTCTTGGGGTCAAAGTTTGCTGCTTTTCCCTTCGACAGCCTCTTGACCGCCGCACCTTCGGCCGATGTGATGTTTGATTGTGTTTGGCGGACGAACTCGCGAGCTGCGGTGAGGGAAGGGTTGGCCTCGGGGACCTTGGGCCATTGCGCATTCTGGATGGTAGATGTCTCCTTGAGAACTTCAAGCCAAATGTATTCTGCCCAATGAGGTGCGATGGGAGTCAGCATAAGCGCCTGAATCTTGATGAATTTCTTGACCAAGTCCTCGTGCATGCCAATACCAGCAGCACGTGTTGCCTCGCGATAGAAGTCACGCGCCGATGTGAAGTCGTAGAAACCGGACTTGAGTGCCAGCTTGTATGATGTCGCAGAGTAGTGTTGGAACGTCTCGTGTACCAGCAAGTTCATCTCGTTCTCGAACATGTCATCAAAGAGGAAGTAGCTGCTTCCGGCCTTCCGCTGTATGACGTCTGAGTTCTTTACGCGTTCAGTAGACCTCTTCTCAAGGTACTCTTTGGTGTCTGCAACGTAGATGGCCTCGCGAACCAGCTCTTCACACCACTTGCGCAGCTCAAAGAGCTTGAGGATGTTGCTGTTCGCGACAGTCTCTTCGAAGTTGGCGTCACCGATATCGTCTCCGGCATCAGCAAGCGCAATGCGAGTGGCATCAGCGCCGAACTTCTCGACAGCACCAGCAATGGTAAGGAAGTTGCCTGTAGACTTGCTCATCTTCTCGCCGTTGAGCATGAGATGTCCGTTGACACGGAAGCTCCTTGGCCAGTTCTCCTTGGGGAAGATCGCAGTGTGCACGTAAAGGTTGAAGGTCAAATGGTTCTGGATCAAGTCCTTGCCACTGGTACGCATGTCAAGCGGGTACCAGTAGTCGAAGTGCCGCCTCAATGTCTCAAGAGACTTCTTGGGGATGTCAGACTGAGGCAGATCGGAGCGGTCTCGTCGGCCAAAGACGTAGTCCCAGGCATCGTCTGTGAACTGCTCAGGCTTGATACCGAGAGGTCCAACTTCTTTGCCGAACATGTCCTTATGTAGGAGATGTGCAAAAGAGTAGTAGGCCTGGTAGATGGTAGAATCCGACAGACTCTCGACCATGACAGATGGATCCCATGGCACCTTTGTACCAAGACCGTAAGACCTTGCGCAAGCCCAGATGCTCAGCCAGTCGACAACTCGCAAGAATTGGTTCTTGGCTTCGGGGTAGTAAAGGTTGAGGTCACCCTCAATGTGCGATCGCACCTTCTCAGCCCACTCGCCGTCTCCACCGTTCGCTGCTGTGCCGTAGTTCATGTACCATTGGTCGAGTAGAGCGGCAACACAGTCGTCGCCACTTCGGCTCATAACTTTACCATCTGGCTCGGCGTATGCGAAAGCGTGACCAGCATCGATGAGCTGTTTGCGGACCAGGCTCTTGGCTTCCTCCACAGGCTTGCCCTTGAAGTCGCCATAAACCATCTTTCCCTTGTAGAAGCCTTCCTTGTAAGCCTTCTCCTTCGCGTCTGCAAGCTTGGCTGCATCTTTGGGCGACTGAATCTTCATGTCTTCGACCAGCTTCTTTGCGGTGAGGTTGCCGTACGTTGGGGTGTCGATGATGGGGAGAATATCGTCAAATTTGACCCACTCCTTCTGGATGCCATAGTAATCTGCCTTCTTGGCGAGGTCGAATGAGGTAATGTAGTCGTCAGGCGAGTCTGATGGCACACAGGTGACTACGGCGGTACCCTTCGTGTCCTTGACCGTCTCCATAGGGAGAATGTAAACCTCCTTGTGAACTGAAAGAGGCGCGTCAACGATAGTGCCAATGACGTCCTTGCCCTTGAAGCTGGCTACTTGTGGGAACTCGCCCCATTTGGGGAAGATGCCGGGCTGGTAGGACATGTTGCGCGCAGATCGTTGACTGCAGACAAAAAACTCGGTATCGGTGACCTTGAACAATCCATACTCGATCGTGGGGCTGACGAAGCATGATGTCTGGCCATACATGGTCTCTGGTCGTAGGGTGGCTGGAATGAAGTATGCGCTTGCGCCTTGAGGAAGCTTGCTCTCGATCTCCTTGGCCGAGTCTGCCCATTTCACGACCTTCATCTTCAGACCTGTGTACTCTTGGACACCGACACCTTCTCCAGACTGCCTGTCGTGGTCCATACATGCCTGTCCGTCCTTGGGGCTGTATACGGTGTAGCGCTTCGCGAAAATGATCTTCTTCAAGTCGAGCAGCTTCCGCATCTGCCATGCCACGAATGAGTCGTAGTATGGGTTTGCATCTGTAGTGACGAACTGCCTTCGCCAGTCTATCCTTGCACCGAAGTTGTTCAGGTCGCGCTTCGCTAGAGGTGGGAAGTACTCAATCCAGTGGAACGGGTCTGCGAACTTGTGAATCTCCTCAAGAGGGATGCCCTGCGCCAGCATGATCTGGAACTGGTACTTGGTCTTCACAGTCTTTGCCGCAGCCTTGCCCTTTTGCGCCTTGAACTTGGTAATGTCGGTCTTGGTCTCAGCCTGAGTGGGTGCGGGCGGCTCTGATACGCTGTCTTCAATGACATCCTCCACTGGGCATCGCTCGAAGTTCTGTCCAAACTGCTCCACTTCACGGACTAGTTTGTCTGCACATGCTTTGATGGGCATGCCTGTCACGTGGTAGCCAAGAGGGAAGAGGGTCCGCTTGCCAACCATCCTCTGGAATCCGGCGGTGAATTCTACTTTTGATGCAGTGAACCCGTGGCCAGCGTGGAGCGTTCCGTTCATGTATGGGTAGGCGAAGTTTCCGAACCATTTTGGATACTTTTCGTGCAGCTGGTCGGGTGTGGTGGTGTCAAACGGTTCTTCATCGAGAGACGGCGCGTCCGGATTGAAAACTCCCTGCTCTTGCCATGCTTGCTGGTAGCGCTTCTCAGCCTCGATCAGCGTGTCTCGCTTATCGGTGTTTTCGATTTTTAGTGTTTTCGACTCTGCCTCTTGTGGCTTGAGGAGATCGAGGGTTGCAGTTACGGCATCTTTGGGCACATCTTGAGGTACTGATGCTTCTGCCATGATGCCGAAACGATAATAGAAGGTAAAGGGAGCGTATGAAGATTGTCAACGTGGGGTATGCGGCGGTTCGGAAGATATTGTCAAAGCGCGTCGAGTCATACCCAAATGGGCGCAAACTTGTGGTCGCCAAGAGTTCTATGGGCCGTGCGCGGTTTTCTGTAAGAACGTCAGTCGAGGAACTGCAAAAGCACCAAGAACACCAAAATCGCCAGTTCGCAAAAGCAACAAGTCCAATCGCTGGACCGTCACTCGAATCGATGCTGTTGACCTTGTTCCGCCGCCTCTTCGGCCGGGAGAGGAGCACCCTCCCGCCGTTTGACTTCGCGAGCAACCGCTTCCACATGCGCAAGAAATGGCCGCCCAACTTCGACGAGCTGACGAAGAAGCAACAATTCCGATTCGAGCGCAAGTTCAAGCGCCGTATCAAGGACAAGGCCATACGACCCGAGTGGAACCGGAAAGTCACCATTGTGATATGGAGCTTGATCAGCTTCGTCCTCGTCTACGGCGTCCTCTTCCACGACTTTGCCAAAGACCCGTGGAACCCGAAGCCAGGCGAACAGCCGTTCATTGGCCTAAGGACTTGGATGTGGAACAAACTGGGAAACTTTTATACACATACCGAAGAAACTATGAAGGGTGGGGGAAGAGGCTCCCGAAGGCAGGAACCTCTACCTTTGGAACCTCAGGTGACGGCGAGCGAGCGCGAGCGCGTTGAGGACCAGAGGGGTTGAGTACAGATAGGCCCTGCAGTGTTCGTAAGCGAATGAATTGAAGAAGAAACATGTCACATTTTGGATCGCCTACCATTCCCGTGCCGTCGTCACCCTGATAAGCCCCGTACACAGGGAATGGCCCTTTGGGTGCTACTGGCGCATCCGGATGTCTCGCTTCAGCTTCAGTCGGCTTGACATGTTAGTAAATTTGGTGACCAAATGGCAGTAGGTAAATAACACTCACTTTGAGCTTCCACGCACGGTACCTTGTCTCCCCTGACCCCTTATACCAGTGTATGTTGCCCCATACATAGGTTTCCGAGTGGTCAAGGAAGACGTGTACAGTGGGTTGCTTGTCCATGGACTCCCTGAAAGACGTTCACGTCAGTACACTGTTGTGGCTTCAAAGCATGTACAATTATCAACTCACCGCCCCCGGTACTGGACCCACAGCTGCACCGTAAAGTGCGGTTGCCCGCATTCGTGCCATGTCTTCATGACACGGGCCTCAGTGCCCTCGATCTCCGCCGCCCACGGGGTCATCCACCACAAAGGCCCTTCGGCGAACTCCTTGACGAGCGAGAGCTGGTCAAGGCCCCGAATGACCCCGGTGAGGCCGGCGCAGTCGTCGGCGGAGATCCCCGGCGCGAAGCTCAACGTGCTGGTGCAAGTTTGGTCGCTGTTGTTGATCAGTACTCATTCCGCATCGTACCTCTCTAGCAGTCTCCAATCTATGATTAGTAGTCACTCGTCTGCTCGTTCGGGTATCCTGTCGTAATGCATGATTCTATCGTATCGCTGCTGCGCCTGGTTGGCTCGTCGAAGCTAAACAGGCTGTGTGCTCCACATAGCTCTACTACGTGTCTTAGAGTAGGCTAATTGACTTCGAATGATCAAGTGACGATGCCGAAGCTCCAGGGTTGCATCAAGGGCGTCCAGGTCTACGTATACTGACGCCGGTGAGCTGGGTATGGTGTGTGTGAAGGTATCCTGGAAGTGCCTTTCATTGCTGTCGAAGCTGGGGTCCTGATGGAATCCACAGTTCCAAAGGTAGCGTTCCGAGCCGCTATGCAGACATGAGGGTGTGCAGACCCCTCTATCTTGTATGCGAAGGTGCGCAAGTGATCTTGCGACGATGTCCGGGCTGTGGCGCGCCAATGCGAAGCTGAAGGAGGACTAACAGAGAGGAAACCTAGACTGTAATCCGATTGCATATGAAAAATTTGAACGCGAAGTAGCAGATTGACTGGATCTGCTACCTAAACAACAAGTGCGCTTTATATTACCTCATTGTGCAGTGTCTGATAACTGTAAGTAGTTGGAAAAGTTTGGCCGCGAGCGAAAATACCGTACTATGTTGCGAGAGTAGAGAATCAATCGTTGCGAGGCAGAAGAGCTGTAGTTAGTGCAGTAATCAGAAGCAAAATCAGGTGGGCAAATTTTTGCTGTTGCGGCGCAAACGCACTGTTGGCACGGGTGACCGATGCTTGTTGACACTGAGGTGAAAGCACAGAACAGTGTATCAATAACGCGTTGGAAGCAATAGTGTGGCTTGAAGCACCTCAAGGTGTCAAACAATGTCGAAAAAGAGACGTAGGGTCCATGTAGGTGCCTGAGGTAGAGATGGAAGGTGGAGTATGGTCCGGACCCTCATCACCAACTTGCTCACAGCATGCTTAAATGTTCGTATATACGCAATTTCATAGATGCCGCTCACAGTGATCTATCACAAACTCAAAACTACATGCATAACTATGTTTAGTTGACGCTTAGACGTCGATCAAGTTCTCGTCCTGTTGTCCCTCTTGCTGCTCCTCCGAGTTGTCCCGGGTGTCCTTCGTCGCCTTCTTCTCGCTGCGACTCCTTGAGTAGTACTGGTCGAGAACCTTGGCGGGAATACGGTTAAGCAATTCTCTGGGGTAGATGCGGAGGAGCGACCAGGCCAGGTCGAGCGATTCCTCAATGGTGCGCTTCTCGTAGGCACCCTGGGCGATGAAAGAGCGCTCGAACTTCTCAAGGAACTCGAGGGACAGCTTGTCCTCAGACGAAAGCGCCTCTTCACCAACGACCGCCTTCATGGCGGCGGCATCACGACCGATGGCGTACTTGGCGTACAGCTGGTTGGAAACGTCGCCGTGGTCCTTACGAGTACGGCCTTCTCCAATAGCGGACTTCATCAGACGGGAAAGCGAGGGCAAGACATTGATAGGCGGGTAGATACCCTTGTTGTCGAGTTGACGGTCAATGAAGATCTGGCCTTCCGTAATGTAACCCGTCAAGTCGGGGATGGGATGTGTGATGTCTGGCAATATTAGCATCGCGGCAGCCAGAGATGCGAAGCAAAAGCTGCAAGACAAAGACAAGGACTCATAACCCCTGCACATTTATCAACATGGCGTGTCGACAGCCGAAGCTGTGTAGCACTCTGAAAGCCATGCATGTATAGAGCAAATAATCATCGTGTCAGTCTGAAGAAGGAAAGAATGTACATACCGTCGTTGGGCATCGTCAGAATGGGGATCTGGGTGATGGATCCGTTGCGACCCTCGACACGACCAGCACGTTCGTAGATGGTGGACAAATCTGTGTACATGTAACCGGGGTATCCACGACGACCAGGCACTTCTTCTCGGGCGGCGGAAACCTCACGGAGAGCGTCACAGTAGGAAGACAAGTCGGTAAGAATGACGAGGACGTGCTTCTCGAGCTGGTAGGCGTAGTACTCGGCAGTGGTGAGGGCAAGACGGGGCGTAATGATACGCTCGATGCTGTGTCGAGTTAGTCGCAGCTACCAGCTTCCGCCGCCGCATTACGTACGTTGGGTCGTTGGCCAAGTTCAAGAACAAGGTGACACGCTCCATACTGCCGTTCTCCTCAAAGTCCTTGGTGAAGAAACGGCTCGTCTCCAAGTTGACACCCATGGCACCGAAAACGATGGAGAAGTTGTCGTCGTGGCCGTCGTGTACGCCCTTGGTGGGCTTTCCGACCAGACTGGCCTGTCTACAAATCTGCGCAGCAATCTCGTTGTGGGGCAGACCAGACGAAGAGAAGATGGGGATCTTCTGGCCACGGGCAATCGAGTTCATCGTGTCGATGGCAGAGATACCGGTCGAGATCATTTCTTCGGGGTACACCTGGCCTTGTCAGCTCCAGCTCTGCGCGACACAGTTCCGGGTCTTACTCGGGAGTAGGGGTTGATGGGACTGCCGTTGATGTCGAGGTAGTCCTCTGCGAGCACCTTGGGGCCCTTGTCGATGGCCTTTCCTGAACCGTCAAAGATACGGCCCAACATGTCCTCGGAGACACCGAGCTTCAAGCTGTGGCCGGTGAACTCGACCTTGGTCTTCTTGACATCGATACCAGTGGTGCCCTCGAAAACCTGTCGTGGTATCAGAATGCGTGCGCATGAGAGAGGTGCTGGAAGCTGTTTACCTGGACGACGGCTCGGTTTCCTAGTCATCTTGTCAGCGCGAACCTCTTTGCATATGGCGATGTCTTACCTCGAGCTTCTAGGACCTGTCCAGAGCGCTCGGTGCCATCAGGCAGCGTCAAGGACACGATCTCGTTGTATCGTGGGAATTTGACCTATTTGCCGTCTCTATCAGCTTCCGCTACATATCTCCTAGAGTCGCCATGCCACGCACATTATCGAGGACGACCAATGGACCGTTGATGCCGCCGATCGTGTTGTACCGTATGCGCGGCTGGACCGACATCATGCGGGGGTCTATAACGTCGGGCATGATGGCGGTGGTGAGCGCTTCGTCTAGGGGTGGGGTGTTGGTGGAGGAGGTTTCGTTGGCCGTAGGAGGCGCGTGTATAGCTGTAGAGGCGGTTGGCGAAGATGAAGGTCGCCGTGGTGGGTGGAGCTTGGAGCTTCCAGGTTAGCTTGAACCATGCAGATGACGATGGCCCGCGCTGCTGCCGCTCGCTTGGCACTTCGACTACTTGACATGCCCTACACGTGCATGCAGGTGCATACATCCCTCCCAGTCTGGTGTAGATGATTTGCTCGTCTCGGGATGGACCCGAGAATATTCGACAGCATCGACAGTTGTGGATTTGCACGCACCCAGGATTCCTCTGCGTCAGACATTAAGGAAGGATACGAACACCCCAGACTCATCGACATGACATAACTAGGAAGGTACATGTAACAAGTTGTAACAGCTGCTTTGATTTACATCAGGATAAGCTATTTAAGGGCCTGCTGTGGATTATCGACTTCAACGAAAGTAAGCAGGGGCCTAGGAAACCATTCACAGTACTACCATGCTTCGATTGCAACGGTAAGATTCGGTGTATAGCTCGAGGCTATAGGATGAGCTGCTATTTGTCACACTCTGGGTCACTTTCTGTTGCATTGGGCATTATGTGTAGAATTACCACGACTTCATCACAGGTAAAGGCAGCCCTAGCGTGACTGAAGCGAGTGGTCATGCTATCTAAAGCTTCATATCCGTCTCTCACCTCTTCTTGGTCTATCTCATATCTTATGATCTTCGACTCTCTAACCTCCCAACTCTCAACTTGCACCTTCCCTTGAAGATAGATCTGACTCTCGCGTTGGCCCCGAAGCTGTATGCACGTTCAACAAGCCAGCAGCATGGTAGTCACACGAGGAGCATCGACATCAGCTGGTGAGAAGGATAGTGACTACACTTTGCAAGCTGCTGCAGCGGCATCAACGGGCAGCTCGGTCTTCGGAGGCGGAAAGACAAACACCAACTCAACGCTCTCGGTTCCTCTCAAGCGCAAAATGACCCATCAGAATCTCGAGACCATCACTATCGACCCAATGTACGATCTTACGCTCATTGTCGGGACTCCGGAACACACCAAAGGCCAGAAAGCGTTCCAGGTCAGCAAGGGTGTTTTCCGGAACATCAGCGCAGTCTGGGCGAAGATGATGAACGGCAATTGGGCTGAGAGTAGCCAATCAGAGATTTGCCTACCCGACGACAGCTGTGAGGCGTTGCATATTGTTCTTCAAATCGTGCACTTCCAACTGTCAAAGCTACCCGAAAAACTCTCGCGGGAAGAACTTGTTGATCTGTCAGTTCTGACGGACAAGTACCAACTCGCGAACGCCGTCAGGGTGGGTCTCGAAATGAAGAAATGGATGGAGCCTCACAAGAAGGCCTACATGTCACGACCATCGGACGCAGCACTCCAGGATTTTATTGTCATCACATTCGCATTCAGCCTCCAGGGCGACTTCGAATATCTCGTCAGTCGCCTGGCGACGGAGCTAGAGGTTGACGCTCAGGGTAAATTCTACTATCGTGACGGCAAGCAGAAGCAGAAGCAGATTGTGTTGCGGTCAGACCTGCCTACTTCCGTATCTGGTACGGGTCGAGTACTACCAAAGAGCTTTCAAAACATTGACCTTTGAGCTAGTGAAGATTGAACGCATCCGGTGCGATATCCTGTCCGCCTGGATAACCTGTTGCGAGGCTGGTCTCGTCAACTGCATCTCATCAGTGCCTCCATGCGACAGGGCTGTATGTGCAGCAACGAAATTAGGGGTACTGTTGAGCGGCTTAAGCACCGCTGGTTTCTTTCCCAGGCCATCAAGTGCGACTCTCATGCATGCTAGCATTGCCACATACTGGAGCCTTCTGAAGTCCATTGGGAATGAGCATCAGGGTTACGCCCCATGCAACTCTACACAACCAAACAGCTTCTCATCTGGTCACCAAAGCATTTGCTCATTCGAAGTGTGCTTCGGTGACTTCGTCACTATAGGTGCCGCCAGAGTGATCCTTAAACGTCACGTACATGAGGATTTGTGGAAGCAGTGGCAGGAAGTAAGTCATTAGCAACTCGTGAATATGCTCCAAGCTGATAATGAGTAGAAGAGAATTGTCTAAGTCTTCAAACTCGACCAAACGTCGAGCAGGATGTTGGCACAGTCCGAAGGCACTTTCCTTTCCCGGCTACTATCAAGTCGCATTATGGTCGTACTCAGAGGCTATTTGAATGCTACTACACCCTTGCGAAATCAAGAAGCCCCATCGAATGCGCTTTTTACTACGTCAATATGATCCAACCAAGTGTTACTACGATCAAGCAGCCTGCCTTGGCTTCAGCATCACATCAAAACATCTGGGAACAAAACAACATCGAGGATGCCGCCATATTTTGTATGGCAGTTCCCAAGAAATTACTAGTTTGCCCTATTCAATTGATTTGATATGAAACCAAATTGAATCTTTTCTTTTAATGAAGCTGCATTAATGAACTGTGCCACACTCTTTCTGCCTGAGAAAGTTTTTAATCACCCACTATGAGCGTCTTGTCTTCATATCATCTAAGGAACGCGTGTGACGCCACAATGCGCAACCTCTACCCAATGCTTCAATCCACCCTGTGCTTGTGCAGCCGGCATGGTTTCGAGCGGCTGGCATTGCTTGCACCGTACTAAACTCAGTACGAAATTCGTATGTACCTGGTGCATAAGCTGTCGGTATATCGTGCTCCAGCACGTATGTCCAGTTCTGTAGCTCAGGGCTTGAGACATGACGACCATGCCCTGCGAGATGCAGTGATCAAGCAGTCCTTGAGTATCCTCCCTGCCCAGATTATCGTCTTCCACTGTACCTTACACCAACCTTTCACTCGCCCTCCACCTCCTTATCCTTCCCAAACATCTCATCCACCAACCCCACAAATGCCTTCATCCCCCCATCCTCCTCCCCGCTTCTCAACCCCTTCAGAATCCTCATCCCATCTGCATCCCCCTTCTTCTGCGTCCACCTCCCATCCCTATCATCAAAGCCACCCCTCCCCCTCCCTCTTCCCCGACCCCTTGATCCGCGCCCTCTGAACCCACCTCTGCGCCGGCGCATCTCGTCCTCGGGGTCAGGCTCGATGGTAGCCGCATAGACGCGTTGGAGTGTGGCCAATAGTGTCGGGTATGTCTTGAGCAAGTCCTGGAACTTTGAGCTCGTGGCAAGGGCGGAGAAGTCTGTTTTCTTCTTGAGGTAGCGTGGTATCGGGGCTGGGGGTGGTGGTTGTGGTAGGGTGATTTCGGAGGGAGGTTGTTTTGATGAGGGAGCGGGTTCGGGATGTGTGGTTTTGTGCAGCTTGAAGCAGTTGAGAGAGCAGCTGTGGGGTCGTTAGTATGAGCGATAGTGGAGCAGTATGGGAGTGTTGTACTATGGGAGTGCGCAGGTTGGACATTTGTATTTCTTGGGCTCGGCGGCGCAAACGCCGCAGAGGGCCTCTGACATTGCTGTTGTGATGATGATATGGTCCGGGGTTGTACTCAATGCAGTTATTGCAAGTTTCAATCAAAGAGAAGACGAAAAAGCGCGAAGTCAATGTCAAGGTCGCCGTCCCGTGCATGCTCAGAAAAGATGCAAGCTCTCGCGCGCCGTCCCAAAACGGCAGTTTCCCGCGGCGAAACATCGATGCCCTCATCACTCCACCAAACTTTCCTCTGCCAATCGTTCGCTAACCACCAACAATGTCTCTCGCCTCGCCACTACGACAGCAATCGCTACGCGCAATCAATTCCTGGACATGTACGTCGTGTTCGCGATCACTGGCACGGTTACCGCGAACCCGCAATGCGACCTTCACGCCTACTCGAAGATGGCTCAACACTGCGACAGAGACACGGCAAGGCCATGTACCGCGCATGGACCAGATGCATGCGAGATACAAGCAGAAGAATAGGACGGTCATGTATGTTGGCTTGAGCATGCATGCGAACACGGACGCTGACGGGGTGAAGGAACTACGTCTTTAGTGTCATAGTAGGATTCGTCGCAATAACCTACGGCTCAGTGCCCATGTACAAAATGGTACTTTCACCACTCCTATCTTCTCTGCCACGTCTAACAAACCCTGTCTGTAGATCTGTCAGCAGACCGGCTGGGGCGGCCAACCCATCAAATCCGCTGCCCACGGCGACGACACCCGCGACCCCTCCGAGCGCCTGCGCCCCGTCGAAAACCACCCTCGCCTGCGCATAACCTTCAACGGTTCAGTATCAGACGTCCTTCCGTGGAAGTTCGTCCCGCAGCAGCGCGAAGTCCGCGTCCTACCTGGCGAAACGGCACTGGCTTTCTACACCGCGACCAACAAGTCCAGCGAAGATATCATTGGCGTTGCGACATACAGTGTCACGCCGGGCCAAGTGGCGCCGTACTTCAGCAAGATCCAGTGCTTTTGCTTCGAGGAGCAGCGTCTGAATGCGGGCGAGACGGTGGACATGCCTGTGTTCTTTTACATTGATCCTGAGTTTGTCATGGATCCGAATATGAAGGGGATCGAGACAGTGACGTTGAGTTATACGTTTTTCAAAGCCAAGTATGACAAGGATGGTCATTTGACTCCTGTTGCTGGGTAGTAGGAAACAAGAATATGTGCGAGTTTGTATGAATGGCTTTGGATTGTACATTATACCCAACCCCTAGAATTGTACCAACGTTGTTCTGATTAGTGCCACCGCGTTTGACGATGCCAAAGCTCCACACTACTGCGGGAAACCAGATCCTGACTGTATCCGCATGCCTCACAAAAAGGCCTGATATCCTCCGACTGCCAGAAAGAAACCCTACTCAGGATTGCCCGGAGAATATTTCTCGCTCGTTCCTCCACTCGCGAGGCATCAGTCGAACACCACGACTCTTGGGATGCAAGCAACGACCTCTTATGGCTACGGTCTGTCAGTATAAGGGTCTGACACATAGTGCGAGAAACTGTTGCACTGACCAGCATTTTTGCCTATCTGAGTCAAGATTGTAACATTAGCCGCCCATGACAGTTCCATATCAACCTGCAGCACCTGATCACTCAGTCGTGTACGCACGTTGCAACCGGCAACGTGATTATTGAGATCGAGGGAGCTCGTATGATGAGCTGTCTCGTCATCCGTGAGGAGGTGCATGACTTGAAGAATGGAGAGCCTGGTACGTCGAGGGTCCTCCTGAGGGTACAAACTGTGTTGCTGCAAGTAATGTTCTAAGACGTGGTTATTCTGGGCTGGGTTGTCAACGTGGGGTACGCAACACGGTTTGGCGACCACATCGCGGACGACGTCGAGGTACTGGGACAGCGCTTGCTTTCGAGCAGCAGAGATACAAGCTGTGTCGTACGATCAGTATTTGGCCTCAGGTATGAGAGATCCGAATAGCTCACAATACGCATGAGGTACAGAAATCGGCTGAAGAGGTAGTCCTGTTTGGGGGATCAGGAGAGCTCCTCCTTCGTCGACCTGGCTCTGAAATGCAATATATTTCGCGATCTCCGGATACATCATGTCATTGCCGAAATGGTAAGCTACAGCCAGCCAGTCTTCCCGCTTAGGTTCTTCTAAGGCGCCGCGGTAAATGCTGAGCCACTGATCTAGGAAGCGAGCAATCAAGTGTATGAGATCGTATTTCGCAGTGATTTCAGCCAGATCCTTTAGCTCTTCCAAAGTAAGCAATCCTGGTAAAGAATGAAGGTTCTGATGCATAATGCATAGGACCAAACACATCGCCCTATGATCGTCGTTCGTGAACATGACTTGGACTTCGTATGTGTGTTGGGAGATATTTTCGACACGGCGTGCATTTCGGGCCACTGCTGCGTCCTAGAGAGGGCTATGATGGCTTATGAAGTGTTTCGAGACTTGGTAAATGCGTTCGCCGTCCGATGTACTATCATCACTGACGTGGATGAACCATTTTAGACCATTTTTAGGAACTTCGCGGTCCATATATTCCATGGGATTACTTAGTTCTCGCGGTTGACCGAAAATTTTCAGGTCCATTATCGCATCCGGATGTAGTCCAGTAACATTCATATAGCTTGTAGCCATATTGAGGGGTTTGCGAGGACCGAGTACCGAATATGACAATGTTCCGATAACAATGCGTGGTAAAATACCGTATAAAGAGATGGTCGATGGACGAGTTCCTCAGCAAAGATCGGATTCCAAGACACGTCTGTTGCAGGCGCAGCTGTAGGTTGGTGCTTAAGGCGCGTTCTGGCGCAGACAATATGACAGGAAGCAGCAGCCAGGCTCGGATTCAAGTCTCACCCATATAGCCCATTCCCCTCCTCCACCAACTACGGACGCCCAGAGCTTCCATCGTGGCACCGTACTCTTTGACGGTCTCGATTTCCTCCAGTTTGCCGTAAGGGACCTTTTGCTCTTGCTTAATGCCATCGTCAAACAGTTTCTCCGCGGGCTTCTTCACCAACTGGAAGTCTTTATATCGCAACCTCTGCACTGTTGACACCCAATCTTTTACACCGGATTCAGTGCCTTGGCAGTACATGATGCCTGGACAGCCTCCATAGCGAAGCAACGCGTATACGTTGTAATTGGCAGCAGCTTGCCGTAATTTGGCGACCTTCTTTCGTGATGTAATATGGTGTGTGCGTATGAGTGCATTATATATAGAGACGGACATGCCACCGACTTGTTTCTGGTGAGAAGAGTGGTGCTGCAAGATGCATCCATCAAGGCTATAGGAACGCCAGAGCACGTGACGTCACTAGCGCAGAATCGATTTTCCATGATCGCGGACGCCCATGACGTCCATGCTCAGGCCGAGTAACAAATTCGAATAGACGACCGTATGGATTCACCGCGAATACATCCTTCTGCTGCGCCGAACAAGTAATGAAGCTTACAGCGCTTCGAGCCCCGTCGCCTGCGGTATTGAGCTTTCTTCGAGCTCAAGTCAAGAATGCCTTCGAACAACCAGCAGCACGATGCGCGGGACTGAAGAGACAAAGATGCGCATATACTACAAATGCTGGGGATAGCCAGGATGGACAGAGGACACGAGGGAGATATTCGAGCACCTCCCAAGCAGCAAGACCTGCCGGCCGACGATTCCCACAACAATGCAGAGCACTGCAACCGACCCTCGATAGCACACTACGAAGTCGAAGCACAATGCGACCGTTGAATGGGGTAGCGAACTTTACCTTCGGCTGCCGTGCATTCTCCTCGAGTCGACCGCAACATGTTTGGGACATTTTCAAATCAGCACATAGAAGAAAGCTGGCCCAGCTGCAGGCTCCCTCGCCGCCTACAGAAGATGCACCAGGATCCACGGGCTTCGGTAGCAGTCTCGGACGGATAATGCGGCCCGCGAACGAGCTCAAGATGAGATGTACGGAACTTGATGAGCACGGCAATGTCACACTGGTCAGCGGAGAATTCAAGAAGAGCGAATTGATCGCCAAGTACGGTCTGCTCCCTCGAGATCTGCGGAAGATCGATTCGAGTCTGCTACCGCATATTCTGGTTCGGCCAAGTGCGATTCTGATAAATTTGCTGAACCTGAGAGTCTTGTTGAAGCACAATCGAGTGCTTGTGTTCGACGCATACGGAACAACAGACTCAAAGTCACAGTCGGTTTTCATGTACGATCTCGACCTCAAACTCCGCCAAAAAGAGACCCCCGCCAACGGCACACTCGCATACGAATTCCGCGCCCTCGAAGCTGTCCTCATATCCGTAACATTGAGCTTGGAGAAGGAATTCGAAGGCGTCAGCGAGCCCGTGGTGCGCGTCTTGCGGGATCTCGAAGAAGACATCGACAGAGACAAGCTCCGCTACTTGCTCATCTACAGCAAGAAACTTGGCAGCTTCGAGCAAAAAGCCCGCCTCGTTCGCAACGCGTTGGAGGAACTCCTCGAAGCAGACGACGACTTGTCCGCCATGTACCTGACCGAAAAAGCCGAGGGCAAAACACGCGAAGACGACGACCACACTGAGGTCGAAATGCTGCTTGAATCCTACCACAAAGTTGCCGATGAAATCGTCCAAGCAGCAGAGAACTTGGTCTCGAGTATTCGCAACACTGAGGAAATGTAAACACTTCTCCCTTCCCCATTCTACTTTTGACACCACCCACTAATACCTCCACAGCGTCAAAGCCATCCTCGACGCAAACCGCAACTCCCTAATGCTTCTCGACCTCAAATTCTCCGTCGCCACCCTCGCCATCACAGCCGGCACCTTTGTCGCCGCCCTTTACGGCATGAACTTGAAGAACTTTATCGAAGAAAGCGACCTCGGCTTCTTCGGCATCAGCGCCTGGTGCACCGTCTTCGGCATTATCGTCGCTGCCTACGGCCTCCAGAAACTTCGCAAGGTCCAGAGAGTCAGCATGTACGGGCACGGGCCTGGCAGTATTGTTAGTAAGGGTTTGGAGAATCGCGGGGTTTGGGGACTGGGTGCATGGGGAGGAGGGGGAGCGAGGGGCGTGGACATTGGGAAGAAAAGCGAGGGGCTGGGGGATATTGTGGCAAGGGAGAGGGCGTTGGCGAGACGCTTGGCCAAGGCGGAGTTGAGGGCTGATGAGGCGATGAATCGGTGATTTTTGTATTGTTTGGTACGACACCATCTCTGCTCTGTGTTTCTATGTTGAGAGATATCCCGACTCTTTTGCATAGCGATGGCGTTAAGAAGGCTCAAGACTCGATAGAATGGCGCAGGGCTCAACCTCGGTTTTTTGTTGTATACTAATGTACATATCTCATGCTTTACTTCATCTTCCTGCTTCTGCTCTTACATCCATGTCCTAAGCACCGATATTCCTGTCCATGTCCTTCCCACCTCCATACCCTTGCTCTCTCCTCTCCTTCCTAAATCCATCTGTATCCTCACTGATCGCCTTGGTGCCGCCAAAACCTCCCTCAGAATTCGCCTCGCCCGTCGAACTTGTCGTCTTGCCTCCCATGCCGCCCTCTTGGATGCTCTGTCCGTATCGAATCTTATCGGCTTTGGTGACGCCTTGGGTGTTCGGCTCGTCAACGGGGGCTTTTGGGGGTTGGGTGGAGGTTCCCGTCGAAGGGTCTGCAGGATTTAGTGACCGTACTATGAGTTGAGGGAAAGGCTTCATACCGCCTAACTGGCCAGTCTGTTTGTTGTGTGGTTCGACGAAAGTGTGGGTGCCTTCGTACTGGGTTTGTTCGCCGCCGGGCTCGGTATCCATTAGTTTGTCAGACATGGTGAGGTAGAGGGAGATCGTGTGAAGGATCGGATGTGTTCAAAGAGGATTGACGGGAATTGCAGTGTTTGGAGAAGATGTTTTGAAGAAGTGGTCATGGTATTGGGAGCTATGACCGGTGGTGGGTGCTCTAGGGAAGCTTCATGATTATGACGTAATGCCCATAACACAGAATGTGGGCGCGCTCAACGAACTTTCCCTCAACGTCTTTTCTTTTCGTAAGCTATGATGCTTGTCATTACTCAGCGCCTGCCTGATAGGATACACGATAGCATTGCGCGATTCCCTTGTGCATGAAACTCAAGCGATAAAAGCTGTCTACGTTGAATCAAAGTCGATGCCCATAGAATAACTACAGCAATGTTAGCTCTCATTTAAGATACACATGCCTTGCTGACGTACCTCTCGTATAATCTCATGTACTTTGCAACAAAGGCTTCCAAGTGGAAGATCTGTTTGCTTCCCATTTTACACCTGTGTTCGTAGAAAGCCGCCCACTTGATGACCTCTGGCTTCAGGGCATCATCGGTCTTGGGTATCAATTTCCATGTGAGCGTCTTGATGATCGTTGTGGAGTCGATGCAATGCGAGAGGAGATCGTAAAGTGATGCGCGAACTTGTAGCAGACGTTGCGGGCTTCGTTCTTCGACGATCTGGCGGGCAATTTGCTCGATGAGAGCTTCCCAGTCGGGTGGTGGGATGTGTGTTGCGTCTGTGATTTTCTCGCTGCTGCTTGTTAGCTGACGTCCCCTCGCAACAACCATGCCGGCGAATGCTGAAGACATACTTTTGGGCGTGGACTGCTTCAAACATCAACAATGCCTTCCTTAGATTCCTTCCGCTGTCCTTGGCTATCCGTTGATTCAGGCTCTCCACCTCCTTCCATCCCTCCTTCTTGCCCACATTCTTCAGCACTGAGCAAATCTCCGTCTCCGTGGGCGCAGCAACTCTCACGAGAAGCGTTCTACTCCGGATTGGCGCAATAATGTTGCTCGTTGAGTTGGCTAGGAGAATCAATCTCAGATTTGGACTGTACTTCTCCATCGTCCGCCTCAGTGCCGCTTGTGCGTCACGCGTCAAGTGATCTGCCTCGTTAATTACCACAACCTTGAAGCGCTGCTTTGCGCCCAAATCGACTTGTTGTGTCTGTGCGACTTCTTTGAGCAAGTCTTGCACAACTACTCTGTCGTAATTTCCCACATCGGAAGGCGTGATTTCGAGGTGGTATACGGATGCTACTATGTTGAATTCGAGCTTGCGGTTTGAGGTCGTTTGGAAGACGCGCGCGTCAATTTTGATCTTCTCGACACCAGGGCCATAGAGTTCCTTAAGGGTTGCAACAATGCGAGTCTTTTTACCAGCACCCGAAGGACCGTAGACGAGGAGATGTGGGAAGTCTCCACTTTGTGCCTGGTAGACATCTCGAATTAGTGGGCTGTAGCAGTATCTCACGGCAAGTATGCAGTTAGGCTAGACTTACGAGAGCTCGCAGACGATCTGAAAGCTCTGGATGATAGCTCAGAGCTTCGAGGTTGCGCGGCCGGTGTTTGTCTACGAGTAACGCCATTGTGATGTGGTGTGGGTATGTGTCGTGTCGTGTAGCTGTACACTTTCAATGTTCCTTAGCCTGAACGCGTTCGACGCGAATGTCTGGGTAGCGCGTAAAGTGGCTTGGCGCCAGCGCGTCCCGAGGTCACGGGGTTTGGACCATCCACATCTTTGCAAAAGTGTTATGAATTTCAATCGACTATTTTATGGTACAGGCATTCTGAACTACGGTGAGAAAGTTGGATCAATATCCAGTGGTTGCCAAATAAAGAGTGCCAACATCCAGCAAGCTTCCATCAAATCAGAGGCAGCAAGACATGCACAACCGAAAACCGATCCAACATTATTGGTATAAGACGAATTCAATGTACAGATGAGAGCCTTTCATCTAAGCAACCGGGGTATTCCAATAAGAAATCATAAAGTCGTGACTATCGTTCATGCTGGCTATAGTACAATGCGTCTGCTAATAGCGGCGCGAATCGTAGCCCCTATTATCGTAGCCGCTGCTACCGTGTCGGCTTCGACATTCGTCGTCCTCATACACTGAACGGGTTTGCGAGTCGTAGGAGCTGTCTGTACCTGCGGTGCTTCGATAATGCTGATCCCGCCTCTTGGTGTCGGCGTCTTTGCCGTATCGGCGAGCATCGTCGTCGTAGCTGTGAAGATTGGAAGCATAATAGCTATTGGGAATATCCCGTACAGTTGGATCAGACTGCGTGCCGTGGTTGGAGAAACTAGGGCTTCTAGTTCGTCGTGAGTTTGATTGTTGTCCTCCTCGAGGCTGAGTCTCGCCGTACGGCTCAGCTGGTGGTGGAGCGAAGGGCCCTTGACCTGCTGTAGATTGTCTCCGCTTACGTTGATCCTGTGTAGCTGCATCGGCTGTAGCGCTCCGATTTAGGTCGTCTTCATAAAGCTTGCCGCCACCAGGGGTTGCTGCATATGGCTTTCGCTGCCGCTCGATCGGTACTGAGGGTGATGGTTCAATAATCTCGTCTTCGGAGAAGCTTCTCGGCTCTGGCTGTGACGCGTACGGGTTGCGCTCCCGTTCTGTATTCGTACTGGTAGGTTGGGCCTTTGGTGGTGGGGGTGGGGGAGGGAACGTTGGAGCTCTGCGCAGTGGACCGACACCCTCTGAGGAGAGTGCTGCGGCGCATCGCTGCTGCGCGTGCAGGTTCTCGACAAAAGGGAACATTCGTCGCGGTAGTTCTTTGGGGAAACGTTCTTTGCGGTCATCTGCGTTGCTGATCGGCATGTCAAGTACTGCTTTTGAGATGCGCCGATACTCAACGTCGGGATATGCCTGTATCATCGCAGTCATCCATTCCTGGAAGCCTTCAGGTGTAAGAGCGGGAATGTGAGGCTGTTCTGCGGGGTGTTCTTGTACGAGGTGGTGCTGGCATCGCATGTCGCGATACACCTTTGACAGTGAGGAGTACGAGAGTGTCCCGAAAATTGCTACTGACCGTTAGTCGGGATCACATTTCGTGAACAGAATCTAGACTTGCCTTGCCATGGATATGTCTCGTCTGGAAGCTTCACCTCCTCGTAGAACTTGAGCATCTTTGCGGGAGTGATGACCAGGCTGCGCTTGGGCTCATAATCCTCCACCTGAGGACTAGTTAGCAACCAAGCAATCGAGCAATCACGACGACGAAGTGCAACTCACAAGATGTAAGGCTAGGCCCCGCAAGAATTCCCCTAGGCGTGGCAGGGGCTGGCCGTCAGTATCAAACAACCTCTGCCACATCTTCTCGATCGGCGTATAGTCCTCTGTCATCATCCTCACTGCGGGCGCAGGCCGTGCGGGTCGCTCGATTGGAATGTCGACAGGTGCGCTCCTTTCGTTTCGCGGAGTCGGCGTATCGTGGTTCCCGTCAAGAAGAGGGTCGCGAACTAGGGGGTCTGGACTTGGAGAGGCGTGGGCTGAGTGCTCAGCGCGCTTTGGTGATGGAGGGGTGTAGACATCTCGGGTTGGGACCGAAGCAGTGGTCGAGGCGGGCGAAGGTGGTACATAAGGCTGCGCAGCAGGCTGCGCTTGTGTCACACTGGCTGCGACGCTCATCTTGATTTCCTCGAGCACCGACTTCTTGACTTGCTCGGTGATCTGGGCAATCAGGTTTGGATCCACGACCCGCGCTGCGTCCGACTTTTCAAAGGCATTTCCAATCGCATTCTTGAGCGGTTGCTGAGAGGGTGGGGCGTGCCTGTCAGAACCGACACTGGACGGTGCGCGCGATCTGCCACGAACAGTTGGGCGGTACTGCGAGTCATAGTCGTGGTTGGCAGGCACATGACTGTGATCGTAGGTCGGTGGGTAGGATGCATGGTGAGCGTCGGCGTGGTTGTCGTAGGAGGCCATTGCGCTAGTGTGATGACGCTGTTAGGATATCGAATCGCGTGTCGACGGAACGAGCTGCGGTGAGGTGCAGCGCTGGCTGGCGCGAATGCTATTGCTGTGGTGTCATGCAAGAGCGTTGGGTGCTAAGTGTGCAGAAATTATTGCAAAAGTCGACGATAGCAGTGCGCGCAGGGAGCGAGGATATATCTTGGACAAAGTGGAGAGATGGGCTGCAAGCACGGCTGAGCCTGACCCAGTGTGCCGCTTTACGTCTTCTAGAAGGCGACAAATTCGTGGTATTGGTGGGATCAAAGAGGCAGCAAGTACGGGTAGGACCGCGATGATTCCAGCGAGTTTGACTGGTTGTAGTATTCGATGTTCCCTGTGCAGCAGCTCGCAGCGCAGCAGACGACTGGGCTGCTGTATAGAGCCCAGTTCTCACGAGGCTGTGTTGCGTCATCCCAGGGAGGTTGGACAGACGTCATGTCATCCAAGTTGAAACTGCTTACAGACTTACGGCGGAGGCGTCGAAACATGCATCACGGCGCTGCGATCTTCGTTCTTGAATGACGCCCGCATCCTTAAGGTCACCGAGGATGCGTTCGCAGACATGTTGGTTGATGTGGCCCATTGCCATGTGGCGGCTGTCATTCTCCACTGTTTACACTCGACCGATGCTTGTCTGCCAGACACACGGCAGGGTCACCGCAGTCAGCCCGAATCGTAGTCTCTCCGCCCTGCCAGCTGGCCGCCAAACATGATTGAAACGACGAGCCACCTGTCGGAAGGGCGGAAACATTCTCACTCGCCACCGACGGTGACTGGTGGGCTATCCCGGCGGCGGCTGCGTAGCTGCAACAGTGAGGCTCTGCTGAGCTGAAGACTCGCCCCGCCTGAAACACTGCTGCGCGTGAGCTGGCAGTGTGCGCTCCAGCCGGGCACGACTGCGTAGGCGCCTGTTGTTATTGTTGACGGCATCTGCGACAGGCAAGGCAGAACCTGCACGCGAGGCCCGGCTGCAGTTGTCTGTTTCCTGAGATAGATGAGCATGGTTGGCCTCGGACAGGGTGCAGGTGGCTATTCCGGGACGGCACAGGTAAGCTCACGTGAGCATCGCGCGCACTACCCAGACGGGCGCGCATTGTGATTGCGATTTCCTGAAGCGTGCTGAGAGCTATGCTGCCGTCGAGGATATATTGCATGGATGAGAAATGCTAGCCGTCCATGCGGAAGGTCTCTGACGGCGGACGGGCGGGCAGCGAATAGGAGGCCCTGGGCCACATTTGACTTTCGAAACGCACTACCGTCTCACCGTCTCACCGTCTCACTGACCAGGGCCAAAGCGCGTTGCGGCGTGAGGATGCCGACGAAGGAGCCTTTTGATCGTGCATGGTGAACTGTTTCGACTGCCAACACGCGGCTCGCAGCTCGCTGTTTCTTTGCTCATCTCGCTTTCTGGACGTCAGACAAACCCCGGGGCCGACACTGGTGCCGCAATAAAGCACTCCAAAGACCCCCCCGCCCGCTCCAAAGAGCCATCGCCAGCGCCGACGTCGAACACAGCGCCCGGTCCCCGACAGCGCCCTCGCCCTCGCTTTTGAGTTTCCGCCTTGCGCCTTGCACCTGCGCCCGTTCACTGCTGTGCCAACACGTCTTCACGTAAACCTTGTGTCGATAGACTAGTGCACGCCGCTGTCGAGTGGTGCTGCTGCTTCTGAGCCGGCTCACGACGCCGTACGCTGTACGCCGCAAGCTGCATTAACCCCGTCCTGTGCCACCTCGACAAGCACACCTCGCGACGTCTGCTGCCACGCTGACCACGACCGCCATCGACCCGCCTCAGCCATCGGCCGTCCTGTCTCCCATCCGACGAGCGCCCCAGCATGTGTGTATGAGACCCTGCACACACGAACGAGCGATCCTTGGCGTCGAGCAGTGACGACGCCCCGCCTGACCGCGCGATACACACACCTCGGACGCACCATATCAGACAATGGCTATGTTAGCCTCAAAGTCGCCCTACCCCACGCCCTCCCTGGGCGGTTCCAGCTCACAGGCCTCGGCCCAGTACAACTCGAGCATATCCAGCTACCGCAACCACACCTCGAATGCACGAGCAGACCACTCCATGTTTGCCTCGCCCACCGAATCAGAGTTCTCCGAGATATACGACGCCCCAGACGCCGTCAGGTATGTCAAGCCGACACCGGCATTGTGACATTCGTGGCTAACCCGTGCAGGCACTGGGACGAAGACAAGGTTGCAGACTGGCTGAAGCGAATCAACTGCAGCCAATATGTCGACCTCTTCAAGTGTATGTAGAACGGATCTGCGTGACGAACCTCACTGACCTTCAACAGACAACCACATCAACGGCGAAAACCTCATGGAGATGGACCAGGTCCAGCTCAAGGACATGGGCATCAAGAAAGTTGGCGACCGTGTCCGCATCGGCTCGCAGGCCAAGCAACTGCGCAACAAGGAGTACAAAAAGGCCTCAAGACGGACGTCGAATAGGGTAAGTCTTGGTCCACCAATCCCAGCCCAACAAGTCTGACATGTCTGCAGCAATCATTAGCAACGCTTGACAAAGCCTCCTTCACTCCGCCAACCTCCAGCTCACCCCGGCCCCTGAACTCGGCACGATCAATACCCACCAGTTCGCGATCCGAAAAGCGCATGTCTCGCCAAATCACAAACTCCGATCTCAGCAGTTACGCATACGGAAGCAAATCGCCGTCACGGCCAGGTTCCCCTCTGGTTGACCAGGACAATCGTGGCCTGAGAAGTGCACGGAATGGAAGCCTGAACAGCCCCAAAGAGCCTGGAAAGACCCCGTATGGTGCGCACCCACTGAGTGCCTCCACCGCAAATGTGTCGTCTCGCTTCGCACAGCCCCAACGAACGACTCCGACCGAGACTCCCCAGACCGCTAGATTCGCCCACCACGTTCGCGGTGCTCCGAGTCTCGACAGCGCTACAAACAGCCAAATTCTGCCGCAAGACAAAGCCCTCGTACGTGTCATCTTCGACGGTGGCCGGACCTCTGTGGTGAACATTGAGGGATGCAAGACTGCCGAGGAGGTCATGCTCAAGACCCTAAGAAAGGGACATCTCAATGAGGCACAAGTGCGAAACTACTGCTTCTACATCCTTAACAGTGGCGAGCCGGATCCATCGTTGTCAGAACGCCTGAGCGACATAGAGCTCTTCCGGTTGTGCAAGGACGCGAATCGACATGAACGAGGACGACTCATCCTCCGAAAGGTCCACGCTGGGGAGCCTGACGACGATCAGCTGAAGGCAGCGGCTGCCATATACAATCAGCAGAACTTTCAACAGACGCAGACCGTATACTTGCCGTCAAGTAACCGGAGCCAGAGCAAGATCGAAAAGTTGACAGGAGAGTCTCTTGCTGCTGTCAGCTACCCGCTCTCTCCCTCATCAGCGAGAGAACGAGAACGGCACATCAACTCGACTGCCCAAAACCTCGAGGGGCCGGCAGGAAAGTCTCTGAAATCACCACAGTTCCAGGCTCGAGAACGCAAGCTCAAGCAGTTCTACGGCGCCAGGCCACCCAGTGAACTCATCACTTCCGACCTGACATCATACTTTCCAGATGTTGGAAAGGACGAGATCGACAAGACGGTCCGCATGTCCATCCGCCGATCGCGTCGATTAAGTAGGGCTGCGTCGCGTCTCTCGATGGCTTCCAATTTCAGTGTTGCATCAAGCTTGAAAGATGCTCCACCTCTACCATCTATTGCAGACAGCTGGCTCGCAGGTGGCAGTAATGCCCGTCCCCTGCGACCATTGTCGGTTATGCGACTTGGCCTACCCTCCCAGTCAAACTACCGCGACTCGATGGCATCGTCCGTACTGGAGCCACTTGACGAAGAGTCGCCCCTCGAGCCAAATAGGAAATCTTACGTCTCCTTCGGTGACGGCAGTGGTTCGGATACCCTCGCTGTCACTGACCCTGATGGCAACACCACCTTACAGTCTTATTTCGACGATGGTCAGAGCAGTCTTACGGGAAGCAGTACCAGCAACACCGAAAATGGCGATTCGCTCAACAAACGCCTGTCCGAGGCTATTGCCGAGGATGACGAAGAGGACGATGATGAGCTGACCGAATATCTCGAGCAAGATTCGTGGGACAACGTCAAGTATATGAAGGGAGCACTTATTGGACAAGGTTCTTTCGGTAGCGTGTATCTCGCTCTACATGCTGTTACCGGTGAACTCATGGCTGTCAAGCAGGTCGAGTTGCCTTCCGTAATCGGCACCTCCCAGATGGACCACAGGAAGACGAACATGGTTGAAGCTCTCAAGCATGAGATTGGACTGCTACGAGAGCTCAAACACAACAATATCGTGCAGTACCTCGGCTCGAACTCAGACGAAAGCCACCTCAACATTTTCCTGGAGTACGTTCCTGGTGGTTCCGTTGCTACCATGCTCATCAACTACGGCCCACTGGGCGAGTCGCTCATCCAGAACTTTGTACGCCAGATTCTGCAAGGTCTATCTTACCTTCACTCGAGCGATATTATTCACCGAGATATCAAGGGTGCCAACATTCTTGTCGACAACAAGGGTTCAGTCAAGATTTCTGATTTTGGTATTTCCAAGCGCATCGAAGCATCTACTCTCGGTGGCAGCAAGAAGGGGGCTCAACGCGTTTCGCTACAAGGGTCGGTCTTCTGGATGGCGCCGGAAGTCGTTCGTCAGACCGCCTATACTCGGAAAGCGGACATCTGGTCACTCGGTTGTCTCGTCGTGGAGATGTTCACCGGTAGCCACCCGCACCCGAACTGCACCCAGCTCCAGGCGATCTTCAAGATTGGTGGAAGTGGCGACGCGAGTCCTACAATCCCCGAGAACGCAGGCGATGATGCCCGGGCCTTCCTGGCACAAACCTTCCTCATCGACCACGAGAAGCGACCCAGCGCCGATGCATTACTGGACAGCCCATTCATCAAGAACCAAGGCGCTGCTTAGTTCTCTAACCTTCTCACTCTCCAACATGATCTATGGTTTACACGGCGCACTACAGCATAACATACGAAGGAGTATTATTGCGCAAACGGAGAATTTGGTAAAAATGTGGGAACACGGCAAGGCAAGCTGACGACACATTCTTCTCCAATTGGGAAGCGGACCTTACCCAGTCATTCTTATTCACTTTTCACGCCCGCAACGTGTTCATACGAAAGATATTCTATCTGTACAATACCACATTTGTTAGAGATGCTGCTTAATTTGGTGTATGGGAGAGACTTCTTTTCTAGGCCGACATCGCTTGATGGGCTGGCGGGATTATGATGGTGCTTTGTATGGAGTTGTATTATATCCATCTATATCAACCAAACCTTTCAATCTCAAAACAACTTGAACTCTACACAAAACAACAGTCGCTTCCATTCCCGCTTGCAATCTGTCGTTCGTCCGATCAAAGTTTAGTCCCATCGTGGCGGGTAGCCTGAAGCCTATAACGTGTCACATCCAGCGATAAACTTTAGCGCTTCCGTCTCACATGCGAACTCACGTCAGTCGACTAGAATTGCCGGTTCACCGCAGAACCTCCGTGCTGACGTTTTAGTAGGACGCACTTCGGGAGTCTTGGCTTTCGTGGCTGCCCACACCCCGCATTGAGGGGTAGCTTTTTGCGCCTGCCTCGGTGAACGCTTCCAGCCACGAGAGCTGCGGATTGGCCAGTATGCATGATGAAGGTGGGGTTTGGGGGGGAAAGTTGGGGCACATTTGGTACGTGGCTTACGCTTGCTTCTTTCTCATAACGTATAAATTACTGGGCGAGCACCTTTCCGATTACATTGCTCACTCTTTGAATTAATTGAACTCGACTGGACTCCGAGAAAGAATATTTGTTTGAAATAGGATAAAGAATTAGACAATATGGCTGCAGTCGATCTACCAAAGAAGTACAAGGCGGCTGTGTACGACAAGCCGGGGTCCATCTCGACGAAGATTGAGGAGTTGGACATGCCGGAGCCGGGACCTGGAGAGGTGTTGATTAATCTGTAAGTCCACTGGTGTTCAACGTCGTTGCCATATTTCTACCACAATGACATACTGATCATGTCTCAGCACTCACTCTGGCGTGTGCCACTCCGACATGGGCGTGATGATGAATTCCTGGTCCATCCTGCCCTTCCCCACACAAGCAGGTCAAGTAGGCGGCCACGAGGGCGTCGGTAAAATCGTAAAGCTGGGCCCTGGAGCAGAAAATGCATCCGTCAAGATTGGCGATCGCGTGGGAATCAAGTGGATGGCTAGCATCTGTCTGAACTGCGAGGCCTGCAGAGCAGGCATGGATGGCAACTGCTTCAACGGCGTGAGTATCCCGATTTTCAGACACAAAACAATTCCACTAACGAATCCGCTCGCAGAAAATCTCGGGATACTACACCCCAGGAACGTTTCAGCAATACGTGCTCAGTCCCGCTAACTACGGTACGTCCTTCTCTCTACCCAACCTACACTCCAACTAACCCCTTCCCACAGTCACACCCATCCCCGACGGCCTCGACTCTGCCGCCGCCGCTCCCCTCCTCTGCGCCGGTGTGACCGTCTACTCTGCCCTGCGCAAAGCCAACGCAGAATCCGGTAAATGGGTCATCATCAGCGGCGCGGGCGGCGGCCTGGGCCATCTCGCCGTGCAACTCTCGTCCAAGGGAATCGGCCACCGCGTCATTGGAATCGACCACAGCAGCAAAAAAGACCTCGTTATGGAGAGTGGCGCGGAGCACTTCATCCCCGTTGACGGCACGGAGGACATGGTCGCTGCTGTGCAGGGCCTCACCGAAGGACTCGGCGCACACGCAGTTGTCGTGTGCACAGCCAACAACGCCGCCTATGGCAATTCGCTAGATTTGTTGAGATTTGGGGGCAGAGTGGTATGCGTGGGCATCCCCGAGGGCGATGTCGTGCCCATGAAATGTGCGAGTCCGGGCTTGATGGTGTTGAAGTCGCTGCAGATTGTAGGGTCGGCGGTGGGTGATCGACGAGAAGCGATTGAGACGATGGACTTTGCGAAGAGGGGGATTATCAAGACGCATTTTAGGACGGAGAAGATGGAGAAGTTGACGAGTATTTTTGAGGAGATGCATAAGGGAGAACTTAAGGGGCGAGTTGTGTTGGATCTGTCGTAGATGTGATATAAGGAGAGAGAGTTAATAACATATCTATGCATACTTCTCCTATTTGCATGTGTGCTTCGACGACGTCGATATTGTGGCCGCCTGCCGAAGTAGGTTCTTAGAAAGGCTGGACGCACTAGCTCCAAATTGTTGCACTATGCACGTTGCGTACCAAAGTTTGAAGACGATAGACACCTGAATTTGTTCAAGAGTTTATCATATCCCTTCATAGTATAGCAAGCTCTTGTACTAGTCTTACATTATTGTATCCATATCAGTTCGCAACTTGACAGCTAGGCACCCAAAGCCACACTCACCAGTTCCTGCACAGCTCATCAGCAATAAATACGGCAATAACTGAGCCTCCAAATGCATTCGCGAGCTTGATCGTGAGCGACAAGAGTCATTGGGTGAAGATTAAAAAAAAAGAGTGGTCTGAGAACAGGCTTGAGTTTGGTAGACTTTCCAGCTAATTTCAACTGACTATCGCCTATGATTTATCCGGGCCCTTCGCACACAAGTAAAAGGTCTACGTCAGTGCATTCATGAAATCAAGTACCTCCGCAGGAACACGGCTCACATGAACGCCTCTTTGAAAATGCGATCATTTGAAGTCCTTCGGGACCGCTGTATTAGGCACGTGATCTTGTCGCTGTAGAAGGACTATGGATCAGTTCCAGGAGTTGGATGCTAAAGCTTGATGTTTGACAGGTGCTAATCAAATTGAGCGCCAAGTGACAAAAGCGTGTGGTGTAAGCCCATATGGACAGGGCGTGTTGGCCATTTCATTACATGCTGAGCTTCTTGGCGGTCCAACTCCATGAACCTGAGGCGACTGTAACATGTTTGAATATAGCCACGAGGCTAGTGATGCAGACAAACCTCCAGAGAGTAGCGGAAATAGCCAGGCGCCATATATATTCCAAAAGTCGTTAGTCATGTGAAGCCAACTGCAGCGGATGAAAGAGAAATGGTCATGTGATGGCGACGATGAGGTCGACAAGACTCAGCTATCGCAACACGATGCACCAACCATTGACAGCCTCATGGAGAGATCTTAATATTAATTGAACCGTATGAACGTGTCCCGCGTGTTCGCCTGCGTCCTTGACCGGAGGCCCGCCAGTGCAAGGTGTCCTGGAGGCATGCCAAGTCATTCCCCCAGATGTGCAAATTCTGCAACACTGCCTCTAAACGCCGGAACATAGTCTCAACGCATCCAGATAGCCTCCTATATTCGAGTGGTGCGGAACAACAGAGTCGCCGAAGGGTCGGGTGTCCTGCCTGAGAGTCGAGGTGCGTCTGATGGGGGAGGGCTTGGCGGGAGCTCGCATAGTATATACCTCGCACCGCCCACCTCTCCCACCATCGTTCCTATGCCCCACCACTTCCATACTACACCCACCGCACCTCCTCACACTCCTATCACCGACCCAGCTTTTGCTCTTGCAACAAGTCTTCGGTCCCACTCTTGGCGCATTTGCGCAATTGATACTGGCCATTAAGCTTACTCCTCGTCTCCGTGCCATGTCGTCGACGACCAATGCACCAGAGCCAGACCGCCAGGCAACCATGATCCCAAAGCAGCCACGCTTTGAGGACAGGATTTCTCAGACAGTGTACGACGATGGACATGGTCGCTACATCGTTGCGTCTCGCCAGCGCCCCCAAATCGTCCGCCGCACCGATGCAGCGGACAATAGACACTCTCGGTCACGGCCCATAAGAAAAAAATGAAATAATCGAGGTTGAAGAGCGCCTATTGTCTCGTGAATCTCCAAGATACCCCGCCTCACGGAAGCCGTCCAATAGTGAAGGCTTGGCACCGTCACGTGAGGTATGCGTCGAGCAGCAGTCGCCCAAGTATCCGAGGAAGGTCGTCGTCATTCCTGCTTTATCGAAACCAGTAAATCCAGCTCTGAGAGTAGAGCGTTCTACATTGCAGAGATGGGCAGAGCCCACGCCTCCGCCAACACCTCGATCGGGGCGCTTGCCATCACCTGAGCTCTCTGACTTGGAGGAGGCGCCGTTCTGCGAGTGCGATGAGGCCATCATGCCAAAATGCTGTGCGTCGTGCAAGAACGCCATGCATCCTTGGGGGAGATGAGTGTGGATCAAATCATGTGGTTTTCTCATTAAGTTTGTCCTTTCCACGGTCTCCTTCGTGTTTAGGCTCAGGGAATTGGCGATGCCCTAGCCCATGAAGGTGAGCTAGAGGCTTGCGGTATCATTTAATCTTTCGTAATTGTTGGCTCCAGGTGTTCGGTTTCGAGCGACCAGTGCAAATCGCGGGTTCTTAGCAAGCGGATCGATCAGTTTTCAGAGTTCCTTTCCTGTCCCTCACTATGGCGCCTGACTCCCGGTAATCGTGATGTTTTCCGGTTTAGGTCGTGGAGTAACAATTCTGTCGACCACAAAGCCCGTATTCCATGCCTAACAGCAATCTGCGTGATGGTTTGCTACTCTTGCGGACGCTCGCTTTCCGCAACAAAGTACTTTCCAGCTTTTCGTTCTGCTGAGCCCAAGACATCCCAGTCTTCAGCATCTTTGGCATCCACAGGTGAGGCATCTCTCTGTATGCGCTTATAGTGTGTTCCAATGACCTTTTCTTTGTCTAGAGCTTCCTGGAGCGTCGCTACAGTTATTTTGTGTTCTTCCTCAGCTGCTATCGTTTCGTCGCGTATTGCTCGTAAAGGCTCGACGCCGGTGGTATCCACTTCTTGTATCTTCCCCACAAAGTGCAGCTGCGCGGCTAATGTGTCCAGCATCTTCTGCTCCTGCTCCGGCGTCTCCGGGGGTGGAAGCGCAGAAAGTCGCAACAGATGGTGGAGCTGTTGAGACGTGATTTCGGGAGCATCGGGTGCACGAGCTGCACGAGCTGCAGGCGGAAGCAGCGACTCGACAGACCACGTTGGCTCTGCGAGTAATTGTTCGAGCTCGTCAGGGTGGATGCCTTTGCGTGCCGTGGCTTGTGTACTGTTGGGCCTTTGTTTGTAGAGAAGAGGAGCGGCTAACGCTCGAATATATGACCGTGGCAGATTTTGGTGGTGAAGACGTCTGCTGCACAAGAGAACGCATCGCGACGCCATCGTGGCTTATACGCGGTTGATGCAGGGGGAGTGTCCCCGGCGTGGTTCTTGTCTTGAATTACACTTGTAGCAGCCCGAAATACGGCGAGTGCTGGCGCAATTTCCCCCAGGAGGTCAACACACAGGCTGTGACATCAAAAATGCAATGTCGTCGAGGTTGAGTTCAGTCTGCAGCGGAGAACGCTAGTCCCGCTTCGGAAAGGCCGCCGAGGTCAGTTTCCAATTGCACGGACCAGTGGGGTCGTCATCGCTCTCGAGACAGCTACTGCAGCCACTTGTCTCGACCAAACACCCAAAGCCGCATTTCTTCTGCCTATTACTTCTCTCCCTTCTACAATACTTCTTCCAGCGATCAACACACAACCTCGAAATACACAAACATGGCAGGCGATCCGCGCGCGCTGCTCCGTCAGGTGGGGCGAACCTCGAAGCTCAGCCACAACACAGATAACTGATATTGAGGTACTATGACAGGCAGAACAGTCCCTACAGAAGGCTTCCGGTGGCTTCAGCTTTTTCGGTGGACGACAAGATAAATGTAACAGACTCGGAGCATTCCAGGCTAGCCTTGTAGACTAACGCACGTGACAGATGAGGCAGCTGCAGACCAGTTCATCGCGGCAGCGAATGCCTTCCGAATGCAAAAAATGGGTACGTATAACCATTGCCACCTTCACTGCAAAGTGGTATTGACTTTGTGTATGGTTTCATAAAGCTAATTTGGTGTAGGAAAGGAAGCGGGTGAGGCGTTCGAGAAAGCAGCAGCAGTACAAAGACAGAACCTGAACGAGCCCGACGACGAAGCAAACACTCTTACAGAGGCTTTCAGTATGAAGAAATTCCTGTGAAGATGCTTCATATCTGACCAGAACTAGAGGCGTACAAGAAGGATGATCCGGAGGCCGCCGCACGATGCCTCGACAGAGCCATCGCACAGTACTGTAGCAAAGGCAACTTCCGTCGCGCAGCCACTCACAAGCAAAATCTGGGCGAGCTCTTTGAAGTGGAGCTCGGCGACAACGCCAGAGCTGGAGCCGCGTATGAAGAAGCTGCTGGCTGGTACGAAGCTGTAAGTCCCAGCACATCTCAACGGATCTTCGAGCAGCCTTGCTAACTTCTAATCAGGACAATGCCGAAGTGAATAAGTCCCAGACATAAGAATTTTTGGACAAGACTAACGCCCTAAAACAGGCTCTTGCTAACAAGTTATGGCTTAAGACTGCCGATCTTGTAGCCCTCGACGGCAAGGACTACTACAAGGCCATTGAGCTTTACGAGAAGGTTGCCAAGACATCAATCCAGAACAATTTGATGCGATGGTCCGTCAAGGAATATCTACTCAAGGCCGGTATCTGCCAGCTCTGTACAGGAGATCAAGTTGGTGTAAACGCCGCGCTCGACCGTTACCGAGACTTGGACCCAAGCTTCGTCCAGCAGCGAGAGCATCAGCTCCTTGTGGACTTGACACAAGCTGTGCAGGATGGAGACCAAGAGATGTTCGCCGATAAGGTACGATCATAACAATCTACTTGTTGAGAGTGTAGTCAGAACTGACAGATCGTAGCTGTTCCAATACGACCAGCTGAGTAAGCTGGACAAGTGGAAGACCACATTGCTTTTGAGAATCAAGGGCACTATTGAAGAGACAGGCGAGGATTTCTCATAATGGAAGACGTTACGATGTACGGTTGTGGAAAGGTTTTCAAGATGTTCAGCGACCAGAGAAGTGTTATAGCGAATGCGTTCAATGGCGTGGGCTGAACCGGATTTGTCATGATGATGACTTCGAGACTCTAATTGCCTGGGCACTAAATTTACATCAAGTTCATGAGCATACACGGAGATACTTGACTATTGGCAGTTTTTGCGCTCGGGCCTCTTGGGCCATGATCCACCGGCGCTTGAATCGACGAGACCAAGTGGAGCACCTTTGACTTCCTCGCCTATCTTTAGAGTCCATAATCTACTTGATTGGGGTTTGATCCGTGAACCGCGGTCAATTGTTCTCGCTGAGTACTGTTCCGTAGAAGGAGTACGATTCATCCGTGCGCGACCTCGTCTCGAAGACATACACAAAGAGACAAGGCAATGTCCAATCAACCGCTGGTAATTACCAGCATCGCGAACATCAGGTGGGACCATTCCAAGTTACGGTAGCATGCTACAGGTATCCCGCGCAGGACGCGGACTATGGTGATCCGCAATCCAAGCGTGCTTCGGCGCCATATCCGGCTTGGCTGTATCTTGAGGCTCTTCAAACACTGCTCCGACTCCGACTCAACTCCACACCTCAGTCTTACTACTGACTTGCCAACACTTGACGAGAGTCTTGTCTCCTGCTGGGCGATAAGTATACGGGTTGTCCAACACTACTCTAACACGTTTGTGATGTCAGGAATAGATCCTTCTCATTAACAACAGCCCATTCTACAGCCTTGTGGAGACTCCAGGCGGTCCTTTCGCGGAGTTGCGACATATACTGTAATCCAAGGACGTGTACTGTTGTGCTATACTAGGCTAGTCAATGAGTCTGGGGTGCCAACACCGAACAAATGCCTCAGCCACGGTTCACTGGTGTGCCACCACAGTCATGGTTGAGTAAGGACTCTGGGGTTCGTGGAGCATTGCGGGGAAGCTTGGAGAAGTATAAGATGGTGCAATGATCACCATGGGTTGACCTCCGTCGTCAACCTTCTTTTTCTCGTACCCAACTTTCAACCCTTCTGCAATGGCGAACAAAGCAGACCAACCGCCCACAGGCCTGGAGCCCGTTATCCACGGTAGCACTCTAGTTTCGGTGGCTCCGCATATTGCTTTTGACACCGAGAAAGAGAAGGTCGAACAGCACAGTATGCTTGAAGCTGTTCAGTCAAATGTCACCGCCGAGGACAAGGATGCTCAAAGAGCAAACTCCATCGAAGCACTCGGCATACCAGATTGGGAGGCAAAGCAGAAGAAGTTAGTAAGGACGTTGGACATGACTTTGCTGCCTCAGCTGTGGATTTTATACCTCAATAATTTCCTAAATCGTACCAATATCGCGTAAGCATGATTGTAAATGCAGCAACAGCGCCAGCTTAACATTCGTGATAGTCAAGCGCGCCTCGACGATGATTTCGAAGAGACATTACAGCTCGGGAATACGGACTACAGCACAGCTGTTGCACTTCTCACGGTTGGGTGAGCCATTAGTCTTTGCTTCGTTGTTCGGGTGCAGGCTAAGACTATACAGTTACATGTTGGCCCAACTACCTTCGAACATGCTTATCACCCGTGTGCGACCTGCCATCTATTTGCCACTATGTGCGTTTTTGTGGTCCGGTGTCTCTGCGGCGACCGCAGGTGTCACCAGTGCAAATCAACTCTTCGCGGTGCAATTTGTTCTTGGTATAATCGAAGCTCCTCTTTTCCCAGGCGTAAGTCCGCCATGATAGTTTTTCTACGTTCGATAGCTAAAGTGTCTTCAGGCAGTGTATTTGATGTCCTGCTGGTACACGCGTAGCGAACTTGCACTTCGCACCGCGTTGCTTTACTCTGGTCTCGTTCTAGCTCAGGCTTTCAGCGGACTCATCGCTGCTGGTGTCTTTAGTGGTATGAAGGGACTCGCGGGCATAGCTGGATGGCAATGGCTATTTATCCTCGAGGCAGCAATGAGTGCTTTTTTTGCGATAACTGCCTTCTGGATTCTGCCGAATTATCCCCACTCAAAGAATGGATCAGCCATGTGGTCGATGACCGAAGATATGCGTCGAATCGCAATTGCGCGCATCGAAGCTGATCGTGTCGAGGACGCTACCGACTCAACAGTCTGGCAAGGTCTGCGTCTTGCACTTACAGACGTCAAAACCTACATCTTCGTATGTTGTATTACTTCTTCGGTAGAATCCTCTCTGACATACTTTAGATCTTCATGAATATCTTCATGACTTCATCCTACGGCTTCAACAACTTCTTCCCAACCATGGTTCGTGGCTTTGGCCTCGGCTCCAGCACTATCGCCCTCGTCCTGACCGCTCCACCTTACATCTTGGGTACTGCTGTCTCCTTCTTCGTCGCATGGAATTCCGACCGCAAGAAGGAACGTGGGTTTCATATCATGGCAAACAACTGCATCTCAATCGTTGGCTTCATCATCTCCGTCGCCACACTCAACACCGCAGCACGCTACACCGCCGCCTTCCTCTACACCTCAGGCAGTTTCTCCGCTAATGCCCTCGTATATACATGGGCCGTCAGCTCCCTGTCCCAAACGCCCGAGAAGCGAGCGGCCGGCGGCGCGATTGTGAATATCTGTGGTCATCTCGGAAACGTGATGAGTCCGTACTTCTTCCCGGATTCGGACAGACCGAGATATACAATGGCGATGATTCTGCAGATTGTGTTTGCGGCACTCACGTTTTGCATGGCGTTTGGAAGCAAGACGTACCTGAAGAGGCAGAACAAGAAGTTGAAGAGCGTTAGCGACGAGACTGGGCGCATATACAATCCGTTCACGACGTAAAAGACGTACGACAAGGAGAATAGACTGGGAGGAATTAGCGCAAAGCTATGATATAGATTACTCAATTTGGTTTCGAGAAAGTTTAAATGGTTCTCAAACTGCCTAATGCGGCAAGTCTATGAAAGTGTTGATTATAGTCGTTCTAAGTTGAGTGAGGCGGCGACCTATTCCAGCCTGCAAAACACTCATGTGAGATTTACATGTTTGAAATTTCAAACTACCTATTCGGGAAGGAGTTGTGTAAAGTATGGATTGTAGCATACAAACACTCCCAGATCCCACACCAAGAGTTGCCTAATCAGGCAGGTTGAAATTCTTGGGTGTCGATTACAGCAACTTTCGCTCGAAGTTTCTGACAATTCCTCTGCTGACTTCATAGCTTACCACCAAAAGCGAACGAATATGCCGCATTGGGAAAGTTCTGGGCTTGGTGTCGATTGTAGCAGCTTTTCACTCGCCCTTCTTGTCGGCTGAAGTGACTTTTGCCGCCCACGAGAGTGCTGCTTGTGAAACTGCCTATTCGGGTATGTATTGAACAAGGTGTCGATTGTGGCAGATTCTCACCTGAGCTTGTCAGACTCGGCTGGCGTGGTGTATGAATCAGCCCTAGCTACTACACAAATTTGATGCACGTCTTCATAGTACTGAAAGGTATCCATTGAATCTAGTTTGACAACAGAAAAGAGTGATTACTCATTCATAAAGCGTGGAGGTTGAAGCAAATGGGCAAGCATAGAGTTGCACTTATGAAATCGACAAGTTTGATGGCCAGCGAATCATCACGACTAGCAGTATGTCGCATCCATTCTACTTAGGTATGAAGTCTATTTACAGCTGTGAAGAGTACATATTGACATCCGGACGATCTTACCACAGAATATGTCAGCTTGCAGTACAAAAAGCATGGATCAACGATGTGCGCAAAACCTGGTGCTGGTTGAGCTCCAAAAATAAACGGGCACCAAACCGCTGTCACTTTACATCATTACTATTTTGCAGCCAATGACGATGATCTGGATTTTACACGTCAGGATATGGACGGGACATCCAGATCCTCGCTTCGAACGGCAACAGAGCGTTCCTGTTCGGCAGCGAAGCGAACCATGCAATCTGCACCGCCACATGTCGCCACATTTTGCCGTTTACCCACTCAAAACGTCCCGTCGGACTGGGGTCAAGAGAGCAAGACATGCGATTTGCTCGAAATCCCATGAGATCTGTGGCTGGAGCGGGGCGAACGAGAAACTGGGATAGAGTTTCAGATCCACTATGATTGGGTGCATCGACTGGCAGACCCTGATCTGCGAGCTCACTTGCGATATAGGGTGTAGAGGCCGCTGGGGCTGTGTATGTCGATCAGTCGTTTTTCGCCTCTTTGCGTGGACTTGCGTGGTCGTCTCGCATGCGACGAATCTGGAGTGAGATGGCGCGCATGGGTGTAGATGGGTTAAAGAGTTGGTGGCCACTGCAAAGGCGGCTGCTGGTCTGACTTGGAACTGTACATCCAGACATGAGGCAATCATAGCACATACGACCGTCGCGGCGAACATTTCGCAACATCTTCATTTTTCTGCATCTCTTTACTACGACACTCGCTAGTTCACTCATAAATGCATTCGTTAAGAGGCTGGAAGTGGATGATTTGGGGAGGGTTGATTGGTAGCGTCGCGGCTGTCCCGAGACCAATCATCACGCCTGCACCACAACCTGGAGTTGAAGTATGGTTGAAGAGGCAAGAGCCAGATGCGTAAGGCTCCTAGAAGCGGTGACCCCGAATGCGACCATTCACTGACACATCATAGCGCGTCTTTCGCTGAAGTACTCCTAACCGCGATACCACTATCTTTACGCCAGATCGCTGCGACGAACGCTCCTGCTGTATCGAGCATTCTTTGGAGAGAATTCCTCGACGATAATCGGCCACAATGGTTCTTGAACCTACCATACGACATTCAGAGCTATTTGGTCAAAGAATTCGGGCCGGAGACTGCTCGTCTACCTACACCGCCATCACAAACGACAGACGGCCAAGCAACACCAACGCAGAGTAGCTGGCAGTGGCCAATCTCGACAGGGGATCTGCGGTCTTCACAAACTGTTTCTTCAGTATCTTACTCCGCTTCCAGCGCTTCGGCGCAATCGTCGGCGAATTCGGCGAGGACGTCAACGTCGGCGTCAGCTTCAGCGTCACCATCCCGAAGTCTATCCGTAACTGTATTCTCGACTGTGACGCTAGCAACATCATCCAGTTACACTGCTAGTACTTCAAGTACTAGGTCTGCTACTGTATCGTCAACAGCGTCCAGCACTGTTGCTTCCAGTACCGCTCGCACAAACTCTGGGTCAACACCAAGCGCAACCTTCGATCCCATCTCGCCCCCAGCGAGCAACAGTGAACTTACCAGAACTCAGAAGATCGGTCTGGGCATTGGTATTTCATTGGGTATCTTTGGAGCTGCCGCTATGCTTCTTGGATGCTGTTTCCTGCTTCGCCGTAGAAGGAACAAGCACGAGGATGGCTCGCAGCCACCATCCTCTCCTGGCTTCATACCCCGATTTGCCTTCCAAGACAAATCGACAGAAAATCTGGAACACCGTAGGCCTCTCAACCCGGCGCATAACCAGTTTGGCCTGGACCATGGAAACACTAATTGGGAAGATGAAGGTTATGACCCGTACGAATCCACTGCCTATGACCCTGCGCCTATGGCTATGGGAACATCTCCACATCCACCAGCATACCCTCCAAGAGAAGCACCTCAACAAATGACTATGCAAGATGCGCAACCAATCATGGCACCGGCGCTCTTCCATACGCACAGCTCGAACCGTGCACGAGGAAAGAGAACAAGCTACAGTAGTTTGCACTCTGTGAAAGAGTTGTCAGAGCCAGACGAGAATGCAGAATCACCCGTTCTTGGTCGTCAAACCACACCATTGCAACGAAAGCGACGACCAAGTATGCCCATGGTGCTTGAAATCCCATCCGTCCCCCGCTCAGCGACGATCAAGCGAAAGCCCGTGCCCGAGAGCCCTACTGGCATCAGTCCAGCAGCAGAAGCCGCATCGAAGTCTCTACTTCGACCGTCAATCAGACACGTTGAATATAGCGGTAGCAGCTCCAGCGGTCTCGCACTGAGTTCCAATTCGTCCAATGGAGCATACCACACGGATCCCACTTCTCCCATCTCTCCCCTGTCACAGAATGCACCAGTCAACTCTTTCTCAAACGACTACTCTTACGTCGAGGACTATGGCCCAGAGTACCAGAACGGCTATCTTGACCAGGAAGATGGCCTGTATGGTGGTCACAGGAGCCTTGACAGATATCCGACTCCGTCACCTCCACGTCGCAGCTCGAAGACGGAGTGGCCGCTACGTAATATGAGTATAGGGCATAAGCGGAGTAAGAGCCCAATGTGGGACAGAGTGTATGAAGGTTAATGAGGGAATACTTGAGAAAAGAAGGATGTAATGACATAATCATGTTACGATTTTTTTTCTTTGTACACATATACCACTTGCGCATGAAAATGCGTTGTTTTGACGCTTTGATAGGCACCTTGCGATCGAGCGATGATACATGAGTGGCTTTTAGCACGCAAGCTCTAGGAAGTACAGATACCACATCATTTCCATAGGTGTGAATTTCGAATACGAAATAGTCAAAACAGATCTATTGTTCAACCCGGGGCCACTGCCACACTTCTAGTGTCTCTAATACGGTAGCTTTCGTAACATAATCCCCAGCAAATCGCCCATTGACCACATTCAAGGCGGAACCTCTTTCCCATCCCAATCCCAACACTTACCCCTCCCATCCACCCCCACCTTCTGAATTACATCAATCAACTGCTCAGCCACCCACTCCCTCTCAAAAAGCTTCTCCTTCTTAACATTCCCCCAGAAATCTTTGCTCAAATCCGTCTTCACCGTGCCCGGATGCAACGACAGAGCCATGGCATTCTCCCCGGACGCCGTGCGCAAATGATTGTCGAACGTCCTAACCAACTGATTCACACCCGCTTTCGACGCGCGATAGCTGTACCATCCACCGAGGCGGTTGTCGCTGATGCTGCCGACACGCGCGGACATGATTGCTGTTGTGGCAGTGAGGGGAAGGCCTTTCATGTCATCGGAGTCGGGGTCCGGAGATGCGGATTTCTTGGGCAGAAAGGGGGAGAAGTGCTTGAGCATTAACATGGGGCCGAGCGTGTTGGTGCGGAAGGTTAGTAGAGCGTCGTCGGCGTTGATTTGCGATGGGGCTTTTTCTGGGAATAAGATTCCTGGGACTATGAATGCTAGTTGTAGAGGTGACGCGGAGGGGAAAAGCTTTTTGCATTCTGCGGCTGCGTCTGCGATGGTGGATTCATCTGGTTGGGAGATCAGTTGAGTCGTCGGAAGGATGTGAAGCATTACACACCCAAAACGTCCAGCTTCAATACACGGAGCCTCGCTTCGTCAACGTTGGTGCCATTGAGAAGTTCCTCTTTTGTTTTGTCGAGGTCTTTGCGCGCTGTGACAACGACTGGCGCGTTGGTGGTTTGTAGGACTCTTTTGGCAAGCGCAAAGCCAATGCCTCGTGAGGCGGGCGATATCAAGGACCATGGAGGCATGTTAGATGTAGTGAAAAAATCATTCCGCTATTCTCCTAACATGTTGCAGCCCACATCTAAACATTTGGTTCTCGAATCGATCGATGATGGCATACTTGCTATGCAGATCGGCTACGCTGTCTCGAGCTAGCTTCGATCCTAGCGTCTCGAATGTCGATGCTCTTGAATCTCACCAATCATCGTTGCACAAGGAGATACAGATTTGTGATGGTATAAAACTCGCAATTAAATGTTCCAATTCGAAACGCTTAAGGCCATAGAAGCTCCAAATGCCGTCTACATCAAGGCGTTGACGACCTTCAACTTCATCTTACTTAATCCAGTATGATGTCGACGTCAATGTCGTCCATGTTGATGTCCACGTTCTCCTCCTCCATCTTGACATTCACACTCTCCTCCTCAGCCTTGCGCGCCGCCTCCCTTTCAATCATAATCGGATGGCTCGCAATCTCTTCCTTCATCTTCTTGATGTACAACGCCAGCGCATTGTGGCGCTCGTGCAACTGTGCCAGAGTCTCGCGACCACTAGGCTTCACGTACGTGAAAGGGACGGCAACTTTCTCTCCAGCGATATTCTCTTTGTTCTCACCGCGATCATTGGCGTTGGTCTCGGTCCCTTTGCGGATGGGCAGGGGCTGTTGGGTTGTGTACGTCTTGTCGATGGGCGCCTCGAGACCTCCGCGACCGAGTATTTCCTTTCGTGATTCGTTCATCTCGCTAGAGTATTCGGACGCTTTGCCACTGTGTTGAAGGTGGTTTCTGCGGTCTGGGTGCATCCTTGACTTGATTCGGATTGATTTCCGGGTGTGATGAGCTGAGTTCGTTGGTGAAAGCTGGCCGACAAGTCGAGATTTTCGGTGCAGATGTGATGGCCTGTCAAAAGAGGAAAGATGATCTTAACGCCGCAGTGATAAACCGTATGAGGGTGTGTTCAGGTCGTGGCGTTGATGTTGAGGGAGGAGGGCCGGAGTGCTCGAGACAAGGGGAAGAGACAAGTCTTGTTATGACAACGCGACCGTTTGCTGTTAGGCGCGTGACAGTGATACAATACAAGTGATGGAAGGAACATTACCGGTGATCTCGTTGGATTTTTCCTCCTACACTGCGACAGTTTTCTGAAGAATTCTGTATGAACGTGTACGCGGTGGCAGACTGCGCATAGGTCTTCCATGAGAGAAGGTCTTCCATGAGGCTCATGTATCTGAATGTGTAACACTTCACAGAGGCCCGATGTCACAAGCTAGAGGCATAAAAGCTCGCAAGAAAGCAGCAAAATGAGCCTGCCCATATGCAAACTGAAGTAAACAGTACGAAAATCATGCCCGGAAAACAAACCAATGAAGCACTTCCTGCAGCCAAACCACTCCTCATCTTCGTCTTAGGTAGGTAATCCTGGTCAACGATGAGACGTCGTACTGACCTCGTCTCATGCGCGCCCTGCTCCGGCAAAAGCACCCTCTGTACCTCTCTCGCTGACCGATATGGTCTCGACCACTTCTCCATCGGCAACGAGATGCGCGAGTTCATCAAAGCAGAACCTACAGGCCCCGCTGCTCTCATTAAGCCCACATTCACTGCCGACGAGATCGCAACGTACACGAGGAACGTGAAAGCCAACACTTTAGCTCCGGTCAATCTCACGCCCAAGTATGTCAAAGAACGGATCTTCGGTGTCGGCGCACGTCCCAGCATCGTGTGCGTCCTCATCGATGGCTTCCCGCGCGATGCAGCACGATGGCCATACTTCAAAGACGCCGTTGGGCAGCATTGGAGACCGAGTGAAAAAGCTGTACTTATCGTGTTACATGCCAGTAGGGAAACGACAAAAGAGCGTTTCGAGAAGAGAGGTAGGGCGGGCGACGAGTTTGATAAAAGGTTTGATGAGCACGAGAAGAGCATTAACCCAATTATTGAGGTGATGAAGAGTGATGGGTTGACGATGATTGAGTTGTCCGTGAACCACGGGAGGAGCGCGGAAGAGTTGATTGATGACTTCGAGCAAATGCCAGCGTGGATTAGCGCGCTTGAGGAGAAGTCAACTTCCGCTGTAGACGAGGAGAGCAGTCTCAGCGCGCCCTGAAGTTGTCAATAGGCAGAAGAAATGTAGTCTTAGTTGTTCCGACGGTCTATCATCGCAGCTCTTTCTGTTCCGCAGGCGTGTCCAGTACAACATTGGCCGTTCCTGGAACACCATACATCGCGGGTACCAAAACCTCCTGATTCGCTAGAGCTATATGCGCACGGATTTTTATGGGGTTTAGTTATGTGTGAAAGGAGGAGGTTTGCGGATGATGAAGATGTGAGTTCAACGTCAATGTGATGGTAATCTCCGAGATGGCGGATTTAAGTTGACATGGAATTTCAGCCCTTGGACTTTTTGTTGCCCCACTCACCCCGCGACACGCTCAACACAACGCGCGCAACATGGAGGAAGATCGCGCAGCTACGAATCTGGGCCCAGAGTTAGAAGAGGGTATATCAGAGGAGCCAACCGTAGCGCCGAAGCAGCCAAGGAGAAGATTTGTGGGCAGAAAGACGGCAGGAACGGCGGGCGAGCAGCAAGCGGATCCAAATGCGAACATTGAGGATTCGAGCGCAATACAAGGTGTGAGGCACTTATCTACCTCGACAAGGCGACTGCATGCTAACTTTCGAACAAGTCACCCAGCCTCGCCGTACTGCTCGCGCGCTGAATGCACTCCCCGAATCGCTACTTCACGACCAAGAGATCAACGATGCCATCGCTCTACTTCCACCCAACTACAACTTTGAGATCCACAAATGCATACACCGAATACGAACTTCCGGGGCGAAATCAATAGCCCTACAGTTCCCCGAAGGACTGCTGTTGTTTGCGACCACCATATCCGATATCTTGACACGGTTTTGCCCTGGAACAAGCACACTCATTATGGGAGATGTGACCTATGGCGCATGCTGTATAGATGACTATACAGCAAGGGCTCTGGGATGCGACCTCCTCATTCACTATGCACACAGCTGTCTCATTCCAGTGGCTGTGACCAAGATCGCCACACTGTACATTTTCGTTTCCATCAGCATCGACACGCAACATCTCATTAACACGATTACCGAGAACTTTCCAGCCGGGAGGGCTATCGCGCTTGTGGGTACCATCCAGTTCAATGCCACCATTCACGGCATAGTGCCAATACTACGAAGAGAAGGATACAATCCCATCGTTCCTCAAATTGCACCGCTATCAAAGGGTGAGGTTCTCGGCTGCACATCACCTTCGATGGCGATCAAGGCGGGGCAGTTTAATGCAAGAGGCAAGGAGGAGGAAGTCCCGGACCTCATCTTATACCTTGGGGACGGACGTTTCCATCTTGAGAGCGCCATGATTGCGAACCCTTCATTGCCGGCGTATCGATACGATCCTTACTCGCGTCGGCTGACCCATGAGGTCTACGAGCATGATCAGCTGTACGACTTACGCCGAACAGCTATCCTGACAGCGCGAAAGGCGCGCAAGTGGGGTGTCATTTTGGGCTCATTGGGCCGACAAGGCAATCCACATACATTAACACTGATTGAGAACGAGCTACAGCGGCAAGGCATCACATGCATAAACTTACTAATGTCGGAAATCTTCCCGGGTAAGCTGGCCATGATGTCAGATGTGGAGGCCTGGGTACAAATCGCATGTCCAAGGCTGAGCATTGATTGGGGATATGCTTTCCCTCGGCCGTTGCTCAGTCCCTACGAGGCGCTTGTTGCGTTGGGCGTGAGAGACGCGCCCTGGCTAGAAGAGGAAGGCATGCAGAAGAAGGTGGAGGATAGAGAGAGAAGAAACTTATACCCTATGGATTTCTATGCGAAAGAGGGATTGGGCCGGACAACTATTGAGCGTGTACAAGCGGCTGAGGTAGGAGTCCGAGCATAGCACCTTACAAACGGTCGTCATTCGGCACGGCATCATACATGACAAGATCGCACTTCATTGTCTGCTCAAATATGTTCTACTCTTGCGCGCGGACTTGGCAAACGCTTGCGATCCACTATGTTGACGACTACTTAAGCCGCACTGAATTCCCGCACCCTCTGGCTCTTTAACCAAAACTGGCCACTGACGTCAACCTGGCTAACGGTGAGCTTCAAACTATTTCTTGGGCCTGATAGTGAAAAGGTCCGGCGATAGGAGCCCCAAGCTATTCTGAGCGCCCCTTCTCCACCACAGCCCGACTTCTTCAGCAACATCAATTAAACCAGACTCTCCACTCGACCGGACCAAAGGAGAGCCTCAAGTTTAGGCACAGACATTCACATCCTCGAAGCCAAAGATCTCATCGACGTCTACACCCAACAATACCATAAAGCCACATGACGCAATGAGCATGTCGTCCAACCCGCAGGCAAAGCTGGACATGCATCCAAAGTCACATGACACTCCCAACTCCCGACCATTCGGCATCTACCTGCACACCGACCTCTCCGATCCCACAGGATCAAATGCCACCCTCGCCGTCCAAGCCCCTGATTTCAGTAGCGCCTACGTCGCCCTCCTCCAACACGCCGGCGCGCAAATCGGCGACCGACCAGACTGGGGCGCCACTCGACAAGGCACCAACAACCATGTGTACGAAGTCTCGACCTGGGATAGAGCAGTCGTGATGCGATACAGCATCGAATTACTCCGAGAAGACGAGCCAGATGGCCCGTCTCTCCGCCAGCCTCGCCAGCATTACGGTATGTTTGTCGAACTCAGCGATAGGAAAGAGACATTCTATGTCAGTGGAGCCGAGACGTTGGGCGAGGCGTGTCATGCGATGAAGATGTCTGCAGCGGCATATATCGCGCAACATGCTGGTGTGAAGCTGATGGAGAAGAATGTCGAATTGCTCGATGAAAAAGGTGTCGTGAGGCAGCGGTATGAAGTCCTCAAGGGAAGGAACATCAACGGCAGATTTGTGAAGGAGGACGATTGGATCAATGGGCATGGGGAGGGAGAGGTTCCTGGCGTAGTGCGAGAGGACAAGACACCCATCTTGCGAGCTGCTCCTCCGCCTGCGAAGAAGACGCCGCGTGCTCACCCCAAACACGCACCAAAAGCTACTCCTCTGCCTGCTGCACGAGTCATACTAAACCCTCCCCGTGCCGCACGCGCGCGTACGCCCAACATCGCAGCAGACATTGCACCATCTGCTCCTTCCACTCCAGCTCCGCCTCGACGAGGCACACGTATGTGCACGCCCAATTTCGTGCTAGACCTCGAGCAAGCTGCTCCTCCTCCCCAACTTCCCGGCACTCCAGCTCCACAAGTCCAGCCTGCCACGGCTGAACTCTGGTGCATATGCCGCGCCCCAAACGACGGGCGCCTCTTGGTAGCCTGCGACAACGACGCGTGCGAGACTGAATGGTACCATCCTGCTTGTCTGGGGCTGACGCAGGCACCGGAGGGGAAGTGGTTGTGTCCTATGTGCGCGCCGAGGAGGGGAGGGAAGAGGCGGGGGACAGGGACGCCGGCGCCGATGGGGAAGAAGAGGAAGAAGAGGAAGAAGAGGAAGAAGAGGAAGAAGAGAAAGACTAGGTAGGTGGTGTTGTTGAATGGATCAAGATTGCTGGATAAGAGATTGAAGATGAATGTGTCAAGCCTGGTGCTGGATTACTGAAATGTGGCTAAATCATCCCCTGCGGATATATCAACCGGCCATGGAATTTCTAGTAACGCATCAGCATACTGTTTCTTCTGAGCGATCCAACACCGACGTACACAGTCTTTGACGCATCACTCAAGGGCTCGTAATACCATGGTCTTCTTCACACTGCCCTCGCAGAAAGAGCCTTCACCGCACCCCCTCCTCCCCCCTCGTATACTGCGCCGGCGTCTGGATAACGCGATGCAGCAACTGATGGCCAAAGTACGAGCTGACGACGAAGAAGACGATGATGTAGACAGTGGCGGCATCGATCATCATGATGGCGAAGATGTTGCGTTTAGGAGGGTAACGCTGAGGGTAGTAGTCAGAGTTCAGTGCCAGCGGGAACAGTCACGGCTGCGGATTCCAATCTCACTGTGAAGACTTGTTTGAATGGAAGGAGTTCAATTTGTTCACGGGGCGTAGATAGGGGCACGTGATGCGTCAGCATTGGATGCGGCGCAGCAATGAGATGCGATAGGCTAAGTTTGGAAGCTGTAAATTGCAGAGGAGACTTCGCATGATGTGTTTGACTTTAGGCTGCAGTGAAAATTAAAAGTGATGAGAAGCTGTGAGCATAACAATGGGTATCATATTCGCATATACAAAAACGACGCTGAAACGCTGATACTCAAAGTATTCATCCAATCTTTCTTCGACAATCAGTCGTCTAGCTCGGGCTGCAGCTCGTCGTCTTCGACCATGTCTGGGTCAACTTTGGTGCCCAGGTCCAGGTCTTCCAGGAACGTGCGGCCTTTTATTTCCTCGGGTAGGTAGTCTTGCTTCACCTTGCCATCAAGATAATGTGGGTTGTACTTGTAGTTTTCGCCATAGCCCATATCCTTCATTAGTCTCGTGGGTGCGTTGCGTAGATGGTATGGTATGGGCAGGGCAGCGACACCGGGCTCTTTGAGCGCCTCCATAGCGTTATTTAGGCCGCGATAAACGCGAGTCGACTTGGGTGAGAGTGTCAAGGCTATCACAGCGTGGGCGAGATTTATGCGACATTCCGGCAGGCCTATTTTCTCGCAAGCAGAGTACGTGGCGGTCGCAAGTGAGAGCATTGAGTTGTCTGCTAGTCCGACATCCTCAGACGCAACGACAATCAGTCGCCGTGCTATGTAGCGTGGGTCCTCTCCAGACTCGAGCATGCGCGCCAGGTAGTACAGAGCGGCGTTTGCGTCAGACCCTCGTATCGACTTGTGCATGGCGGATATGCTGTCGTAGTGCTGGTCGCCGGCACGGTCGTACACAAGTGTCTTGGTGAGGCTTTGTAGAATCTTCTCCTTGGTAATTTCAGGGCTCTTGGACAAGTTCATGGCCAGGTCGAGAAGGTTCAGGGCAGTTCGCGCGTCACCGTCGGAGAAGCGAGCAAAGTATTGCAACATGTCCTTGTCGATGAGCGGCGATTCGCACTTCTCAGCCACGGCTGCTCGCTCCAGTATGCGCACCAGGTCTGGCTCCTTCAGGTCGTCGAGCGTAAAGGTCCGACATCGCGAGAGCAAGGCGGAGATGACTTTGAAGGACGGATTTTCGGTAGTCGCAGCAATCAGGGTGATGATGCCAGATTCTACAGGTCCCAGAAAGGCGTCCTGCTGCGTTTTGGAGAAGCGGTGCAGCTCGTCACAGAAGACGATTGTTTTGCGGCCCGTGAGCTGCAGGTCTCTTGCCGCCTCTCCGAATATCTTCCTGACTTCCTCCAATTTTGTGCTTGTGCTGTTGATCTCGACGAAGCGGGCACCCGATGTGTTGGCAATCAGCCGGGCAATGGTGGTTTTGCCTGTCCCCGGTCGTCCCCACAGGACCAAAGAGGGCAGCTTCCCCTCGTTGACCATGCCTCGCAGGATGCCATTGGGTCCGACCAGCTCCTGCCCGCATACATCGTCTAGCGACGTCGGGCGCATCCGCTCGGCCAGCGGCATGGCATCCTCTACCACCTTGAGCCGCTTGGCTCGCTTGGCCGCTATGGGCGATTGACTGGCGCCATTCGTCTGCCCTTCTGTCGCATCGTCGAGTGAGCGCTTCGTGGCTGGCGGTGCTGGCGGTGCTGGTGCTGGTGGCGTCTTCGGGCGTTCTGCTATGCGCTGTGTCGCTTGCGGTAGGGGGGGTGAAGACGTCGGATGGCCATTTCTCTGTGTCGCCGATGGCTTGCGCGTCCCAGGTGTGAAGAAGCTGTGAGTCTTGCCCGGGTTTGGCGTGTTGACCGGTTCTTGCTTGACCTCCTGCTCCAAGAGGTGTTCCTTGCAGTCGCTGTCAAGATGCTCGTTGATGCGGTTGTCTTTGACAGGCTTGCTGCAAACAGGACACTCGACCATGTCGACGATGAGTGGACAACTATTTACGCGACGCGAGGTAACGCGCCTGCCGCTATCGGCCTAAATTCGGAGGAGCTGCCCGCTTGATGACGGCATACCACGGAGGTAATTGTTGAAGCACGCAATTGTCGCAGGAGGAAGAGTCAGTCTTTTGGTTGCTGGACAGACTTTGCTTGCAACTGGCCATGCGCAGCCTTGCAACTTCAGCTTCTCGTCATATCCGACCTGTCGTTTTTAGAGCCCAGTGCCCCACCAACTTGATCCCTCTACGAGCCATGTCAGCCACCACACGGCGCGAAGACCCCTTCAAGCCCGCGGCAAGAGTCGCAGGCCAGAAGCAGGATGTCTGGTAATACCTGTACGACACGGTCGCACTATCAAAAGCTAACACGTCCAGGTCAATTGTCAATGAAGCGGCGGCGGCTTCCCCAGTCCAGCCCATTGTCAATATGGGCCAGGGCTTCTTTGGCTACAATCCTCCCAAATTCGTCCTCGATGCTGCAAAATCCGCTCTCGATCAGGTCGACTGCAACCAGTACTCGCCCACCAAAGGCCGACCGCGCTTAAAGAAGGCCATTGCGGACGCATACTCCCCGTTCTTTGGCCGTACACTTGATCCTGACAAGGAAGTCACCATCACGACCGGCGCAAATGAGGGCATGCTGTCAGCCTTCATGGGCTTCCTGGAGCAAGGCGACGAAGTCATTGTCTTTGAGCCCTTCTTCGACCAGTACATCAGCAACATTGAGATGCCCGGTGGAAAGGTCGTGTACGTGCCTCTGCACCCACCAAAAGATGGCGCAACCAAGACCACATCCGCGTCAGAATGGAGTCTAGACTTGAAGGAATTGGAGGCAGCCATTACACCAAAGACACGCATGATCGTCCTCAACTCCCCACACAACCCCATCGGCAAGGTATTCTCAAAAGAAGAGCTACAGGCTATTGGCGACATCTGCGTCAAGCACAACATCATCATCCTTTCCGATGAAGTCTACGACAGACTGTACTACGTCCCGTTCACACGTGTCGCAACTCTGTCGCCTGAGATCGCCAAACTCACATTGACAGTCGGATCAGGAGGAAAGAACTTCTACGCGACGGGCTGGAGAGTAGGCTGGCTAATCGGCCCTGAACATCTCATCAAGTATGTCAGTGCAGCACATACGCGCATTTGCTACAGCAGTGTATCGCCGCTCCAAGAGGCGACGGCCATTGGCTTCGAGCAAGCCGACGCGCACGGCTTCTGGGACGAGTCCAAGAGGGAGATGAAGGCCAAGATGGACAAGTTCACCGCCATCTTCAAGGAACTAGATCTCCCGTACTCTGACCCTGAAGGTGGCTACTTTGTCCTGGTCAACATGTCCAAAGTCAAACTACCGGAGGACTACGACTTTCCACCACATGTAGCTGAGCGGCCTCGTGACTTCAAGCTCAGTTGGTTCCTGATCAAGGAGGTTGGTGTTGCAGCAATTCCTCCGACTGAGTTCTTCACACCAGGTAACGCACACATTGTTGAGGACTGGCTGCGGTTCGCAGTCTGCAAGAACGACGATGTGCTGGAGACTGCTATGGAGCGCTTACGCGGATTGAAGAAGTATATTCAATAGAATACGAACGTAATTACATAACACCCCATCAACTTAGTCCCAAACATCCCCAACAGCAATCCCTTCTGATCCCATCACTGCAAGTCAAAACCAGATATTCATCACCACAAATTCCACACCGGAAATCAGCATCTCGAAACGTGATTAAATATCCCCCAACGGAATTCCCTCGCCTAAATCAATTCTCATTACACGTCCAACTAACCGCCCGATTATCAAACCGCCTGCCCCTCAGATTACTGCTCCCCGGCCAAATCAGCTCATCCATTTCGCCCCCGCAATCCGCCTTGTCGTAGAAATAGCACGTCTGGTGTCTATCTGGCTGGATCGACGATATACTGCCAACATACTCCGCGGGGAAATTGTGACATGTTTTGGTCGTGTCTTCGAACTTTTGACACGTGCCCATGAGATCGACGTTGGTGCAGGCGTAGAAGTGGCCAGGCGTCGAGTCAGGATCCGTGGGCGGCGGGGCGGCGGGTGGTTTGCTGGGCTTCGGGAGGGGGAGGCCGATGGTTATTGTGCCGGTGGGTTTGCGTTCATCTACGGCGGAGACAAGCGTGGTGAAAATGGTGACGAGGATGACGATTGTTGTCTTCATTGTGTATTCTGGTGTCTGAGTCTATAAAGACGTTGATTCTCGATTATGGTCTTAGACTTCTAGTTCGGAACCGTGTATTTGTGAAGCGGCATGATATGGCACTTCATCATGGTTGGGGAGCGATGCGACTCGTGAGTGACAAAGGAATCTAAAAGAAGAAAGAGAAGAGAAAGAGGAGGACAATGCAGGTCACATTGGTGCAAATTTGTCAAAGACTTGAATGGGGTATATTTCTTTGTTATGGGACGCGCATGGCCCGATCACACCGGCTGACTTTCGTACGTGTTACTAAAACACTTGTATCAGTCCTCGTCATCATAAACTTCTCGATCCTGAAAGACCAGGAAATCTCCTCCCTCGCCGCCCATGATCTTCTCCCATACATCTTTGACATGATCAAATATGTTATCATCGAAGGCCAGGTCGGCGGAGGGAGGTGGGAAGCGCAAGACGCGATCGTCGTTACCCGTGGGTAGCACCTCTGTACCTGACGTTGGTCGCTGTTGATACTGTGTTGACCAAAGCAGGCTGGGAGCTGGCGACACGTCTACAGAAGCCAGGAGAGTGTCGACGGCTCTACTGAGGAGCTGGAAACCCAAGCTTACCACGTAACGCCCGTAGATGCATATAATACGCCCTATACTCCGATCCAGTATGAGGACCAGGAAAAATGTGTAATCGACAGAAACAGATTTATAAGCCGTGATCAGTTTGTCAGAGGATGTATTATCGTCAAAGAAATTCAGACAATGTAGATAAGGTATTCGTAAAGTGTATCATCAGAACAGCAGAGGGTATAAAAAGGAAGAAATAACTTACATTGACCTGAAGGGCATTCGCCCGTGTCGCTAGAGTGCACCAGGATTTGCACGGGTGGTGGATTACCAGCGGGCGACTCGAGCGAGATTGATCCAGACGGGAAAGCGACCACGGCCGAAGCTGGCGCCGGAGCGTCTTCGGCAAGCGGAGGAAATAGTGGTGCAAGTGATGAGAACACGATGCTTATCGATCTGCATAATGCCTCTTCCGGTGTAGCAGAAGTGTTACCTCCCACGATCCACTTCGCAGTGACAACTTCACCGTCTTTCAGGCGAAGTTTTATGCCATGCTCTGTAGTCTCCGTGGGATCTGTATTGGAAGAATCAAGGCCTTTTCCAAGGACATAGACTCCACCACCCACAGCACAGGCGCGACATGAGACCTGGCTGATCTCAGCTAGGCCTCCCCACTTGGGAATGACCGCTCCAAAGCCCGCGCCGAACACACCGATGGATCGCAGGTGCCTCGCGATTCGTGGCAGTGCGTATTCGGTTGTCGTCTGGTCTGGTGGACTCGGCGACAAGGTGAGAGCCATCAACGGACCCTGCAAGCTGGTTGGGACCTTGAATTGCTGGGACAGGAATGTTGAGAACGGTTGTTGGCGATGTTCCTCCCAGACCTCAACCTGCTCCTCGTACTCGCCGATAAAGCGAAGGAACTTCATCAAGGCACGCTTTGCCTTGAAGTCGAGGTCGTGGTCCTGGAAGACATCTTCCCGTCCATTTGGTACCTTCAGTAACTTCCCAGCTCGGTGCGTGCTTTCAGACTCGAGGGTGTCATCCCCTGTGTCTGAAGCATACACCCTACCAACTGCCGACGGCAAGAAACTCAAGCTGTCGGTAGACCCGTGATGAGACTAGGGCGCTGAAGAAGCGTCGAACGGGCGTATATGAGCTGGGGACCGAGTGCCAGACTGTACGCCCTGGGACGCAGACAATGCTAGGCTTGAACCATCCGCGTGAGCAGCGTCTGGCTTGGGTGATGGAGACATACTGAGAAGGCAGCAGTAGCTGCTCCTACAAGGTCATTAGGAGTCGCAGCCGGCGCAGGTGGAGTATGGCTTACCTGTATTTACTCTCTGAGCCCACTCTTCAGCTTCTTGTAAGCTGAAGGCAGCCTCGGCACCCCCGTAGTAGTCATTCTCGTCGATGTGGAGGATTTTCTTGTCGGATCGCGACAGAGCTCTTCATGGGCTGCGTCAGTCAGATCGCACCCGCCAGCTTCAGGTATCGCGATAGACATACAGGGCAAGCAGCGACTGCTGCAGGCCGGTGCCGACAATCAGCACATCCCATTCGGTATTGTCGAGAGTGTCCATGTTTTCCGTGCAGAAAAGTGAGTTGGAAGGAACGTCCTAGCTCCATGCTTAGCGCGAGTATGACTAAGCCGGCTTGGTCAACAAAATTTTCCGACCGGAGCCCAGGAGCTTTCTTTCATCATCGCGCACGCTGAGGACATGGCCGCTACACACGACATGTCTACAAAGCACCAGGTCTTCACTGATCTGAGCATGTGCGCGAGAGAAGAAAACCTCGTCCGGTATCTACTGCTTCGGATTTTACCTGAATTAGCGGCTCGAATGTGGCGAAACATCCATTTGCTTTGACCGAAGCTTGAAAGACCAGCTTTTGTGATATGTTCATTTCCTTTGCGTCGGTGGTCTAGACGTGACGTCTACTGACATAAACAAGTGTCTGCACTTGAAGGACAGCGTCGACGTATGCCTCCAGCAGGCATTTTGACGGTCGCCAAGTTATGTCAACGGCATGCTCGACGGCCTGCTACTCATGGTCCTAAGTTATTAGCTTGTCATCCCAAAGACCGCCTTATCTTACGTTTGGCTAGTTGTGTAGTGATCTAGCAATATTTCGCTTGGGTGTTGGAACAACCGTTACTTGGAGTTGCTTTCCGAACCAAACAGCAGGGACAAGAATCTTGCGGGCATGAAAATGTTATTTGCGTAGAGTTCCACAGTTACGTGGACAGCAAATAGAAGCCTCTACATCATATCTGAGTCCGTTCAGGCTGACCAGCAGTTCACTCACCTACACACCACAGCTCCCATTGCCTAGCATGGCGGTATCATCAGGGTATCGAAACATCACGCTTAACCTTTCAGGGCGTGGTCCAATAACACCACAGCCTATTTTGTTGCAACAACAATCTGCACTTCTACACACAGCGCCCCGAAAGCAGCCGGGGAAGGACACTTCACAATCTTTATCACCGTCACGGAACCAAGGTTCTCTAAGGTAAGGAAACTCCGTGCAAGGTACGAATGGATGCAGAGCCTCGCCTTATGCAGGGTCAGACATTTCCTGTACACAATGCTCCTATCCAGCGTCTGGATTGTGGCGTAGCCTCACATGCAGAGGGACCCAATTACATCGCAAGACTGTCATCACACCTGAAATTACAGGTACTGTAATCCAGCAACCTTCTGAGGTTTTGCCTTGTACTACAGGTACTTCAGCTCAGCAACTTAGAAGGCTTCTACGTAGTCCAGGCTTATCGCTTGCGGATCAACGGTGTGACTAGAGGATTTCGGCCACACTGTAGGGCGCCTGATTGGGAGCGATTCCTCGTGATGCCGACTCCCACATCGGCATATACCCTAGTGCCGAAGTTGCCGGTCATTTGCTTCTTGAGCACGTCGTGGTAAAATATGCGCATTATATGCACAGACGTAGTATTGCGCCGTACTTCAAGATTGTCGAGTAATGGTTGTACTGTGCTATTATCGGACAAAGGCGCGCCTTGCTAGCTAGTCTGGATGTAGAGTTCATTCCTATCGATAGAGACTTGACGTTGACTCATTACTGCTGATACGTAGTCATTCATGCTTGAGTCAGGGTTGTGTTGTTCTGCAGAGCGTTTCCATTGTTTATAAATATCAGTTCGTGACCATTAGATAAGTTTGCACACACACACACACACACACACACACACACACACACACACACACACACACACACACACAAGTCGAGCCACGAGCTAAATTCTAAATTTGAGCACGTCTAAGACTATGGGAAACATCTACGACACCGTCCGACTGCCTAAGGATGCCGGCGGTACGCTTCTCAGCTCTCTCGCTACCAAGTTCCGCGCATTCAAGCTCCATGCACTTCAAGTTGCCCCGGAGGCTTTTCCAGCAGAATTAGATAGCGAATCTCGTCTTCCACAATCGACATGGCTTAGTAGGATTGCCGAACCAAGCACGACAATATTGATCTGCGTCACGACCGAAAAAGACGGGGACGAGGAACCATCAATGTCTGGCGACAAGCAGTTAAGAATCTTGCTGGACGGCGAGTGGATAGGAATGTTTACCATGATTGGCCCAGTCTCTCGCGACGACTACATCTGGCCTGAGTCCGGTCAACCAGAACCAGGCCTCGAAGGATCAGAGACCCGTTGGCAACTTACGAGTCTTTTCACGCTGCCTGCGTATCGCGGCCATGGTATCGCGAAACGGCTTATCGAAGCAGCAATCAGATTTGGGAAAGTTGTATCTGATGAGATGGGAAGAGCATCCGAGAGAGATGTCCAGACGCGCATCAGGCTTGTCGTACATCCAGACAACACGGGCGTTGTCAAGATGTATGAGAAATTTGGGTTCGTAGACAGCGCAAGGATGACAGTAGCAGAAGCTTGTATTGCAAATGGAGCTGCGGACGTAGTGCCTAGGTATGCTGATCCTAAGAAGTGGCACAGTAGGTTTGGCGTTGCTATGGAAATCCTAGTTTAGTCAAGAATTGCGACTGGTGTCTAAGTGTCTTTCCTTTAGACAAAAGGCAAATGCATCGAGGAATTTTCTCGTGCTTGTACGCGCATAGACATAGCATTCCTGTCTCATTGTCTCATCGAGGATGCTCTGCAGCTTTCAGAGTCGCCTACCAAAGATGTCGACTGCCAAATATACGTCAGCGCGTCCTGCGGCAACGCATTTGGGGTGGGCTGGGGAAAGGAGGTCCCGGTCGGGATGTTTCAGCTACGTAAAATGCGAACCCGAAGCTTTCGTATCTTTCAAATGTATATGTTATTCCTTCCTCTACCATGCCCACGAAGATTAATTATATGAATGGCTAATAATAACTCCATCCAATCCCAAGCTTGACCAAAGAAGTAATAGTGTTTTAGCGAAGAGGGCCGCAAGCACCTCCCAGGCCTGCACAGGACCAGAGGTCCTTTGGGATCTTTACTACCATCATAGTCGAACGGTTATCCCTCTTTATGCTCGAGATCGTCATATATCTCAACATTGTGTCAAGCATGGCGTGTCTAAAAGAGAGAAGATCAAAAGTTAATCTAACAACAGCACTGTCTCATCTCACATAGCCAAACATAAAAAGTTCGGCGTTATACCTATGTCCAGCAAGGTTCGGATGAAAGCATCAGCTATCAAACGTCTTTCTGGGCACCAGCCTATGGGGATATTGTGCAAACTATCGAGAATCTGATCACTCTTCCGCAATACCAAAGTCATTTTCACGCCAACCGCGGTTACATTGCACTTCCCATCCATACAATTCAATCAGCGCTTCAAGTTCGACACCGTAATGCACACCAGATTTGCGGGAATATACATCATCAAGGAACTCGATCTAGAATTCACAACCAAGCGATGAATCCTTGCAGCATGTCACTCAAGTTTAGCGATTGTGACATCGTCCCAATACATACAGGTTGTAGGAATACTCTCGAAAGTCCAAGTCACAGATCTATTGATTGTATAACTCCCAAAGTAACTTTCAGCGCATTGAAACTTGAGAATATGTAACCCCTTACAGTGAAAGTCACTAACGTATCGGGACGAGGGAGTTGCTTCTTAAAAACTCCTCATGTACTCGTATGTCTTCGTTGTTAAACGTAGACTTATACACCGGTCGTGATTGCATTGAACTGTCGCCAAAAGAGCCGAAGTAGTCCTTCAACACAGTACTGCTCTCAAATCCATTCAGTAATGCTTTCCATTTCTGCGCATCTGAAAAATCACTTTACGGTCTCTGCCTGTTAGCACTGCCATATCTTCACTCAAATCCACACTATCAGAAGGCCCTGATGTAGAGCACCTCTCTCAATCCCTGCAGTCAGGCGTGCCACTAAATAGTGAGACCAACATCACTGCTGCAATCTTCAGGGGCACTGTATCAGGGAGAACTGTACCACTCCGCTCAGTGACATGGCGCGCCTGTTGAGTTGAAACATGTCAGCCTCCTTCCTCTTCTGTGTGATGAAGACATGGTCATTGCGGCCTTTCACAACAATGACAAATTCTCTTTTACCATATTGCTTTCGTAAGCCATTACGATAAGTTCGTCATTCTATCCGACACAGTGGTATGTATCAGATAGTCTTACTTTCGTAAATCATGATGATTAAGTCGTCATCCTATCCGGCACAGCGGGATATATCAATGAAGTCTTACTTTATTATGCCGAAAGCACGAAGCCAACAAGCAACCATGCTAACCTACGTAGCTGCACGTATATACGCAAAGGTAATTGACACAAACCCCTCGCAGCAGCTGAAAGCATTTCAAATACAACCAGTTTTTATACAAAAGTAGCAATCCCATGCGGGTTTGCCTCATCCAAACCTTAATGCTCTCCCCACACAAGCTTTGCGGGGATGCGATTCTAACACCTGCATGCACGATGCCCGTTGATCCGAGAGAAATAGACTTTCGCAGAATTGGATTCGATCAACGATCTGTCACTTTCGGCTGATTGTCGCCGGAAGTATCCTGCTCCGCAGAACGGTCGTTGGTTTTTAAACTTTGAGACTGCCATCGCGTTCCGCGTGTGTGCCGATTATACAAGGTCTAACCTGCCCATTTGGACACCGCAGAGTTCAACACTGCCTCTTTGAGATGCTTGCTGCCTTCCTTGGATAGAGCACATGTTCAGCTTACTTCCTCCCGAGAAACTTCACACTAGTCACTTGATAGTGTGAGTGTGCTCAGCCCACGGGGGTCATCATTCCGATGTTACATTATCATCAGCCAACTTTCCTCTCGTCCTATCGATAGCAAGGACAGAGAATCCATAACGGCGAGGGTCGGCCCACGAGGGGCAGTGCTTCGCAAACGATCCAGGCATATCCTTGCGCTCCAGGTCCGAGGAATGTGAACCACTGACTAGCTAGCCGTTCACGACCCTCCTCGAAAGCATCGATGCTGCTGCCCAAATTAAAAGGAGTCGTTTGCAAGCAGAAAAAGCGTCACGAGACGGGCAGGAACTTGGGGTGGAAGCGTTTCTCCATCTCCGCAAGCAAATCAACGCATGACTATGGCGTCCAAATTTTCCCCTTCCCCCTTGGCAACAACCTTCTCGGCAAATTCTGAAAATCGCAAACCATGCCATGCCTTGGACCGTTTCCGCGCTGTCATCCCTTGGGGAGTGATTCGTTCGAATCCCGTCACCGCTAAAGCAGGTACCTCCCCTCCCCACCTGCCCCAGCCTGTCACCGTCCACGGGTCACCGTTGAATACTTTGGTACGCTAGACACTAGACCTCGACACTATACACGCTTGAGAAAGGGAGCGTGCGGCGCGGCCGAGACTTTCGGGCAAATGTCTAGTCATGTTCGCCCGTGGAGTTTGTGGGTGGTCGCAGGTTGGGTTTGGGTGAGTGTGCGTGACAGATATGCAGGGAGGTGTGTGGTGAGGTCAGTACCAAAGTAAGGTGAGACGGCCGACCCAGCCAGCACAAGACAGACGAGCTAGATTCTGACTCGGAATACGGAGGCCAGACAGACAAGTGAGCTGATGACGATGGAATCGTGAGATTTGTCCACGAGACCCGACACCATTCGCTCTCAATCCGCAAGCCATACACACCGCTCTCTCCCCTCCATCTCTATTCACCCTTATCCCTACTCCACCGAACATGTCCAGTGAGCAAGCGTCCCCCCACTTGCCCCCTCGGAGACAGTCAAGGCTCCAACACTGGTTGGCCACCCAGTACCACGGCATTCCTTGTCGATAAAATTCCAGCTTGGTACACTAAGCTACGCAGACTCTGCATTTCCGATACGTTCGCGCTACGCAGCCAACAGACTTGCCCTGCTTCCGATGCCGCTGCGTCCCGTGCCTATTACACTACTCAGGGGAGCGGTACGTTTGTCAGCCCGCGCCCAGCCAGCGGCGGTGTGAAGGAAGGATGAAGGAAAAAAATTTGACCTGCCTCATGTGTCGAGTTTTCATTCGGCACATGGTGGTTATGTGCGGGTAAAATCTTGAGAGCCACGTGCTTTTTGTACGACTGTGGATGCCACGAGATCTGACATGTGCGAGACGTGACTAGATGTTGATGTGGTACGTGCTAGTCCTAAAAAGTGCCTTCCTTCGACAGGAGGTGATGGTGGCAAGAACGACTGGAGATGATTAAGATGTGACGTGGTTGGCTGTGGATGTTAGACAACCCTCCGTAGTCTCGTAGATTTGAGGCTCAATGAGCATGATTGGATCAACAGTTACCTGGCACTTCGGATACGTGTCCCACATCATGAGAGTATAGGATATGTGAAATGAACGAATTGGTGATAGGTATTTTCGATCAACTAAAGGAAGAAATACTATGATACGCGGATCTTGCTGTACGTTGCATCGCAGAACAAAAAAGTCAGATTGCCACCCAAGTCCCGCCCCAAGTTTGTTTAAATCAAATGAAAACCCCAATCCGAGATCGCGGTAGAGACAGCAGAGAAAAAACGTAACCGAAAGCCAGAGTAATTCTGAAACTATGCAAAAAGCACAAACAACCACTTGTTCCCAGCAAAATGCAATGAAGCACTGATGCTGGCCCATCCCAATCTCGTTGTGATGCATACTTGAAAAGGATATTTCAGGACAGCCTCCGAGACGCAACCCCGTAATCTAATATTCGCGATAAATTTGCAGATTTCCGCCCAGGTTCGTGTGTAGTAAAAAGAGATAATGGAAATTCGAGCGCTTGCCGCCCAGACTGAGAAATTGTGACTCGCATGCTGAAAATGGCGCTCCAGAGGATAAGAGTCACCAGCGAGATCAATGAGACTCAAGCGAATTTGCCTGCTCATTCGAGGAAATGGGAACAAGGAGAGCATGATCCGGGAAGGACAGATGGGGTATTAAAAAGGTTGGTTTGTGCTCCTGGCCGCTATAAAGTTTTGAGAAGCCCGCCTGAATGTCGCTGTTGCATTGCCTACGTTTCGTTACGAGCACGGGGCCGTAGCCACGAGAAATCGCGAGTGTGCACAAGTTGGAAGCATCCAGACGCAGCTGCGATTTCCGCATTAGGTCGCCCGAGAGGGTATGCTCATGCAGAGGCCGGCTCTGGGGCATTGCTGTGTTTGGAGGAGATTACATCGGACGACGGTTAAGCATGTTGAGCATGCTTGAATCGGTCGAGCTGCGTCCAGCTCCGTTATCGCTCACAAGATCGTTGATTCGCATGCTCGGCCTGGTGGCAGAAGCCTGCGAAGTTGGCGGAGGAGTTCTTCCGTCACTGCGCGGTGGGGGAGGCTGCAGAGGCGCATAGCCGGATGGAGCGCCGGGTGTGGTGGGTGCTTGCGAGTGTGGAGAAGAGGAGGCGCGGCTCGGCTCATAACGATATGCGCCCTGGGGAGACGACTGGCGCGGCGGCGCTGCAGTGTAGTAGGGCTGGGACGCGGGTGGAGGAGCGCTCGAGTATGGAGGAGTGGGAGTGGCTGTTGAAGCACCTGGAGTTAGAGAGGGAGGCTCTGGATAGGCATAGTCAGGCCCACCGCGATGAGGCACATGCGAAGCAGCTGCGCCTGGAGTTGGCGGTGGCAGAGTGGGAGTGTGAGGCTCTGGGTGAGGCCTCTTCCTGCCGATCTGCTCACGGCCTGCTTCATCATGAGGAGCACCGGGTGGACCATATTCAGAATGAACTGGGTACGGACCTGCAGTTGGGCTAGGCAAGTAGCCCTGCTGGCGAGGCTGCTGCGGTGGCTGCTGGCCGTATGCTTCGGCATGGCTCGCGGGAGGGAGCGGCTGGCCATATGCGCCATACATGGGCGGTGGCTGCCCAACACCCCGCCAAACCGTGTGTGCAGGAACAAAAGCCTGTGTCTGCGCAGAGACAGGCGTGAAGATGCAATCTTGGTTGAACCTCATGCAGTTGGAGCAGCGGCCGTCCTCGGTGGCCTCGAAGCCAGAGCAGCGAATCTGTGCGTGGTCAGTAAGAGGGCGTAGTGATTGCGTCGCTTAGTGGTACCTTTCGGCGTCTGCAGTACCGACAAGCAATGGCGGTTCGCTGGCGCGGCGCGGGTGGCTGGTGGTGCTGCTGCACATACTGCGGCGGAGGAGCTTGCTGGGCATACGGGTCGGGCGGTGGAGGACCGCGATTCCACTCATTGGGGCCTGGCAGACGGTACTGGGGCTGCTGGTACTGGGGATGTTGGCGGGCAGCCATGTCGGCGCGTGGCTCTTGAGGCGGTGGGGGTGGGAGCGCAGATTGCATCTTGGGAAGCATCAAATGTCAGCAGCTGACGGCGGTGAGGTGCGCGGCGCTGGTGGCAAGCACAAAGCACAAGCAGGTAGACTTACATGGCCCGGTGGGGGATATGCGCCGTTGGCAGGCTGCTGGGACGTTGGTGGTTGCCAATGGGTGGGCAGCTGGCCTGGGGCGCCCTGGTGGTGAGGGAACATGGTGGTGTTGGTGCGGTGCTTAAGCGTGGTTGGGTTGACGTCTGTCTAGTAAAATGCCACCCAGAAAACGTGCAGGCTGTCACGCAGTCATGAACCGGTGCAAACACGAGGCGGGGAGAGTGTCGAGAGACGGCGGGCGCGGGACTGGCAGGCGTCGTGGGTGGAGGTGGAGGCGGAGGTGGATGTGGAGGTGCGGGAGATGCTCTGTCTGAGAGCGGGTGAGGTGTCACAAATACAGGCGGGCCGCAAGGACGGCTGCAGGTCAGAGAATGGGCAGTGCAAAACGGGCGGCAATTGCAGGGCCAAGACAGGCTCTTGACGCGACGACAACAGGCAAGGGCGGCGGGCGGTGGGGTGGTGGAGGGATGCAGGCTCCGGGTGGGAGCAGAGGGCAGAGGGCAAGGCAGGTGAGGTCGCTGGTGAGAGGCGGCGGTGGTGTAGGAAAGGCTTCTCGAAGCGCGTGGAGGAGGCCCGAACAAGTGTGGAAGCGAAAAGGAGATTCAGCGGGATGGCCGTGGCCGTGGCCGCTATTACTACCCACGGCGGACGCCCGACATGGCACTCCAACCTGCCCAAACCCAAACCACTCTCGCCTTATAAACTGCCATGGCATGGCGCTAGCCCCTGCAAGCGTGAATGCAGCGACACCGAGCGGTCCGCCTTTTTACCGCAGTAGCACGTCTTAGCGCGGTTGGCGGCAGCAGTCGATGCGGCACAAGAGCAGGCATGCGACGACAGCGACGTGCAGTGCAGCATGCTGAGCGACGTGATGATATACATGCACCCACACTGCGCACACATACATATACACCCACCAACACCACCGCGAGCGCCCCCAGGCGCACACAAGCGGCGCGGGTACAGCATGCGCCTACACGAGCGCTTGTGTCTCGTCGCACGCGCACGCCGCCTTCGTGTGGCCGCCCCCGTCGTCTGCGCTGAACAAACACCAACACGCGCAAGGGAGCGCGCGCCCGTCCCCGTCATCCTCATTCCCCCCTTTCAGCGCGCTGCTTCTGCGCTGGCTGGGGCGGATGACTTGCCTGGAGCGAGCCAAGCAGCAAGCTGGGGTCAAGGCCTCTGCATGGCTTTGCAGCGGCCCGGACTCATCAGACACGGGCGCTGCCGTTCTCGCGCTTGTGATCTACGAGGAGAGCCTTTAATCATCCACGCCGCCGCAATAAATCATAGCACCACCTCCCTCGCCCGCCTTCTCTTTGTTGTCGTCTGTGCCACAGGGCTGCATGCGCACAGCGCTTGCTCACGCCCAGCCTTTCGACGACGGCACCGTGGCCTCACCCTCCTGCAGCCAGCTCGCCCTCGACAGCGCGGATGCAAGGAGCATGGTGGGACCACCTCGGGCAGTTGGACTGCACGATTCGTTGGCGGCCCGTCTCTGCGTCGCGCCGTTCGTTTGCACCATGCCTCTCGACAGCTCACGAACCACGGCACGAGCCTGCCTCGCACGCCTACGGCCGTCCGGTGAGCCCTGCTGCACCAGTGTGCGAAACTCGCCCTTGGCCGAAGTGACGATAGTCGTTCCATCCACACTGTGGCCGCAGCACGCCCGCATCGCGAAGTCAATCACCTGTCTGCGCAGGGTAATGCCGGCGCGTCCTGACTCTCCATCTGTCGCAATTAGTGATAGGGCTGGTCCGCTCCTGCATCGGTCGATTTCCTGTTGGAGGACTTTTGCCAAACCCTGCCCTTGCGAAAACGGTCGCTGTTGGTGTGCCACCATGACCAGTGACCAGTGACGTGAGCAGCCTCGTTAGTTTACCGGGCAGGGTCAGCACGCTCACTGTGCGACTCGCACGCTTCAGGCAACCCGTCAGCAGCCATTCCAACCGAGTGACGGAAAGCCTCGTCTTGTGAAACCTTCCATCTGTTCACAGCAGCTGCATACCCATCGCCACAGCCCGTAAATAATAGAGCCGACGCTGACCCACTGAAAACCTGCTACAGCACGGTAGATAGAAACTTTCTGGTCGGACGTTGCTTCTCAGCTGCCATTGCTCGCTGCACGCGAGAGGAGCTTGCGACGCATCAATGTGGCCCTCAAATCATCGTCCAAAATCTGACACCCACAATTTCGTAGATCGTTATCCTTTGCGCCGGCGACGGCTCGCGAACTGCTACCCATGGTCCTGAGCTCCTTTGCGCGCCTGATTCGCTGGCTCCACACAGGCCGCGCATCCAAGTAAAGAGCGGCGAACGACTGCTCACCTGCCGGTCATCCCGCTGCTGTGACGACAGTCGGACAAGTGCGGATGTGCGCGTCCCAGTCCGTGGAGGATAGCGAAGCAAAAGCCACCTTGGCCGCCGCTTGACACTGCCAGTCATCGAGCCTCGGCAGCCTGCAGCTGTGTTTGACTGGACTGCAGCCGTGACCACTTTTTCAACGAGCTCGCCGATCAGAATTGTCGCCCGTCCCTTGGTCTGACTACTCATCAAAACGCCAGAACAATCTCTGGTTGTGGCTCTGCTCGGCCCGCCGAGCACAATCTGCCTGACCCATGGCCCAGGTCCTAAGAACTATAATCGACCAATCAGCACTAAACTCTGCCATTTCTTTCGTCTTTATTCCTGAATGCTTCAGCAGCCTGTTCCTTGCATAGAGCCGAAGGATGACGGGTAAATCTTCGTCGTGCCGTGTGCGGAAAAGAAAACCTTGCGTGGTCATCAGGTCACAAGACGTGGCTAGCACCGGTCAAGGCCGTCCTTCACAATCTCTCAACCTCCGTCACATATTGATCTGTTGTCTGCAGGAAGCTGACCTGACGTGGCCAATCGCACATCATGGAACACTGTTGTAGTTTGATTGACCAGCACACCGCAATTCGACACCCGACGCTGTCACGAGTACTGCTGGGAGCAGTCAGCCTGGATCGACTTTGTGCCGAAGGGTCGCTGCTGCGCTGGCGAGATAATTCCAGATGAAGAGCATTGTCCTCATGCATACCGAACTGCCGTCTCAGGCAACTCAGTAATGTCCTGTGTTACACCGACTGTGTGGTGCAGATTGTGGGGTAGCAGGTGCCCAGGGTGCGATCCTCAGCCGCCTGTGGTTTAGCACCCACGCGGATAGCAGCACCCGCGCACCTTATGCTCGCGGCACGAAGCGCAGCCAGTTCATAGCCTCTGACGCTTCGGGAGGTTCCTCAAACAGCGGATAGATACATAACTTGTGCACTATGATATTCCAGGTGAAACTTACACGGCCCGGGACGATACGTCGGAGCCGTCCATCGATGTTAGATTAACGAACCTTGTGTCACCAAGGGCGTTGACTCTTGTGCGGAACGGATATGCATGGCATAGATGATGGGATGTGGAGCTTGCAGCTCTGTCAGACTGCGGGTAGCGATCTTCACCACTCGTCGTACAGACGTCTTGTGCTCCCGTAGTGTCTGCAGGTAAAATCCAAAGCAGGACATCATGTGCGCCTACTTATCGTTGACAATTCCGAGCCATGTTCTGTGCCACGTTGTCAATGTTAGACATAAGTCCGGCATTAGGTTGAGGTATCGCAGAGAGAGTGCAATAAGGTCAAGGTTTATCCACCGATCCTTGAGGTCTAATCTAGTGTTCAGTTGTCGTTAGTCTTGTGATGGTACTGCATAGCAGGCAATAGTTTGCGTCCCAATAAAGACTTGAACGCGCCGTGCACCGCAGAATGGACGTGTTTCAATGTAGAGAACTCCGTCCTTGCAGTAGCATGACATGGTGAGTCGTGTCCGATCGGGTATCATGCTGCGCCGCTCTCGGACCCAGCATAATTGATCCTTTACTATCGCATTGCACAGTGTGGTGCATAGCTGGCAGGGCGTTAAGATCAAGGCCAGCAGCACTCAACGTGGTCCTAGCAGAGTGCATCGAGCCGTTCCATCAATGGAAGTTGCTGTGCGACGAAACCTAACGGGAGCATGCGTGAGGGCGTACAGCCTTCGGTATGTGTTCTGGCAATTGGGTGCGATATGCGAATTGCAAGCCACGGTGGGCCGTGTTCGCATTCAACCGTTGCCCATTCGCCCAGAAGATGACGATTAGACCAGCATCGGTGTGATTAAACGTTCGCGAGACGAGGCGGGATAGGCACCCTCGTAAACACACCGCTTTTCCCGACAAATCCAACTCGTTCGATTTAGATGAGCAACATTGCTGCGACTCGGGCGTCGGGCGTCATAGTCGTCCGTGGTCGTGTGATTGCTGTCGTGAGCACCCATGAGTCGCCTGCGAGCGCTGCGATATCATGTACGCAACTTGCCGCTTCCCACCCAGCGTGCACGTCGCCGGAATGGAGCGATGTTGCGACCAATGTCCTTTGAGCGAAAGCACCCGAGCAAGGTCGCTGAGTTCGTCGTGGAACGCGACCAGTCGCTGCGGGCCCGTCCCCCATGCGCTTCAGCAAACGCGCCACGGCCCGTCGCGAGGATGTCACTGCGACGACTGGGCAGCACAAAGGGCAGCTGATCAGAAGGAAGTCCTGTACAGCTCTGCATGGGGCGAGCAGCATGATACCCTGGCTTCGCACTGCTGCACCGTCATCGGTTGAAAGGTCGCTTCGACGCAGTCATCATCGCATCGTAAGAAAAAACCACAAAAATGGACAAGGAAAGCGGAAGAAGTCGCTATCTTGGTCAGCCGTGTGGGCCACCCAACCAAAGAAAGCGGCTGCTAAGAGAAGGCGCCGGCCCGCGTGAGTGCGTGGCCTTGGGAACTGGGACCAGGGGCACCGGAAAGTCTTTGCCATTTATCGACTGGCGCGCGCATTAGCACTAAAGTCACATGACCAATTCTTCATGCAGCCAAGAACGGGCATTGCCAGCACTACTGCACACTTGTTTTTGGTGTCGATAGCTCGCTTACAGGCCTCCAGTTAGCGCCACTGCCGCACGTCGTACAAGCGTCTATTGGCGGGCTTCGCGCTGTCCCCACATCCTCCACCAATGCACTCCAACTTTTAAAGGACGGGAGAGGGATCCGATGCGATGTCCGCGCCGTACGTGAGCAAAGTGATGCCCAACGTTGAACCCTTAATCCTCGTCCTGTGCAGTAGCGCTCTGTCCCTCATCATCGTTGCCATCATCATCATCATCATCATCATCGCTGTCTTCTTCGCTTGAGTCTGAAGGCTCCTCGTCGGGCATAACTACACTGTTCAGGTATGTGATCTGTGTAAACTGTCAGTGGTTTGGCTATCGTAATCTGCTCTCATCCAAAAGGGCCAGCGATGTGACGGGGCGCGTTATCCGGTCAGTGCAGCCAACAGCTATCGGTGAAATAAGTCTGGCTGCACTGCCAACGCATTCAACGGCTGTAAGCGTGATGCTCCCCCTCGTACATTGAGACAAGGACACCCCTTCTTATTGTCTTCGCCGTGACCACATTAGGCAGGCGTCAACGTTTGACAGGCGAGTCGACTTCTCCTCGTGCGACATGAAAAATAAGTTGGTGGGCTTACAAAGGGTAGCAGGCATGCAACGAGTTCAGCTATGCGCTTCAGACCGCCGGGTCCAGTGACGTCTGTGTCTGAAAGTTTCTTGCTGAGCGTGAAGTTGCGAAGCCGAAGCAAATCGATGTCTTTGTGGTCCTGGTCGTAACCCTAGAGATGCATTGTCAGCGATTTCATGCTCGGGCTGCCTGCTCTAGTGTGAAGGGCAGGTCTGATTCTGCAGCTGGCGTATTCAGCCCTGTCTGTCGTACTACACCACTCCTATTTGTGCACCCTTCACGTATGACCGAGCTAAGATTGCATGATCTGGCTCAGTGCTATCAAGTATTGTCACCAGGTTGTGAGGCCAAATGAGTCGAAGAATCGACAATTGTACGCATCGCAATCAAAGCACGGACAAGGTAGTGCATATAGGATCACTGGAGCTTACCTTTGGATGGCGCTTCAGAGCATTCGACTTGTTTGCTGGCAAGCTGGTGAAAGCCTGTACTACTTTCTTGCTGTCGTTCGCTACGTTCTTCAGGAAGGCCGAACGAATGCCCGTGTCGATAAGTACTTGCTTAATTCTATGCGGCTTCCGATCAATGTCGTGCCGCAGTTTCGCGATGGCTGCGGCTTCGGGCTGCCATAACCCACCACCTGAGTTGAGTCAGCATAACTGAATGCTTTGAAGGGCTTTGCAAAAAGCGCTAGAGCTGTAGGGCCGTATGTGAGTGCGTGGCTTATTGAGGCAAGGAGAAATCACTTCTGTTGCAGTGCCTTGCCTGTCGAAGACGAACATATACCGGCTCTATCGTTTTAGCTTTCAAGGCTTAGCGACGAGCGTCTGACCGGCACTGCGTATTCGTGGAAACTCTTGATATCAATGCCACGGCATGAGCGCCATTGACAAGCCGTGGTCGAACACCGTAAGCCACGAGGGACTTGGGAACGTTTGTGACGGAACGTGGCTAGAGGCAGTCGAGTCTCATGACGGCATCTGGGGCGAAAGCTGAGCAAGCTAGCGCCTACATACAAAGATGTCGTGCAGTGCATGTAAGCGAAATGCAGTGTTTAATGTGTCATTCGCTCATGGCCGCGGCGCAGTAACTCACCCCATCTATCAGGCGGTTGTGTTACTAGCTATCATGACCCGCAGCGGACATATTATAGCCCCCGCACTGATGTAGTACGAAAGCTCGTGTCGAATATCTAGATCGCTGCACCAGTGCGGATTTCACGAGATAGACAATGCAGGATATGAATGAAGCAAGGGCAATACTGAACTTACCAACAAAGCTACCATCATTTGGCTGTATATGGATATAGTAATGCGCATATGGCCCCTTCCGTCCGGTCCTGGACCAAGCAGCTGAAAAGTACGTTTTGTATGGGGTGGGATCTTTCGAAAACCGAATATCTGCCATTGTTAACATCAACCCACGTCCCAAATTGATGTGACTTAGTACCTCGATAGATGCGATAAACCTGAGCCGTTATTCAGCTTAATGTAATGGGAGCAAAGAGGCCTGTATTGAGACTCACCACGTCCTTGACGGGTAACTCTGGGATCGTCTCGTCCGCTTCCACCACTTTCTCGGACAGCTTCTCGGTGAAAGTGTTGAAGTCTTGCAGTGCAGCTCGATAGTCTGGATCATGCACTGCAACCAGGTTAGTCCTCGCTCTAGGTGTAGATATGGGTAACACAAGCAGCTGGCAGATCTGCGAGCTGACAGTCTGCAAAGTAACTCTGACGTTACAGCTAGCAGTACAGTGAACTAGGAACTATCGCTTCGGCAATGTAGTAACGAAGCTCGCAAAGACCCCTGGGAACGGCTTGACTCTTGCTTGAAATGTGAAACCGGTCAACATACATTTTAGCCATTGCCGATCGTTGTTGGCTGCAAGATCCTTGAGGAACAGCATAGTATTTGGATGTATCGTATCGTCCGTGTAAGGTGTATCGCCTGCATCTCGGGCCTTGGGCTTCTTGATGATAACTTGTGTGCCAGGAGCTAGTTTCGCTCCCGATTTCCAGAGTTCCTTTTTGTTACCCTCTCTCACATGCGAAGGCAAGCTCTTCTTCTGTCCTTGCTCACGAGGTGCAGCCTTCTTGCTTTTGATGTCTTCGTCGCTGGAAGGTACTTCGTCGTGATCAGACTCCGATGATGGTTCTGCGTGCCCAGCTTCTTCAAAATCAGAAGCCTCAGACACGTCGCCCTTGTCGGACGGCGATGGTTTCTTTTGGACTGCGTCATCGTCGTCCGACCCAGATTCGGCGTAGGACTTTCTTGTTGACGCCCTCGCTCTTTTAGACTGTCGAGTTGGCGTCTCCTGTGCTGGCCGCTTAGACGAGCTCCTGGATCCGGAAGCGGTCGCTTTTTTTGTGAGTGGGCGAGGCATGGCAGGACTATTGTATCAAAAGGACTAATCGTGGTTACTGCACAGTTGTCTGTCAGATCGTGGATGGATGTCGGGCAGGAGCACGGTCCGCAATGACGCACCACAAGCTGTGGAAAGCGCGACGTCGGGCGCACGTCCGCGTCGCGCAGTCACGCGAATGAAAAAAAAATCCCCGAAACCTTCACCGCGCACACAACTATGTCCAATCGCTTCGAGGCTCGCAAGCAGAACATTCTGGAGCAACTTGAAACTCCGGAGAGTGAGTATCAAGACTTGTCGCCAAAAGGATCTATAGATGTACCCATCCGGGATCTGATCAGCGAAATCAACGCGCTCGACGGTCTTGTCACCACCAGTAGTTGTTCTGGAAGGATAAGTGTATTCCTCGAAGGGCGCAAAGCAAGCAGCGATGATGCACCCACGGAAGAGAGTGGAGAATCTCGTGCTGGTCCAGGCGGCAAAGGCGGCGGAGGGGCGTGGCTGTTCATTTCTCACGATCCAGTAGAGGCACCGGACGCGAACACCTTATCGACATTCTCCTCTAGATTTGGACTGGAAGCTGCATCACTAGACGAGTCGAAAACGCTCGAAGTGAGCAGCAGGTATGTCCACCTCAAGTTCGAGCCAATGGTAAGCTCGCTGCCTGCAATCTTAGTCGCCTCCTGATCCTTATAGATACTTCACATTCTGACTGCATCAACGGCTCATGCTCAACGCGTACTCACAGCAGCCTTGAGTGCTGGCTTCAGAGAAAGCGGTGCAGTCAGCTTGAGCGCTACCAGAACTGGAGAATCCACTCCCATCGTAGCAGTCCGCTCAACAGGCTACTCGTTTGATTCTATCGTTGGCTACCACGATGAAAGCAGCCGCAACATCCTCCTCGTAGATGAAAAGCATCTTGCAACTCTGATCGGTATAGCCAATGATCGCTTCAGAATCAACACCGAGCGCATTGCACGTTTCCAGAACGCCCTCATGCATGCTTTCAGACCTTCAGATTCAGGTACTGGTGGATCAAGCAAGCCAGACTGGGAAGACGCAGAGGTACGAAGGCGGCGGAAAAGAGAAGAAGGTCTTGCAAGACAACAAGCATTACAGAATAATGGCTCGACATGAGACGATGCTCTTAGATTCTAGTGAATCAAACGTCGATGCTATCGATCATATACTGGAATAAAGCATGGCTCGGTGACTGGCACATGCTCAATTGCGCAGCCAGGAATACAGGTGATTATGTGGATGCGAAGTATGCATCCGCACTTCATCCGCACTTCGAAATGCCACTTTTGTTCATACATGCACATGCAAACAAACATGGCTGCGCTAGAAGCAAGCAGCGGAAATATGAATCGCCTTTGCCATGTACCAGGCCACATATCTTTAATTGACAATGTGTCCGATGTTTGAGCTTCCCTATTTTTCTACCACATGCCGATGTGGAGATGCTATAGCCAATAGGAGCGTTCATGCGAAATGTCTCCGACGGGAGACCGGCGACTTCGAACAAACACCACTATGCTAGGAACTATATAAGTACTTACAAAGCTGCCCACCTCCATATGCACAGAACATTACAATAACCACACATCGTCCACACCAACTTCCATCATACTGATCTTAAGCCAACACATTCCATCAGCCCCACGCTTTGTCTGTCAACATGTCCACCCTCGCAGAAGCAAACCGCAGGTACTTCGAGTAAGTCCTGTACCCACTCCCAGCTTTATCACCTTTTTAACATCTCTTCTAGTTCCATATCCGACTCCTACGACGCCAAGCCCTGGTTCGCAAAAGTAAACACCCAAGTCACCGAAATCCTGCGCTCAAAACTCGACTGGGTCGGCATTCCCTTTGCAAAAGCGGACTCCAGCAATGAAGTCAAATTGCTCGATTATGCATGTGGAACGGGATTAATGACGCGTGTTAGTATCTATCGTTGAGTTTGTACAAGTGGTGTGCTAATGTAGAAAGTAGACCTTTGGTCCGTACGTCACCAAGACGCTGGGAATCGACATTTCGCCAAACATGGTATCGACATACAACACACGAATTGAAGCCGCGGGTCTATCAAAGGAGACGGCACATGCGGTTCATGGAGACTTGTTCGACAAGGCGAATCCGTCTCCGGCTGAGCTGTCGGGTCCCGAGTGGACTAACTTCGATCTTGCGGCTGTGGGGTTTGGATTCCATCATTTTGAGGATGTGGTGCATAGCGCGAAGCAGTTGAAGGAGAGACTGCGGCCGGGAGGCGTGTTGGTGATTAACGATTTTCTTGAAGGAGGAGATCTGCAGGCTGATGAGGAGGGGAGGCCGATTGAGGGGAGTGAGGGGAATTTGGCGGTGCATAGTCATGGACATGGCCACTCGCATGGAGGTGCTGGGTCGCATGGACACGGGCATGGCCACAGTCATCACGGCAAGCACGAGCACCACCACAATGAGGAGAAGAAACACGACGTCACAGACTCATCACCAGAGCTCAAGAAGAAGATGAACGACTCCATCGTGGTGCCGCACTTCACTATCGACGGCGTCAAGAAGTTCTTTACAGAAGCTGGATTCGTGGACGTCGATGTCATCACATTGGATGAGAGGAGCTACATGGAATTCGCAGGAAAGAAGCTCTGGCGCACGATCCTCATCGCCAAAGGAAGGAGACCAAATGAGGAGAAGAGTGAGTTATGAGGAGCACTAAAGCTTCCCATGTCAGCTCTAGCAATAGTCATAGATTTTCTATATAGTAGAGCCTAGAATCCTGTCTCGGTATTGCCTTCTCCCATACTCTTACTTCCCGAACTCCCGCTCTGAATGGCACCCAAGATCCCGTCAATATACCCAGCTCCACTCCACTTCTGATGCGTGAGTACATCGCAGCCCAGCGCCTTCTCCCTCGCCTGCACCAGCTTGACATACGCCAACATGCCCTCATCCTTGAACGCGCGCGACAACTCGCACGTAATCGTCGCGGTGCTATGAATCCCCGCCAGCGAGATAAGCTGGAACACGAACCCATGCTTAGCCAGATCCCAGACAAACGACTTGAGCGCGTCTTCGCTGAAGCCTTGGCCCATCCAGTTGAAGCTGGGCGACAGGTTGTATACGAATTTCTTGCCCGGGTACAGTTGGCGGATTTCGCCGGCGAACTTTGCGGCTTTCTCGACGCTTGGGTCGCCCGTTTCGACCCATAGGAGGTCGGCGTAGGGTGCAAATTCTTTGCCACGCTTGGTGGCGGCGGCCATGCCGGCTTTGTAGTGGTAGAAGCCTTCGCGCGTTCGTGGGATGTCCCAGTTGAAGTAGACGGGCGACTTGGTGTACTTCTCTGCCGCTTTGCGGCGCTTCAGGAGGGAGTAGTCGGGATTGGAGCGCGTCTCGTTGAGGTATTCATCGATGATCGATTGGGAGGCACCTTCTTTCTCGAGGTGTTGGACGACGGCTTCGTCAAAGGTGACAAGCTTGTGCTTCTTCACCCATGCTGCTTCGTATGCATCGATCTCCTTTCCTGGTGCACCTGCTGCTTCCATGTTTTGGAGTGTCTCGGCGAGAGGCTCTGATTCTTCTGTGACACCCTTGATGAACTCGTGGTCCCGCACATCAACGGCGCTCGAGATGAGCTTGCCACTTTCTGAGTCTGTCCGTGCAATGACGAGGTTCTCGCAGCCCATCATGTCCCACTGGAAGCGTGCGGCTACGAGACGGTTGATGTGATCACCGACTGGCACGAGGACCTTTCCTGCAAGATGTCCGCACTTCTTTCCACCGTGAAGTTGGTCTTCGAAGTGGACACCAGCTGCACCGTTTTCGGCAAAGAGCTTCGCGAGCTTGATGACGGCCGAGAGACCTCCGTGGCTGTAGGATGTCAGTGTGTTGCCATAATTTCGGCTTCGACTCAACACACCCAGTGTCTCCGTCGGCGATAATGGGCCGCATGTAGTCCAAGTAAGGTGTCTTCGCACGCTCCTCAGCACTCATCTTCCGCCTATTGTCCCAGTTCTTGCGGTCGTGCAGTTGTTGTGCCTTGAACATTCGTTGAACCTGGTTCGGTACCGTGTTGTATGGATAGTCACCAAAATCGGCGGAGACTTCGTTCGTGGTCGTGAGTACGGAAGAACATGCCCATCCCGAGATGTAGAGCACTTCCTGGTTCGGAGCTTGCTGGGTCATTTGTATGGGGTCAATGGCACCCACTGAGGTTCAGAGTAATATGATCAGTCATTGTTCTAGCTATCAGGACTAGAGTCGACGCACTGGTATGTACCGGCTCGCCCTTGGCTGCCTTCTCTTCGAGCAGATTGAAGAGTTTCCGTGCCATTAGGGAGCTGGGATATGTCTGCTGGAGCGCGCCACGCTTGCTGACTACATCCTCCGCCGAGTATGGTCGCTTGATGCCCTTGTATCGCGGTGACGCCCACCAATCCCTCACGGCCTGCACCTGCTCATCGAAGAGCGCATCTTCAGCTTGGCCCGCTTTCGCTGCTTCCGGTAGCAATTGGAACGAATCGCCAGGCAGGGCTGCTGATACTGGAGGGTCTACGGCTTTCAAGGCGGAACTCGACATGCGGTATGCCGTTGTGGAGAGTGGGCGCAGAAGCTGTGGTCTCGATGTTCGCAGAGAGCGGCTCCGGCGCGCGACAGATCGTGATACGGTTCGCAGCATCGTGTGTGTATGTGGGAGAACAGGCCTCCAGCCAGCAGAGCCTACTTCTTCACTGTCAGGGAATTTTAGTAGAGGTGTGTTGGTAAGCGGCTGCCAGGTCTCGGCAAACTTCCGAGGTTGGTGACGATGTTTACCACGCGCCTCGACTCAGCGTCTTTTCTCTTCTCTTCTCGCACGCGGACCGAGAGCTGTTCGGTACACAAGCTGGCTGCGGGTTTCTTCCATTGTGCTCTGCGGCAATGCTTCTCCTCTTCCCCGAACAAGCCGAGGGTAAACGTGCGCTAGGCGTCTTCCAGTGCTGCCCCTCGGTACCTTCGACGTCGCGCTCGCATGGACGGCCAACGCGTGCCTTGTGAAATCTGACCGCCGAGGATTGCCGTGCTGTTTTCTTCTCTTGCTTCAGCCTCTGACAACATATCTCGTTCTGTGTGAAGACAACTCAGAATTGAAGTTTGCTGCAGCGCAGTGTAAACATCTGGACCAATTGCTTTCCCCGCAATTCCCTACCCCAGCTACCCCTCACAGCCATGTCCTTGAGTGCACGAACTGCTTCACGCGCTCTGCGCGCGGCGAAGGTGTGTAAAAAAAAAGTTGTCACATTCACTCTGAAGCTAATTGAACTTCTTACAGCCTTCGGCAGCGCGCCCCTTTGCCTCTGGTATGCGATTAATCAATTTCGAGCTCACTGACACGCATTAACACTTTGTTTGCTAGTACAAGCATGCAGCTACTCTTCTTCCTCTGAGCCAGATCTCAAGGAGACTTTCAAGAAAGTTCTGCCTGCGAAGCGCGAACTGCTCAAGAAGGTTAAGGCGCAGGCCGACAAGAAGCTCGGCGATGTCAAGGTTGAGAATGCGCTTGGTGGAATGAGGTACGCAGAGCCGGATTCAACCACAGAACACAATCTGACAGCAACGTAGAGGCCTGAAGGCTATGGTCTGGGAGGGATCCGTTCTCGACGCCAACGAGGGTATCCGCTTCCATGGCAAGACCATCAAGGACTGCCAAAAGGAGCTTCCCAAGGGCACTTCCGGCACTGAAATGCTTCCCGAGGCTATGTTCTGGCTGCTTCTCACAGGAGAGGTTCCTTCCGTATCCCAGACTCGCGTTCTCTCTCGTGAGCTTGCTGAGAAGGCTGGCATCCCCAAATTCGTCGAGAAGATGCTCGACGACTTCCCCAAGGACCTCCACCCGATGACACAATTCGCATGCGCCGTCTCAGCATTGAACTATGAGTCGAAGTTCGCAAAGGCGTACGAGAAGGGCATCAACAAGGCTGATTACTGGGAGCCGACTTTCGACGACAGCATCAGCTTGCTCGCAAAGCTGCCAACCATCGCTGCAAAGATCTACCAGAACGCGTACCGCGGTGGAGGTGCCCTCCCAGCCCAGGTCGACCTGGAGCAAGATTGGGCGTACAACTTCGCTGCCATGCTGGGCAAGTCCGGCAAGGAGAACGAGGGCTTCCAAGATCTCCTCCGCCTGTACCTTGCTCTGCACGGTGACCACGAGGGTGGTAACGTCTCTGCACACACCACTCACTTGGTCGGATCCGCGCTCAGTGACCCCTTCCTCAGCTACAGTGCCGGTCTGCAGGGTCTTGCTGGTCCTCTCCACGGTCTAGCTGCCCAGGAAGTGCTCCGCTTTATCATCGACATGCAGAAGACTGTCGGTACAAAGTTCTCTGACAAGGATGTCACCGACTTCCTCTGGAGCGTCCTCAAGTCTGGTCGTGTCATTCCCGGTTACGGCCACGCTGTGCTGAGGAAGCCTGACCCGCGTTTCGAGGCTTTGATGGACTTCGCCAATGCTCGACCCGACATTGCGGCGAACCCCGTCTACCAGCTCGTCAAGAAGAACTCTGAAGTCGCTCCTGGTGTGCTTACTGAGCACGGAAAGGTAAGCGATAACCTCAGTCCATTTACATATATCAGTGCTGACCAGAATACAGACTAAGAACCCCTACCCCAACGTCGACTCCTCTTCTGGTGTCCTATTCCACCACTACGGATTCACAGAGACTCTGTACTACACTGCGACATTCGGTGTCAGCCGTGGTCTCGGCCCTCTTGCACAACTCATCTGGGACCGAGCACTGGGTCTGCCCATTGAGCGCCCCAAGTCCATCAACCTCCAGGGCATCCTTGACCAGGTAGGCGCATAGAGGAAACAGCAAGCAAAACGAGCATGCCGAAACGAACGTCTTATAGATATGATGCAGATCCAATGAAGAATGAAATGTGATTTCGAAGTATTACACAGGCCCAAAACTTCAATGCGATTGATACTATATCCCCCTGTTCACCGTACTCCAAATCTTACGCTTACCAAGTCAAACAAAACATGTATACTAAAGGTTCTAACTTGCGACGGCAAGTGACAAGGATGCCTGAAGCTCTACCCATGACCATACCGTCCAATTCAAAACCCGGCAATACTGTGTACTGCTTCAGGCTATCCGATGCCCCTGTTCATTTTCCTTCATAGCTTTCAAACTGCAGCATCGGGCTTCCGGCTCATGGCTCAAAGCTCAACCTGGCCCAATCCAACCCACTCTCTCCACCCACCCCACCCCTTCTTCTCCCCAGGCAATCTAATGCTCTCAATCTCATCCTTCGTGACACCATTCCACTCGTCCTTTGGAATCCATCCAATATACGCCCTATCGCCAAAGCCGCCAATCCAATACACCTCCTCAACCACCAGCCTCACCCACTTGCTCTGATGAATCCTGTTTCCAGGCAACCACGCCGCAGCATCTGGGTGGTATTTGAGATAGCAAGCCGGCACTAGCGGGTTGTTCTTCAAGTCGTCTGAAGTTAGATCCTCCAGCCGACCGACAAGACTGAAGCGTGGGAGGGAGGCAGGGCTACGCCACGTCGAGTCCTGCGGGTGCCAGCGCAGACTCAGCGTGATGTTGCTGCCTGCATCGACGTTCTTGAAGCTTGTGGCGATTGTGATTGCGAGGATCGTGGGATTGCCGGTCTCGGGCTCGCAGTCGCCGTAGTAGTCCATCAAACCAATTGGGGCGCCGGCGACATCGCTGGGGCGGCGCTCGGTGGCGTGTGGTGTGCTGGGGAAGATGGTGGAGAGCGTGCCGATGGATTCGAGGCGTAGAATGCGGCGGGCTTGAACAGCGGATTCGTGGACGGTGGGGATGTTGAAGTCGGTGGTGGATGCGTCGGGGTTGGAGAAGAGATGCTTAGGAGAGGGGAGGTTGAAGGCGGAGGTTGTGGCAGCGAGGGAAAGGAGGGCGCTCGATTTGAGGTACATCTTTATAGACCCTGTAAGGAGAAGGCTAGATTGAGGTACGGAAAGCTACTGCGAGCTATGGTAAGTGGTGAGGTTTGTCAGTGGAGTGGTGTTGATAGCAAACAGTGAGGTCAACCGAGACGTGGGAGGTTGAGCACATCACACGATCCGAAGACGGGAATAACCGGCCGCGGTCAAGCCTAATCTCTTGGAAGTTGATGGCGAGCTCATGACTTCCCTTGGTACCAGAGATTCACGTGTTGCATGATGTGAAAAGAGGTGCAGCTGTAGCTTTTACATTCTTGGAGCTGTTGTGGGGTCATGAGCATGCGGTACCTCTCATGTTCTTGTGTTATCTTATCTGATGGATCGCTGCCAAGAACGTCGGTTGGATGTGTACTTTCAACATGCACTCACTGCTGTAGACGCTATGGCGGAAGCGCACGAGGCCTTTTGAATGTTCTAAAATTACATGAGCGATGTGTTTTGTTATGGTTCTTTTCTACAATGAATCAAAGTGACTTCAGGCATTTCTTCCAGGATAAAGTTGCCGCCAAGCTAGTGTATGCACGTGATCTCGGTTAGCCGCTCGTCCACACCTTCCGTGTCGAAATCACCTCCTCATAGCCGTTCAGAGTCATCGACACCACCGACCGCCACCGCAATCTGTACGTACCAAACTGCACGATCTCCTTCGAACTGAACGCTTTGCACACCCCAACAACAAAAATCCGCAATCCCCAAATTCGACGCTCGAAACAAGACCGCTAACCGGACTTTGCCACACAGAAAAACCCGTCGACAACACTCCAAACTCATCAAACCCATCCACCGCAATCATGGGTAAGGTTCACGGATCCCTCGCTCGTGCCGGAAAGGTCAAGTCTCAGACTCGTAAGCATATACCCCCCATGAAACAGGAAACAGCAGCAGCTAACATCTGGCAGCCAAGGTAAGCCCACCCGCATGCGAACAATCATATTGTCTCCGGCGCACCACATCGGGATGATCACTGCTACGATCACGATACACACCGCAGTCTACGCCTCGCGCGACCCGAAAATAGTGGAGGCTGACACATTGGCAACAGGTTGAGCCCCAGGAGAAAAAGAAGACCCCCAAGGGCCGCGCGAAGAAGAGACTCACTTACACCCGCCGCTTCGTCAACGTCACCATGACCGGTGGCAAGAGGAAGGTCAGTAGCGACCAGGCAGTTTGACGAAAGAGCACATGCTGACCAGGCACAGATGAACCCCAACCCCACTTCATAAGCCAATCTATGAAAGGAGGGCGTTTGGAACGAGCACGATGAGCTAAAGATTTTCGGTCATGGATTCGGTTTTCTCGGGATGGCTATGGACTCGGATCAGAGCGAGTGGGGATCGCGATATGCGAAGAATGTAGCCACGGCACGTTCTCCGGCTGCGAGAGGATCCCACACTTTGGGATGAAGGGAGCATATCCATGGCGCAAATGTACATTCGGCTTTTTGCACGGCTGCATCATGAAATCTAGCTGCTTGTGTCTCAACTTTGTGCATAATTCTTTTGAACTTGCGTGACGTCGCAATATCCTCCTTGCGAAGAGTGCTAACTTAGGGCAGCTCAGTATACATAGTGGCCTTGGAGCTGGTATTAGATGGCGAGAACTACGGCTGTTTCCCCACATGTACATTGTTCTAGCTGGTCTCGCGCTCACAAGATACTAGAGAACGGCTGTGCACCTTGAGACGGATGTACACACATTCTCCACGAATTTACACAGTTTTGCAAGCTGTGCGAGCGCGTTGCAACGTCGTCATCTAGAAATAGCTGTCATTGGTTCCACCAAATCGGACTTGCAGTGAGGCGTGAAGG